GTTTGGGGGTGACACAGGGGGTCTGGGGGTGGTGTGGGGGGCCTGGGGGTGATGTGGGGGCCTGGGGGTGACTGACCCGGCATGCCCCTCTCCCAGGCCCAGCCTGGTGCGCGGACACCTGCAGGCCCTGGACGAGTTTGCCCAGGAGAACCTCTACGCCCTCTATGGGTTCAACCTCAGCCGGAGCGGGGGCGTCCCCTCCGCGGAGGCCCCGGGCCCCGAGCCCGTCTTCCAGCTGGACCGCAGAGTCCGCCTGGAGCGGCTGGGCGGCCGGGGCGGCCCGAGCAGAGTGGGCTTCAGGCTGGTGAGTGTCCGGGCGGGCAGGGGTGGGCGGGGCCGCAGAGGCTGTGCTGAGCCGGTCCCGCCCCCAGTGTAACAGCACCGGCGGCGACTGCTTCTACCGCGCCTACTCCTCCGGCGTGACGGCCGTGCGCGCCTGGTACCGCTTCCACTACGTGGACATCCTGGCGCTGCTGCCCGCGCACCCCGGCGACGGCCACCAGGGCCCCGGCGGCCACTTCGTCTTCTCCTGCCGCTACGACGGCCAGGACTGCCAGGCCCGGTGAGCGGGCGGGCGGGCGGGCGGGCCTCCCCGGGGCCCACCCGGCGGGCGTGGGTGCCACCCGGCCCCGCCAGCGGCAAACAGCTCCCGAGGGAGATAAGGCAGGCGGCCCCTCGGGCCGCACGCGGCGGGTGGCGGGAGGCTGGCGGGAGGCGTGTGCCAGCGAGTGTGGCCGGTTCCAGGCACTTCCGGACGTTCCACCACCCCACCTACGGCAGCTGCTCCACCTTCAATGGCACGTGGGCCGCGCAGCACCCGGGCATCACCCACGGTGAGTGCCAGCAGCCGAGCGGGGGTGTGTGTGTGTGTGTGTGTGAGGCAGGGTGCTCCCGGCCTGGCCTCACCCCCCGCCCCGCCCGCCTCCCTCCCGCAGGGATCAGCCTGGTCCTCAGGGCTGAGCAGCAGGACGCCCTCCCGCTGCTGTCCACCGAGGCCGGCATCAAGGTCATGGTCCACAGGCGGGACCACACGCCCTTCCTGGAGCACCGGGGCTTCAGCGTCCGGCCCGGGACGGAGACCACCATCGGCATCAGAGAGGTGCGGTGCCCTGGCCTCCGGCCCCTGCCCCGCCTGGGGCCGAGGGCCGGGCGGCAGGTGGAACTGAGCCCCCTCCCCGCAGGACGAGGTGCACCGGCTCGGGAGCCCCTACGGCCACTGCACGGTCAGCGGGGAGGGCGTGGACGTGCCGCTGCTGTACGAGGCCAACTACACCATGCAGGTGGCCGGGGCTCGGGCAGGGGCGAGGGGGACGGGAAAGGGCTCAGGGAGGGAGGCGCCGGGAAGAGGGAGGGGAACCGGGCCGGCAGGCAGGCAGGCCCTGGGGGAGGGATGGCTGCTCCCCCTCTCCCACCCCGCCCCCTGGGACCCCAGCCCCGGTGCCTTGCTGTCCCCCCAGGCCTGCCTGGTCTCCTGCTTCCAGCAACTGATGGTGAACACCTGCTCCTGCGGCTACTACTTCTTCCCCCTGCCGGCGGGGGCCGAGTACTGCAGCTCCGCGCGGCACCCGGCCTGGGGTGAGCCCGCCCCGCCCAGACCCCGCCCATCACCCACAGCCCCGCCCACAGCCCCCGGTCCCGCCCCGCTCACAGCTTCTCGACCACGCCCGTAGCTCCGCCCAGCGCCCCGCCCAGCGCCCCCAGCCCCCGCGGCCCCGCCCGCTCACCTGCGGGGATGCACACCTCTGAGCCTCCCTGGGTCTCCCCTAACGGGTTCCCTGTGACCCCGCCCACCCAGGCCACTGCTTCTACCGCCTCTACAGAAAACTGGAGACCCACCGGCTTCCCTGCGCCTCCCGATGCCCCAGGCCCTGCAGGTGAGGGGGACCGCTGGGGTCAGGGGTCATGGCCCCGGGCACCGCAGAGGGGGTATGACATGCCGGGTCTGTCTCTCCTAGAGAATCTTCCTACAAGCTGTCAGCTGGGAGCGCCAGGTGGCCTTCCTCCAAGTCAGGGGTGAGCCCCCCGGGGTGGGGAGTGGGAAGGGTGAGGACTGGCCAAACAGGCAGGCCTCGCTGATCCCCCAGGGGCCTGTGGACAGGGCTCCGCCCCTGCGGTCCCTGCCCTCCCACCCGCCTGCCGAGCCTCGGGGGCTGGAGGCGCAGCGGCCACAGGGAGCCCTCTGTGTGCAGGACTGGATCCTGGCCGTGCTGGGCAAGCGTAGGCCCCCGCGCCCTGGCCAGAGCCGGAGCCCCGGCTGGAGCCCGAGACCCAGGTGGGTGCACCGGCCTCCGGAGGCCGTGTCCTGGCCCCTCCTCCTGCCAGCCTCACCCTCAGGGCGCCCGAGGCCCAGGGCCCACCCCTCCATCTCTGCCCCCCAGGAGCAACGTGGCCAAGGTGAACATCTTCTATCAGGAGCTCAACTACCGCACGGCCGATGAGACGCCCGTCTACTCGGTGAGCGGTGGTCCGAGGGCTGGGCGGGCAGCAGCCGGCCCCACAGGAGCGGGCGGAGGCAGCTGTGCAGCTCTCGGTCCCGATGGCACAGGTGCCGCAGCTGCTGTCGGCCATGGGCAGCCTCTGGAGCCTGTGGTTCGGCTCCTCCGTCCTCTCCGTCCTGGAGCTGCTGGAGCTGCTCATCGACGCCGTCGCCCTGGCCCTGCTGCTGGGCTACCACCGGCTCCGGCGAGTGCAGGGGTCCGAGCCGCGGGCGGCCCACACCGAGCCGGAGGCCAGCCCGGTGCCCAAGGACCGCGGGCATGAGGCCAAGCGCCCGGGGCCCAGCCTCAGTGAAGAGTCAGGCCAAGTGTGGGTCCCCCAGACTCCTAACCCCTGAACCAGCTGGAGCTCGGTCTGATGCTGGGGGCCGTGGCTCAGTGGGCCCTCCTGGCTTCCCAGAGGGGCCTGTCCAGTTCCACAGGGGCCCCCCTGGCGGCCACGCAAGGCCTCGGGCCCAGGCCTGGCTGGCAGGCAGGTACGAGGGTGCCCAGCACGTCAGGGCCTCTCACTGGTGCAGCCACCTGCCCCAAGGTGGCCTCATGGTTCTCAAGGAGCCCAGGGCACAGGGAGAGGGGTGTCCCCACCACTGATTCCCATGTTCCAGGCAGGACTGAGCTTCTTGTGCATGTGTGTGCACACCCATGCGTGCATGCATGTACGCACACACGTGTGTGCCTTCATGTAAATGTACATGTGGGGGTGCCCCCACATAGGAATTATATGTTTGTGTCTGCATCATATGTTTGCCTGTGTCAACATGTCTGCCCACACCTCAGCTTGGGGCAGGTGGGAGGGAGGGCAGGGCCAGGCCAAGGCCGTTAGTGAGGCAATTCCACCTGGTGCTCCACCACGGGACGGCCTCCCCGTTGCCTCCGTGGTGAGCCGACACCTCGGACTGCACCTCCACACGCCTGGGGCCGCAGGCACTGTGGGCTGGGCGGGGACAGGAAGACGGAGAACGGGGCCCCGTCCAGGGCTGGGGCTTGTCCAGGGGGCACGACCAGGCCCAGACCATCCTTGCCAGCTGGCATCCACCCCAACTCCTACCAGGAGCCCTTGTCCGGGCCAGAGAAGAGCAGAGCCCAGGAATGGGAGCTGTGATGTCAGGAGTCAGTTTTCACCAGAGAAACCCTCCCCCGCCACCCACACCCCCATCAAGCCCTGGGTTCTGCTTATTGCATCCTTGTGGGGCTCTGGTCCCACCCTACTCAGCCACCCTCCGTGAAAGCAGGGCACCCGAGACCGCCTCCCCGGCTGAGACAGCGGAGTGAGGGGGGAGCCATGGGCAGCGGCAGGGGCAGCGGTGCAAGCGGCAGTTTATTACTGAGTGGTCTGGAGTGGGCGGTCCCAGCAGCCTGAGAGGCACTGACAGGCAGTGGGTGGGGCAGAGCTCAAGCAGGAAGAGAGGAAGGAGTTCATTCTGCTCTTTAGGGGTCACAGCCTGCAGGTGAGGGACTTGGGGGGGCCCGGTCAGTGCCCACCTTGCCACCCATGGAGCCTCCTGGGCAGCCTTTGCATAGTGACCAGTGGACTGGCCGTGGCCTGATTGAGGACACGCACTGGGGCGAGGCCCAGCACTGCCCCAGGGCTCCGGGAACAGGGGACGCAGAAGGCAGTAAGGGCCCTGCCCGGGCGGAAAGCTGGCAAGTGGGGGGCAGAGCTGCAGGGGCGCTCCCCCCACCCCCTGGCAGCAGACAGAGCTGGGGTCAGGTGGTCCTTCCGAGTCCAGAGAGACGAGGCGAGACAAGTGAGGACACAGTGGCTGCAGGAAGCCCACTTGTCCACGAGGAAAGATCGGATGTAGGGGTGCCAAGCGCCAAAGTCCTTTATGCACCCGCTCCGGGCCCAGCACTTCGGAGGAGGCAGGGGCGGCTGGGGCTGCCCGGCGTGAGGCCGGCGTGGCCAGCCACGTGGCCTCAGGACGCCCGCGTCCAGCCACGGCCGAGACCCCGTGCCACGTGCTCCCCAGCCCCCGAGAAGCCCAGCTTGGACGCTGGGGTCACTGCGTGAGGTACACGGGTTGATTCCCTGGATGGGCTGCCCCTCTGCCCTGGCAGGGGGCTGATGGCCAGCCACCAGCCTCGGGGAGGGCCCGGTGCAGGGGCTCCGGGAGACAGGGCGGACCCAACTAGCAGGTCCGTGTCTGGGGCAGTAAGGGGGGGCACACGGTGACACAGGCCTCTGGACAGAGGGACACACGTGACACAGGCCCTGGCAGAAGGACACGAAGTGGCACGGGCCCCGGGTCAGAGGGACACAGAAGCACACGGCCCTGGGTACGAGGGGACCCAGGGCCTCGAGAGCGGTTTGTGACGTGGGCAGCCCAGGCCCCGGGGAGGAGTCACCTGAGGACATAGGGTCAGCACCTCTGGGGAAACGTGGGGCTTCGGGAGACTGGGGCTGGGTCCCCCTTCCCGTCGGGCAGCTCCGCGGAGGGCAGAGCAGGCTGCTGGGCCCCGGAGACCCGGGGAGGGCCGGGTGGCGGCCTCCGCTCCCAGGCCGCCCTAGCTCTCCTCCAGGTGGAGGCTGATGAACTCCTGGATGCACCGGCGGTACTGCAGCTCCGTGGGGCTGCAGACGGCGAGGGGCCCGGGCTGGCCCGGGGGCGCCTCCGCCTCCCGCATCTCCTCGGCCATGCGCGCCAGGCGGAGCCTGAGGGAAGCGCGGAGTGAGGGGCGACCTGTGCCCCATGGGACCCGCTCCTCTCCCCCACAGCCCCGTCCCCTCTAAGGCACCAAGCCTCACCCACAACGCCCCGCCCCTGACACCAAACCCCGCCCCTCTGACAAGCCCCGCCCATGATGCGCCACCCCTCTGGCACCAAGCCCCACCCCTAAGACACTAAGCCCCGCCCTCTAAGACACCTAACCCCACCCTACTACGCCCTGTCCCTATAAGACACCAAGCCCCGCCCCAAGACAAGCCCCCGCCCTCTAAAAACCAAGTCCCGCCCCCTAAGGCACCAAGCCCCACCCTCTGACACCAAGCCCTGCCCTATTAAGCCCCGCCCTCTAAGACACCAAGCCCCGCCCTCTAAGGCACCAAGCCCCACCCCCTAAGGCACTAAGCCCCGCCCCGCGCTTACAGCGTGACGATGTCCGCGTTGGCCTCCTGGACAGCGATGCTCAGCGGGTCCTGCTGCTCGTGGTCCAGGGCGTGCTGGTCGGCGCCCCGCTTCAGGAACAGGCAGACCTGGCTGCGGGCGAGGCGATGAGCCGGGGCGCACCCAGGCCACACACACACCCGCGCCCCAAGGTGAGCCGCGCGGCACCGCACTCACCCGGTGCGGCCCAGGAGCGTGGCGTGGTGCAGGGGCGCCCGGCCCCGGCTGTCTCTTTGGTTCACGTCCGCCCCGTTTTGCAGGAGGAATTCGCAGATGATCAGGGAGCCCTGGGGAGCGGGGAAGCCGTGCTGAGCGGGGGGAGGGCTGCTAGGGGTGTCCTGGGCGCCCCTGCCAGACCGGACCGGACCCGACCGGACGGAGCCCCGAGCGGGTGTCCAACGGGGGCGGGTACCAGCCACCAAGGAGAAGCTGGAGAGGCCGGGTCAGCGCCAGCCCCGTCCGCTCACCCCCAGCACGGCCTGCACCAGCGGCGTCTTGCCCTCATCCTCCGAGTCGGCCCAGTTGACCTCCGCCCCGTGGGCCAGCGCCGCGGCCAGCGCGGGGAGGTCCCGGGTGCGAGCCGCGCGGTGTGCCAGGAGCCCGGGGTGCAGCTCACGCACATCCGCCAGCCCCCAGGCCTCCGCCTCTCCGTCCGCCTCGCCGCTGGAGTCTGACTCGGCCACCTCTGCGGGGAGAGGGTGCGCTCAGAGCGGTGACCGGCCCTGCGGAGCGGGGGGGAGGGGGGAGAGGGCTGGGGAGGCGGCACCCACCCTCCTCGGCGACACTGTCCACCACGGAGCCCGCGCCGGCCAGGACGTCCGAACTGCCATCAGAGCTCCCCCCTAAGCCACTGTCGCTGCTCAGACCTGCGGGGTCCATGGGCAGAGGAGCCCTGAGTATCCCTGTCGCCTCCCGAGACCCCACCATCCTCCAGGGGATGCCCGGGGGCAGGAGAGTCCAGCTAGGGTGGGAGAAAAGGGGCAAAACAAGCTATCGCAGGTCCACATGCTCCCACCCACAGGCAGGTCTGCCGGCGGCAGGATGGGTGGGCCTGAGGCTGTGGGTGCATGTGAGGAGGTGGAGTCTTAGCCAAGGGGTGGAGTCTTAGCCAAGCCCTGGAGGTGGCCCCAGGCGGCGCCAAAGATTGGCCCAGCTCAGCCAGGGGCAGCCCCCAAGAGCCTGGGCTCAGGGACGGTGAAGCAGCGCCCCCTGCTGCCCGCAGTCACCCTGCCAATTCCTGGCAGAGGGCCCTGCCTGCTGCCCACGCCTGCCAGGAGGAGCTGACCGCCCGCCCATTAGCAGGCAGCCCTTGGGGCGAGAACTCGAGGTATAGCAATTGTCCCCCAACCCCAAACGGGGTGAGAAAGATGTGTGCCCCGAGTTTTCCAGGCCCCCAGCACACAGGTGCACATGGACACCCACAAAATACACTTGATACACACCTACTCCTGTGTGCACACAGCACACACAACACACACACACACACACCACTCAGGGGTCGTGACCTTGATCTCCAAGTCGATACCCTATTGCCCCGGCCCCTCAGGGTACTATCCAGCCTCAGGCCCGCGTGACCCCGTTCCTCCCCTCCAGACCGGCCCCCCACGACTCCCCCTCGGAGCCCTGTCCCAGCAAACGGCCACGTGGTACACCATCCCGGGGAGCCCTGCCTGGCGCTGCCTGAGGCCCCGCAGGGAGGGGGTGGGCAGCGGGCCGGGGTGCTGGCAGCGCTTACTGCGTGGACCGGCCGCAGCAGCCCCTGCGTCAAAATAGGAGAAGAGGGAGTCCAGCTCGTCGGGGCAGAAGAGGGAGTCCCGGCGGAACCTGCGCTCCACGGCACCTACGGGGGGCGGGGGGGCCAGGGTCACACGGGCCTGTCTCCTGCCGGCCAGCCCTGGCCTCCCGGGTCTGGCCTCCCCCCGCTGCAGCCCCCCCACGGCCGTCCGGGAGCCAGAGGCCCGCCCACCTGAGGACAGGGCGGCCACGGCGGGCAGGACGGGCTCCAGCCGGACCTTGCGGCGGGCGGCGGGGGCGCGGGGCGAGCTGTGCTGGCCGGGGCACCTCCGGGCCCGCCAGCGCCGCGGGGCCTCCCGGGCGGGCGCGGAGGGCGGCTTCCGCAGGAACTTCTTCTCCACGTACTTGTCCTTGATCCAGGCCTCCTTGTCCTGCCTGGACCGGGGGGCGTGAGGCCGCGCCCAGGCCCCGGCCCCCGCCCCCGCCCCCGTGCTGCGCCCTCACCTGGGGCTGCTGGCCGTGGGCTTCCTGCTGCCTGGCCCCTCGCACTGGGCCTCGTAGATCTGGTTCACCGTGCGGTTTCCCAGCTCGCACATCAGCTGGCGGGAGACAGGGCGTGAGGGCCTCAGCCCCAGCTGCAGACCCCCCCAGCCTGCAGACCCCCCCAGCCTGCAGATACCCCCGGGCCTCAGGCCCGGCCTGCAGACACCCCCAGCCTGCAGACACCCCCAGCCTGCAGACACCCCCAGCCTGCAGATACCCCCGGGCCTCAGGCCTGGCCTGCAGATACCCCCAGCCTGCAGACACCACCAGCCTGCAGACACCCCCAGCCTGCAGATACCCCCAGGCCTCAGCCCTGGCCTGCAGACACCCCCAACCAGCAGACACCCCTAGGCCTCAGCCCCAGCCTGCAGACACCACCCCAGCTGGCAGACACCCCCAGCCTACAGACATCCCCAGCCTGCAGATACCCCCGGGCCTCAGGCCTGGCCTGCAGATACCCCCAGCCTGCAGACACCACCAGCCTGCAGACACCCCCAGCCTGCAGATACCCCCAGGCCTCAGCCCTGGCCTGCAGACACCCCCAACCAGCAGACACCCCTAGGCCTCAGCCCCAGCCTGCAGACACCACCCCAGCTGGCAGACACCCCCAGCCTACAGACATCCCCAGCCTGCAGATGACCCCAGGCCTCAGTCCCAGCCTGAAGACACCCCCAGCCTGCAGACACCCCCAGCCTGCAGACACCCCCGGCAAGCAGACACCCCCAGCCTACAGACACCCCCAGCCTACAGACATCCCCAGCCTGCAGATGACCCCAGGCCTCAGTCCCAGCCTGAAGACACCCCCAGCCTGCAGATACCCCCAGATCCCAGCCCCAGCCTAGAGACACCCCCAGCCTGCAGACACCCCCAGCCTGCAGATACCCCCGGGCCTTAGGCCCGGCCTGCAGACACCCCCAGCCTGCAGACACCCCTGGCAAGCAGACACTCCCAGCCTGCAGACACCCCTGGCAAGCAGACACCCCCAGAGTGTAGACACCCCCAACCTCCAACCCTGGCCGGCAGATACCCCCAGGCCTCAACCCTGGCCTGCAGACACCCCAATCTGCAGACACCCCAGCCTACAGACACCCCCAGGCCTCAACCCTGGCCTGCAGACACTCCCACCTGCAGACACCCCCAGCCTGCAGACACCCCCAGCCTACAGACACCCCCAGCCTACAGACATCCCCTGCTCGCAGACACCCCCAGGCCTCAGCCCCAGGCCTCAGCTCTGGCCTGCAGACACCCCCAGCTCGCAGACACCCCCAGGCCTCAGCCCTGGCCTGCAGACACCCCCAACCGGCAGACACCCCTAGGCCTCAGCCCCGGCCTGCAGACACCCAGACACCCCAGCAGGCGGCTGGTGGCCCGTGATGGCCCCACACACACCTTCAGCAGCTCAGGCTCCCACGAGTCCAGCGTCAGGGACCGCACCTTAGAGCAGTGGACTCCCAGGCTCCTAGACAGCGGCGGGGAGGAGGGGTGAGTCAGGGGCGGCTCGGCCTGGCGCCCCTGCCCGGCCGCCCGCGGGCCCACCTGTGGATGCCTGAGCACTCGATGCAAAGCAGCACGCCCAGGTTGATGCTGGCCCAGCGCGGGTCCGGCTGGCCGCAGTCGCCGCACTGGCCGTTGCCAGCCACGCCCTGCATGCGCTGCAGCACGCTCTCACCCTTGGCGCCGCGCTCCCGGGAGTCCGAGGCCGAGTCGATGCTGCTGGTGGAGGGGGACGCCGTGCGGTCCAGCCTCTAGGGACGGTGAGGGGCCAGTCAGCCCCTTCGGAGCGGCCCCCTCCTCCTCCCCTGCCCCCGCCACTGCCGGAGGCACCCACACAGGCTCGGAGCCTGAAGCCACGCCCACGCACACACGTGTGCAGGTACATGCACATGCCCACACATGCCGGCACGCAGCCCAGGGGGGCCGTGTGCGCGCGTGGAGGGCGCGGGCGACCGCACCTCGCTGTAGCAGCTGTCCGGGCTCTCCCGGTAGGCGGAGGCGATGCTGGCTTGCACGGCTTGGACCCAGGCCTGCCGCAGCTTCTCGGAGTCCGCCTGCAGCATGCAGCTCCTGCGGGGCGAGGGGGTCAGGCCCGGCAGAGGGGCCCCCCCGCCGGCCCGGCCCCCATCAGCCCCCGCCCGGCCCCCACCAGCCCCAGCCCCCGCCAGCCCCAGCCCCCGCCAGCCCGGCCCCACCGGCCCGGCCCCCCCGCCAGCCCGGCCCCCCCCGCCAGCCCCGCCGGGCGTACGCACTTGGTGGGCGACACGACCTCGAAGCAGAACCTCCGCTCGATGTCCTCGCACGGCTTCACGGAGCACAGCCGGAGGTCATCCACCACCACCGTGAGCGCGTCCTGCGGCGAGCAGGCCTCGAGCTCCGCCCCCACGTGCTCCCGCCCCCCCCCACCCGGCCACCGGGACCCACGTGCTCCCGCCTGCCCTGCCACCGGGACCCACGTGCTCTCTGCTCCCCAGGCCACCGGGACCCACGTGCTCTCTGCCCCCCAAGCCACCGGGACCCACGTGCTCTCTGCCTCCCCACCACTCAGGCGTGACGCCCAGGGCTGCCACTCGGGGCCAGTGGGAGGGGCCTGCACGCACCTTCAGCTTCTTCTGGTAGACCAGCTGGCTGTTCTGGATGGAGAACCAGCGCCTGGGCAGGACGAGCCGGGGGGGTCAGGCAGGCTGACCTCACGAATGCCCCGGTGCCCCGCCCCCCAGGAAGGAAGGACCCCTCACCGGTTCCACGTCTTGAAGGCGTTGCTGGCCCTCTTGAAGAGGTAGCCCTCCATCACCACCCCGCTGGGCGCGTCCACGTCAAACTCCGCTTTGGGCTCATCGTAGGAGAAGTCCTGGGGGCCGGTCCCCCGTGAGTGGCCACCCCGGACCCGAGCACGGCCCCGCCCCGAACCTCCTGGGGGCAGGCGGTGCCCTCACATCCCCACCGGGGCTCCAGCCGAGAGCCCAAGCCCCGGAACAGCAGGCTGTGCCATGAGGAAGGAAGCTGTCTGTGCCCCCCGCCCCCCGGCCCCATTCACGCTCCAGCTGGGCCTGCTCCCAGCCACAGAGCCCCATTCACAGGCTGGGAGACCCTGAGTGTGTCCTGTGTGTGGCGGTGGGAGCGGAGGCCCAGCCACCTGCTGTCCTGGCCGAGTGGGGGCAGGGAGGGACAGCCGCTGCCACTCCCACGGGGACGCTCCCGGCTGGGCCCCGAGTCCTCCTCGCTGGTGCCAGCCACCGGGTGCCTGGGAGGTGTCCTTGGTGCTGAAGTGCCCCTCTCATCTGGCCTTCCCCTTACCCCTCACCCCCCCACCCCCCACCCTGTCCAGGGCAAAGCCCACTCACCTGCAGCAGTGTCTGGGGCGGAGCAGCAGGGGGTGGGAGGAGAGAGAGAATGCCAGTGAGTGCCAGCCCCCCACCTGCCCAGGCTCTCACTGACTGAAATGGCAGTTCTGCCTGCAGCCCACTCCGCCCTGGGCAGTGTGGGGGCAGCGGTCTGGCAGGTTACCAAAGAGGAGCCACTAGCAGCCAGCACCTGAGGCCCCAGAGGCGACGCTGGCCTTGAAGGACGAGGGGCATTCGCTGGCCCCTGCCCACCCTGCTCTGGCCTCTGAGTAACACGGGGCCACCCTCCCTCCTGCTCCATCACGGTGAGACCCGACGGGCGGGGGTCCCAGCAGGGTGGGCAGGTCTGGGGGAAGGGAGAAGCGTGTGTAGGTGCCAGGGGCCCCCCCAGGGCAGCGGGAAGGGGTGCCCCTTACACCCCCGACCCCCAGGGCAGGGCGGTGAGGGCCTCACCCGCTGCTGGATGGCCGCGTGCCGGTGCTCCATCTCCCGCTTCTCCACGGCCGAGTCGATCACCAGCTGGTCCAGCTGTGGGGAGGGGCGTCAGGGCGGGGAGAAGGGACCCCTCTCCCCGAGACCCAGGCCGGGCCCGTCCCCTGCCCTCCCTACCCCCGGCTCACCTCGGCCGCCAGCTTCTTCATGTAGGGGTCCAGCTGGTGCAGCAGGCTGTAGCCCTGCTGGAAGAAGCTGTACTGGGCGTGCATGAAGGACAGCATCTGCGGGCGGGCGGGCGGGAGGCGCCGGTGAGGCCACCTGCCCGGCACCCTGCCGCCCGTGCCCCTGCCCCTGCCCCGGGGCAGTGCCCCGCCCGCCCCACGCCCGGCACTCACAGAATCCAGGATCTCAAACTTCTTCTTGGCCTGGAGGACATTGATCTGCCGGGAAAGGGTGTCGGGGTCGAGGCAGCCCACGGCCTGCACTTGCCACCAAGCCCGCTCAGGCTGCTTGTGGTCCCCTGAGACCCCCGACTCATCTTCGCACCCCTGCCCTGGGGCCAACCGCATCCTCCCCTGTCAGGATGGTGGGTCCTTCCTTCCCACGGGCAGAATCCGGAACTCCCACCCGGCTCTGCCCTCAGCCGTCTCCCGGGCCTCCACCCACACCCGCCTGGTCCCTCCCCAAGACCTGGTTAGTTTCTGGAGCCAGAAGCACCTCTCCCGAGGTCAGCTCCGCCCGCCCGCCCGTCCCTCCGTCCGTCCGTCTGCAGGACCGCCCCCCCGGGACCGGCCTCCGTGCCAGCGGCTGACCTGGAGCACGTAGTCCAGGGCCAGGTGGCGGAAGCACTTTCGGGTGAGGGTCAGGGCGCCGGTGGCCTCCTCCACCTCGTGGGGCCGGTGCCGCGGGGCCTGGGCGTTCCTCACCAGGGACAGCTCCAGGTCCTCCCGGACTTTGTCAAACTGCTTCTTGGTCTCCTTGAACTTCCGCACGTCCCTGGGGGCAGTGGGGGGGTGAGGGTCAGGTCGGGGGGCTCCCAGGAGGGACGGACGTGGGGTCTCCCCCTTCCTGAGATGCCCTCCCTGCTCCTGGGCAGGGCCTCCCTGCCTGCACCCCCTGCAGCCGTCGAGCGGGGTGCCCCCCTCCTTCCCCTCTCTGCCTCCCTCTTCTCCCTCCCCTCTTCCTCAAGGTCCCTTCCCGGACCCAGGGCCCCCCCTTGCCCTTCACCATCTCAACCCGAAGGTCAGTCCAGCCTGGGGTGACCCCCAGCTTCAACCAGAATCCAGGCTCAGGTCCCCAACTTCAATGTGGCATCACTTGGGGGTCCACTAGGCACCCCAACTGCACACACACTGCTGAGCCCAGACTCCCACCACCACCCTGACTCCTCCCACAGTCATGCCCTCACCCCTCGCCCCTCGCCTTACCCTCCCGCCCTGTCCCCCTCTGAGCCTTTGTCCATGCTGAGCCCCCACCCAGAGCCTGAGGCCTGGGGCCAAGGCCCCTCCCAGACAGGCCCTGGGACCCCCCAGATCCAGCACAGGAAACGCCAGGAGCCCCTCCCAGGCCGGGAGAGGCGAGGCACCCCCTTGGGGTCCGGGCCTCCAGCCACTCACTCTTTGATGAAGTTGTGGAGCTGCTGCCGCACGGACCTCTGGGCCTGGTCAAACAGGATCTGGGGGGTCACGGACAGGGGGTGTGAGTGGTCTGTCCCCACGTGACCCCAGGGGCCAGGCCCCATCCCTCTCAGGTGAGGACCAGGGAGAGTCCCCCCCAGCCCAGCCTGGGCCCCAGCCCGTCCCCCACGGAGCCGGCCTCACAGGGCCTAGGGGAGCGGGGGTGGCCTCAGGCCTGGGCCGGTGCCCAGAGGCGACAGCTGTGACCACCTGCCCACGCCCCCTCCTGGCTCTCGGCCAGAGCTGTCCCAGATGGGCCCCTCCTCTGCCCCACCCACAGGGCACCTGTGACACCCCCACCTTGGGGAGGACCAGCCTGCGGTAGGAAGTAAGGGGTGGGAGCTGGAGCTCCCGAGGACTGGCCTAGGAGCAGGGGCGGGTGGTGGTGGGGGTTGGAGGGCTATCGAGCACTTAGGGGGCCCAGAACCGGACCTGCCACGCGGGGGCCTGTCCGGAAGCAGACAGACAGACAGACAGACAGGGCAGGACATGCTGTTCTGAGCCGGTTTATTTCTGAACTTCCCCTGGGGGTGGGGCCCCTTGTTTAGTCTGGGGCTCCGGCTGCCAGGCTGCTGTCCAGCCGCCCACGTGCGCCTCACTAGGCCTGTGCCGGTGGCCTGAGGGCTGGAGGTCATCCAGACCTGACCCGGAGCAGTGAGGCCAGGTCACCAGGGGCCGGGGTCAGCCTGGGAGGTGCTCTCGCTGCACTGAACAGCCGAGACCTGCCCGGTGAGGGGCCCGGGGTGACCCTCCAAAGCATCTCCCCCGAGAGCCCACTGCCCCCTCCCCGGCCACCCCACTGCCTGGCCCTCACCTGGGACACACGAGACGTCTCCCCCCCAGACAGGAGCCGAGGTGTGGGCTCTCCCAGAGCAGACCCTGCCGGCCGCTTAGCCCTGCGGACAGGCCCTGGGACAGGCCCTCGTGCGTGTGTGTGTGTCTCCCCCTCTCCCCGCGCTCCGCCGCTGGCTCACCATGTGGTAGTTGACCATCTCCTGCAGGCTGTCTCCAAACCTCTGCAGACACTCCTGGGGGGCAGGGGAGACCCTCGTTCAGATGGGTCAGCCATGCCCCCGAGCGCCCGCACCTTCCCGGCGACAGGCCACGGAGCCGCCCCCGCGCCCACACAGATGCCCACATGCTCCCGGGACCCGGGCGCCCGCCCGCAGGGGCTGCCTGCCCGGGCCTGCCCTCGGCGAGGCCGGAGGCCGGGGCCCTCACCGAGATGACGGTGTCTCCCTGGCATTGCTGGGACAGGTCGCGCACGCCGCTCACAAAGAGCCTGTTGGTGGTGACGTAGGCCTTGCCGGCCTCGATCATGCCGCTGCACAGCTTGACCAGCTGCGGACGGGACGGGGCGGGGCGGGGCGGGGCGGGGCGGGGCGGGGCGGGGCGGGGCGGGGCGGGGCGGGGCGTGACACCTGGGCTGCCGAGCGCTGAGGGACCCCCCGCCCGCCCGCCCGCCATCCTGAGCCCACTGGGCGCTGGGTCAGCCTTGGCTCCGGAGGGAGGTGAGCAGAGAGCCCAGCACGGGTGGGCATGTGGGCACGTGGGCTGGGCCAAGCGTCAGCAGGACCAGCCACCGAGGGGGCTCAGGAGAGTGCCCCTCGGTGCTCCCCCGATTCCCCCCGGGCCCCCAATCTGGTCACTCAGAGGCACAGCCTCCCAGTGGCCTCCCCCCCCATGGGAGACCCAGAGGCGCACAGGTGTGTGCGTGCGTGCGTGTGTGTGTGTGTGTGTGTGTGTGTGCGCACAGAGTGTGCACTGGGGATGGGCATGTAGGTACAGCTGTGGCGAGGGGACACAGCCACATCTCGTGCACGCACACAGGCTGCATGCTCGCACACGTGTGTGCACACACCCCAGTGGCCGGGCCTGGGGCGAGGGGCGGCCCGGAGCCCACGCGGCCCCTCACCTTGTCCAGCTTGGCCTCCATCTCGACCACATCCGTCTCCACCTCATCGATGGTCGCCCTGTGGCGGGAAGAGGTCAGTCAGGGGTCAGCCGCGGCCAGCCGCCCCAACCTCGGGCCAGGCTGAGTCTTCGCCTGCCCACGCCCCTCCCCAGGGTGGCTGCTGGCTCCTGGGGCTGACCCGCGGCCCCACGGCCCTCAGTCAGGCCAGGAGGCGGAGCTGGGAGAGGAGGCAGGACAGCGGCCCAGTCCAGCGGACTCGAGCTGCCCAGAGCCACCACCTCCCCAGGCAGAGAGAGGGCCTGTCACAGGTGACCGCCCGCCCCCCCCATCTGAGGCTGGGCTGCTGTGGCCCTGGGTACAGAGGTCAGACAAGCCTGAGGACAGAGGGGCCGGAACCCTAGGGCAGGTGCACACGCAGGGCGGGGCCAGGGCGGCCGGCCACCCCTGCCCCGCCCCAGACTCCACTGGGCTCCCCAGCCTGGCGGCTCCTGCCGCTTGCCCGGCTCAGCCAGAACTTCTCTGGCTCCCTCAGACACCCCCAACCTCCAAACAAGAAAGAATGGCACCATCTGCCCGGAGAGGGGTGGGTCAGGTCCCGTCCTCCCCCATTCCGCCCCCTGCCCCACCGCACCCGAACCCCCGCAGCCTGACAATGAGCTTTCCCGGGAGGGGCGAGGGGCGGGGAGAGTTAACACATGACATCACCGGAGGAGCCGAGGACGGAGAATCCCCGGAAGGCAGAGCAGATGGATCGGGCACGTGACCCTCCCCCCCACAAACGCTCCGGGAACAGGAAATAGGAAAATCAGGCCAGTGTCCCGGTGCCCCCCGCCCATCTGGCCTCCTGGGTGGAGGGACGAGGGAACGGCTCCGGCCTGGCAGGGAGGCAGGCCTCCAGAGACAGGCCTTGGGCGGGGTCAGGCCGAGGGGAGGCGGGCAGGGGAGGGGCGTGGGCTAGGATTTCCCAGGTTTGCTGGCGTAGGACCTGGTCCCTCAGGTGGGTGCAGCTCAGAATGACCTCCTGGGGAGCTGGGGGAGGGGGCGGGACCTCATGCATCTCCACTCCACCCCAGGACACGGCTCCTCTCTGAGGGGTTCCGGGGATGCGTCCCGGAGCAGAGCTGTCAGAGGGGTGACTCCCTGTCCCAGCCGCGGCCCGGCCCCCGCGGGTGCCCACCGCCCACCCAGGACTGCCTGGCCCAACAGCCCGAGGTGTGTGGCTCAGGGACCCTGACCTCTGCTGTGGCCTCTCGGGTCCCCTCAGAGGGTCCCTCCCCAGGCAGGGAAGGCCCACCCCCCAGAAGAGGGTGCTGCAGGGGGAGCCCCAGCACCCCAAGTGCCCTGGCAGCTGCACAGTGAGCTGCCACCCGGGGCCTGGGCGCCTGGGCCCCGAGCCAGCAAGGAAGGTGCTGCACTGGGAGCCTGGGCCAGCCCCCTCCCTGGAACTCCTCCCCAGGCCCCAGCCCAGGCCCCTCCCAGACCCCCCCCCCCAGCCCCGGGACCAGGGCCGCCTCTCCTGCCCGTCCTCCAGGATTTCCTCAGCAGCTTGGAGGAGGATAGAGGAGGGAGAGGCCAGTGGTTCCTCCACCGAAGCCGTGACTCAGTGCTGACGCCCCACCCAAGGGAGGGGGCACCGAGGACAACGGGGTGGGCGAGGCCGGGCCTGTCTGAGAGCGTCTGGTCCCCCGAACCACGTGCACGGCGCTGTGGGGCTCCCCCAGGCCAAGAGCACACGGCCAGCTCCCCTCCCAGGGCTGGGCTCACATGGCCCACATCACTGACCACATCCTCCTGGCCGGCCGGCCGGACCCTGACCGCCTCCTCAGGCCAACCTCCCGGAAGCCAGGTTACGTGCTCAGCCGCAGTGGCCGCCAAGCCGCTGAGGGGCCTCAGGACGGTCTCGCACCCCCTTTAACTTTCTGCCCAGCCCGAAACCGGGTCCCGGGGATCCACTGAGCTCCCCAGGCCCGGGCGGCACTCTCACAGCAGCCAGCCCCTCCCTGCCCGGGGAAGCACAGCGAAGCCACCGCACCCACGGCGGGAGCCACAGGCAGAACAGGCTGGGGTGGGAGGAAGGCCCAGAGGGGACCGGGTGCTGGGCCGGGCCTGACCGGGAAGGGCGTCCCACCCAAAGGGAGGAAGAGCAGGAGGCTCTGCGGGAGGGCCGGGACCAAGCCCCCGCCGAGGCCCTGGTACCCTCCGTCCACCGCAGGGCCTGGAGGCCAGTGGGCAGAGGTGTGGCCAGAACCATGAGTGCACGCACTGCTCACACCCCAGGGCATGGGGCCACCTCATCCCAGCCTCCCTGGTGAGGCTGGCTGCAGGGGGCTGCACACACACACACGGGCCCTCTTGTTGGCACAGCCCAGGGACCAGGCATGCACACTACACGGGACCTCCTGGGCCATCCCAGGTGCATGTGTGTGTTGGCACGTGCACACGCAGACACACGTGCAGAGACTCGTGTCCCAGGGCTGGGATACAGATGAACAATCTAACCTGCGCGTTTAGTGGCAACACTCACGCCAGCATGAAAAGTACATGTACGTGTCCACACCAAGAAGTACATGCACGTGTCCACACGTGCACGAGCCCATTGCTGGTGTGCACACATGTGCCAAGCAGGCCAGCACAGGGGTACAGCTCACCTACACAGTCACATCCAGGGTCTGGCACCCGAGGGCGTGACGTGCGTGGGGAAGGCAGACACACACACACACACACACACACACACTCACACACACACGCACACACACACACACACACACACACTCACACACGGGCAAGCATGCCTGCTCTCCCAGGAAGCACCAAAGACAAGAACCCAGGATGGAAGGGCCACAGCCCGGACCCTTGGACCCAGGCTGCTCAGTCTGACCCTGAGGTCACCTCTGTCCAGCAGCCCCAGGCCCACTGGCTGTCCCCCGTGGGCAGCTCTGGGCACAGGGACCAGACAGAATGCAGGACAGGCCCACATCCCGGCCGGAGCAGGGCCGCGGGGCCGTGCAGGTGGCCGGCACGATGGGGCCTGCACAAGGCGGGGTGGACACTCCGCGGGGAGGCAGACACCCGCGGGGAGGTGGACACGGAGGTGGACACCCGCGGGGAGGTGGACTCTCCGTGGGGAGGAGGACACCCGCGGGGAGGTGGACACAGAGGTGGACTCTCCACGGGGAGGTGGATGCTCCGCGGGAAGGTGGACGGAGGTGGACACGCCGCGGGGAGGTGGACGGAGGTGGACACGCCGCGGGAAGGTGGACGGAGGTGGACACCCGCGGGGAGGTGGACGGAGGTGGACACGCCGCGGAGAGGTGGACGCCCCGCGGGGAGGTGGGAGGTGGACGCCCCGTGGGGAGGTGGACGGAGGTGGACACGCCGCGGGGAGGTGGCCGCCGGCGCAGCCCCGCCCCACGCGCGCCCCTCGGCGAGGCGGCCGGCGAAGGGGCATCTTTTGTTCCGCCGGCTCGTCCGGGCGCTGCGGGCTTTGTCCGCGGCGGGTCCGCCCGCGCCCGGCACCGGCTCCCGCGCCGGACACAAAGGGGGCGCCGCCGCCGCCGCCGCCCGCGCCCTCCCGGCCGCCCGGGTCCCCAGGGGGCGCCCCCCGGCGGCCACAAAGGCGGCGGCGGCTCACCTGAAGCGCGGCGAGTCCTTGATGCACTCCTCGAACTCCACCGTCATGGCTGCGGCGCGCTCGCTGGCTCAGGACCGCGGCGCCCCGAGCCGCATCCTCGGCGGCCGGCCGCTCCTCCGCCGCCGCCCGCGCCGAGCCCCGCGCCCGCCCGCGCCGGAACGAGGCCGCCGCCCCGCCCGCCTGTCACCGCCGGGGAGCGTCGCCAAAGTGCGCAGCGCGGGAGCCGCCGCTGTCACTGCCAGGGCGCGTCGCCAAACGCCCTGCCCTCCCCACGGCCGCCGCCGGCGCGCGGCTCCGCCCGCCCCGACGATCCGCCCCCCAGTCCCGGCCGCTCCAGGTCGGGGAGGAGAGCGGGCTCGGCAGCAGCGGGGAGTCGGAGCCGTCGCTGACCGCCAGGCGCGGGCACGCCCTCTCCGGCGAGCCGGCCGCGGTTGCGCAATGAGGGACCTTTGCAAAACCCGCGGGGCGGGGCCTCAGCGGAAGCCCGGGCTCCCCGAGGGTGGGCAGCGGGAAGCGCGGGGACAGGGGAACGTCGGAGTGCGCGCACGCGGGGGCGTGCAGGTCGGCGCGCGGTTTGAGAGCGGCATCCGGACGCAGCTGCCCGAGTCAGGCCCACGCGCCCCCCAGAGAGCCGCACTTTGCACCCGCTCCCTAACGACGGCCCCGCCCCTGCCCCGCCCTCGGCGGCCCCGGGGTCGGGCGTGTCTGGCTGTGAGGCGGGGCAAACGCAAAGCGCAGGCGCGGAGCCGCTGGGGCGTGGCCGGACTCTGTGCGCATGCGCACAGGCCCACGTGCGGCCTCCACTCCCCTGGGTTCGTGGTCCGGTCCCGCCGGTCCCGCCGGTCCCGCCGGGCCATGGGCTCGGGTCCGGTCGCGGGCTCGGTGCGGGCGCGCTACCTCGTGTTCTTCCAGTACGTGGGCACCGACTTCAAGTATGTCCCCACCTCCCGTGCCCCAGCCCCCGGGGAAGCGCGGGAGCTGGTCCCCAAGGGCAGCGAGCGCGAGGAGGGGGCGGGAGCTGTAGGGTTTGCACTTCCGGCCCCGCCGGCACCGGCCCGGAGCGGCCGCCCGCCTACCTGCCCGCCTCTGCCCACAGCGGGAGCGCGGCTGTCAGGGGCGCCCAGCGCGCGGTCGGGGTGCAGAACTACCTGGAGGTGAGCCGGCCTGTGGCCCGGGAGGGCGGAGGGCGGCCGGTGCCGGTGGGAGCTCGGGGCTGACCCCGGCGGCTGTCCCCGCAGGAGGCCGCCGAGAAGCTGAAGTCGGTCGTGCCAGTCAAGTTCATCATCTCCAGCCGCACGGACGCTGGGGTCCACGCCCTGAGCAACGCCGCGCACCTGGACGTGCAGCGCCGCGCGGGCCAGCCGCCCTTCACACCCGAGGTCCTGACCGAGGCCCTCAACACCCACCTGCGGCACCCCGCCATCCGGTGAGCACCCCCTGCCCCGGCCTAGGCCTCCCCCGCGCTGGAGGCGGGGTCAGGGAGCACTTTGGACAGACTTTCTCAGGGTATGGGGGGAGATACCACGGGGACACCTGTGTGGGGGGGGTCATGTCCCCGGTGTTACTCCCACAGGGTCCAGCAGGCCTTCCGTGTGCCCACCGACTTCCACGCCCGCCACGCTGCCACATCCAGAACCTACCTGTACCGCCTGGTCACCGGCTGCGCCCGGTATGACCAGCTGTCTGTGTTTGAGCGAAACCGGTGCTGGGCCCTGCGAGCAGAGTGAGTGTGGGTGTGTGGCAGTGAAGGGGGGGTGCCAGGCCCACCTGGCTGGCCACTTCCTCCTGACCTCTCACCTGGCTCCTGCAGCCGCTTGGACATGGCTGCCATGCAGGAGGCTGCCCAGCACCTCCTGGGGACACACGACTTCAGCGCCTTCCAGTCGGCCGGCAGCCCCTCCACCACCTCCGTGCGCACGCTGCGTCGAGCCTCCGTGTCCCTGGACCCAGCCGGTCCCTTTGTCCTTCCCCAGGAGAGCAGGTGAGGAGAGCGGCCTTAGGATGGAGGCCAGGGAGGCTGTGAGGCCCAGCACCTCTCTGGCCAACACGGAGCCTCCCTGCCCTCGTCCCTGGCTCTCCTGCTGGGCATGGTCTGGACTCCCAATTGCTAGAATGATAGGTGAGGGCTGACAGCATGGCTCCTCCTCCTGCAGGGACCCAGCCTATAGGGCCTTCCCGGGCACAGTGGGCCGTGCAGAGGCAGGACATCCTGGGCCCCCCCCTGGGGGCGAGCTGGGCCATTGGTGCCATGAACCCGCAGCTGTGCTGTCCCCCTCCACCCCCGGCTGGAGAACAAAACGAGGGCTGCTTTCCCTGAGGGTTCCCAGCCCTGCCTGACAAGGGTGGTACCACTGCTCCCAGCACCATCCCAGGGGGCCTCTGGTCACATGGGAGCTGCTGACTTCTAGAACCTTCCTAGTGTGGGCCAGCTCTGAAGGGAGGAAGGACTTCTGCACCATCAGCCTGAGGTGTGTCAGAGCCCCGAGCTGATGCTAGGACCTTAGCGTCTCCCCGAGGCCCTGTCCCCACCGCATGGCCCTCAGAAGGCTCTCCCCTCCCTCACAAGGGATAGTTGTCTGGTTTGCACCTCCCGTAGGAGGCTCCTGGGGTGGAAGAGGGTGGGTACAGCTTCCTGGGCCCTCTGCCTGCCCAGCACCCTTTCCTCGTCGGGAGCCAGGCAACTGGGGTTGCCCTGCGGCGCTGACGTCACGGTGCCCGTGTCCCCAGGAGGCTGCAGTTCTGGAGCTTGGAGTTTGAGAGCCAGTCCTTCCTGTACCGACAGGTGGGCTCTGCGCCGGGGCCTCCCGGGGAGGCGGGAACTGGGGCCCAGGTGGCAGGCTGAGCCTTGGGTTGCAGGTGCGGAGGATGACGGCCATCTTGGTGGCCGTGGGGCTGGGGGCTGTGACCCCTGCTCAGGTGAAGACGATTCTCCAGAGCCGGGACCCGCTGGGCAAGCACCAGACACGCGTGGCCCCAGCCCACGGCTTGTTCCTGAAGTCGGTGCGATTCGGGGGCCTCAGAGACCTCGGTAAGAGGTGCTGAGGAAGGCCCCAATGTGTGCCGCTGAGGGGCCCACTCCAGGAGCAGGAGCCATGCTGACACCACCTCCCCTGTCGTTCTAGCAGCTGGGAGTCCACACTGTGCCCAGCAGGAGAGCCAGAGACCAGGGGGCAGGGAGGCTCCGGGTTGGCCAGAAGACTCCAGGCTGGAGACCAGCGGCCCGAAGGCAGGTGGCCTGGAGTGAGGTGCCATGCCCCTTAGAGCCAGAGCCCCCTCAGCCCACACCCCTGTCCCCAGTGGGCGAGGGGGGCTCCCAGCCTGACCTAGGATCTGGCCACCAGTCCTGCCTCCCGCAGTCCCAGGGCTTCTGGCTCATGGTCTGCAGGGTCCATAGCACGGAAGCCACAGATGGCCCCGGGTGCCGAGCCAAGGTCAGAGCACCCACAGCTCACTCGGTCTGGCCACTGAATCCTGCCTGGCTCTGCACACCACATGCCCTGTTGTCCAGCACTCGGCTACCTGGGGCCACAGCAGGCCTCCTGCTCCCCAGCACCCAGCGTGCCCATCTGCCCAGGCGGGCGGCCCTGGCGTAGGTGCAGGAGACGGGTGCGAGCACCAAGGCGGGGAGACAAGCAGCCTTCGGTTCTGTCACCGGGAATTAATGTGATAAAATAAAATGTGAAGAGGTCTCCAGGGTTATTTATTTCTTCCGCCCCAAACGGCCACGCGGGCAGACATGGGACACTGGTGCTGCCCACGTGAGGCTGGCGCTGGCCGGCTGCGGGCTGCACGTCCAGAGGGAAGCCCACGGCAGGCACTGTCCTGCAGCGGAAGCCCAGGCCCCTGGCTGGCGAGGGAAGGGCAGGCAGCCGTGGCGGTCAGCTGCCTCCGCTGGGGGCTGGGGGCAGGCCCTTCTTGAGCAGAGACGTGAGGTAGCTCCCCAGCTCTTCATCCTACGAGGGGACACAGGAGCTGTAGTCCCGCCCCGCGGCCCAGGCGGAAGGAGTGACCCTGCCCGTCCTGACCCGCTGCCCCGTGCCAGCTTCCTGGGTCCTGCACGCACCTGGTAGGTCCAGGAGACCAGCAGCACCCTGGTGCTGGGGTCCTCGGAGTGGGCAGCAGCCTGGATGAGGATGGACTCCACGGTCACCGAGCCATCGGGGAGGTGCTGCACGCAGTGGTCCTTGAGGAGGCTGCACAGGGAGCCACGTCAGGCCCCACCCCCTGAGACACGCCCACCCCCGCCCGAGGGGCCAGGCTGCGCCCACCTCTTGAGGTGGCTGTAGACACGCATGGCCGTCTCCTGCTCCTTGCGTGAGTCGTGCAGGTGCACTCGGCAGGTGAAGCGCAGCTGGTGCTCGGCCAGGCCTAGCTCCTTGAGGGCTTGCTCAGAGGACACCAGCCGGAAGCTCTGCGGGGCAGGGTCGGTCAGGTCAGAGCCCGTCACAGCCCCTATCACCCCACCGCGCCGCCCTGCCGTGCACTCACACTGTCCTTCATGATGAGGGTGCCGTGCAGGAGCCGCGGCTTCTTGGCATCGGGGAGAAGCCCTGAGAGAAGAGCAGGGATCAGAGCTGCCAGGGCCCGCTGCCCGCCTGGCTCCGCCCAGCAGGCCTGCCTGCCCAGCTTACCCTGCGCCATTTCCCGCTTTAGCAGCCCCAGCGAGATGCCCACGGGGATGCTGGGGCTCGTGGGCAGGGTCACAGTCTCGCCATTGGCTGGCATGTAGCAGTTGACTCCTGGGCCAGGGGCAGAGAGCATGTCAGGTCAGGCTGGCCAGCCCTGCCATGCTGACCCCCTGGGGCGACCCGCCGAGCCCTCCCGCGCATCGGCTGCCTACGGAACTCCTGCTCGATCTTCTGCTTCAGGAACTCCATCTTCTTGGCCTCGCCGTGCACCAGCAGCACGCTCTCGGGCTCCGCCTGGCCCACCAGCTGCATGATGCCCTTGGCGTCCGCGTGGGCGCTGAAGGACATGTACTCCACCTGCATGCGGATCTCCAGCTGCAGGGCACAGGCGCAGGCTGTCAGCACCCGCCCGAGAGGGGCCTGGGAGCTGGGGGCGGGCGGCACTCACCACCTGCCGCCCCTCCATCTCCAGCTTGCGCTGCCCGCTGAGGATCTTGTGGCCCACGGTGCCCTGCACACAGTAGCCCGGCATGATGACCTGCAGGAGAGAAGGCAGAGCTGCTAGCCGCCTGCATGGCCTCGATCTGCCCAGGGCTGAGCCCCACGGCCGACCCCTCATCAGGAGGGGTTCCTGACACTAGACGGGCAGACAGTGACGTCTGAGCTGCCTGGCTGGACCCTGGGCCCCGGTACTGCACCCCTCCTGACAGCAGTAGTGTGCCCGAGCCGGGGGCGCCCCTGCTCCCCACCTCTGCCCAACCTCAGGCCTCCACGGAGCCATCCCAGAGCCCTCACCATGTTCTTCTCATTCCCGGCCCACTTCCGGAAGATCTGCAGGGACTGCCCGGCGTGCAGCATCCCTGGTGTGGCGAACACGACCTGGGGGTCACCATGGGGCAGTCAGGGCAGCCCTCGCCACGCCCGACCAAGAACCAGGCTCTGCACACATCCGTCCTCCCCTCCCATCAGGCCTCCGGCTCCACCCACATCTCCCGCCCAACCCAACACCATCTTTCCTCCAGCACGGCGTGCCCCCTCCACGGGGGGCGGGGGGGGGGGACACACACCCTGGCAGGCCCCAGACGAGGAGGAAGGCGCTGTGGACATGGTGCTGGCCCATGCCCAGCCCCAGCCTGGGGGCATGCCTTGGCTGCAGCGGCACCGAGGCCAGGGCCTCACCATTGGGCCCGGATTGTCGGCGAAAGCTCGGTCGAAGGCCTTGATGTGCTTGAACTCGAACATGTTCCGCTGGACGAAGGTCTTGCGGATCTTCTGGTTGGTCCAGGTGATGAAGAGCTTGTAGTAGTGGTTGGCCTTCTCCGTGAGGCCGGTGGAGAAGTAGATGGGGGCCTTCAGGTTCATGCGCTCCCTGTGGGCGGGTGGCCGTGGTGGAGGAGCCGCCAGGTTGACCAGCACGTCCCCACGCCCTCGGCCTGCCTCCCCCTCCAAGCGGCAGGGCTGACGTGCGGAGGCCTCAGTGCAGAGCGAGGTGCCCACGTGCTGTTCTGGGCCCCAGGCTCAGGTTGGCCCCACAGCCCACTCAGCCCAGGGCCCCTGTACCCACCAGAAGGTCTCCAGCAGGATGCAGAGCTCCTGAGCGCGGCCCAGTGCGAACACGGGGATCAGCACCTGCAGAGGCAGGCTGGCGTGGGTAGGGGCCGGGCCGCCCTGCTCGCCCAGGCGGAGCTCGTGAGAACACAGTGGCTGGGCAGGTGCTCCCTGTGGCCACCTTCTTGGGCAGCAGCCGTGAAGACGAGCCCTGCTGGCAGTTCCCATGGCGGAGGCCACGTCCACGGAGAGGTCACGGCCAGGCACCCCTGAGAGCTGGAGGCCCCCCTACATCCTGCCCCACCCCACCCCGCCACTCCTCCGGCCACACTCCATCCCAAAGGGAGTGGTGGGCACTGGCCAGCCTGTGGCGGGACCTGAGATGAGGGGAAGCCAGTACCCCAGAGGGTCAAAGGGCGCTTCTCTTCCCAACAGGAGTAGGGCCCCCCCCTCGCCCGGCCAGAACCACAGCACCGTCCCGACTGCAGGCCCCGCCCGCGCCCGCCGCGGCCGCTACCTTCCCGCCGCGCTCCACCGTCTCGTGGACCTTCTTCAGGAAGTCCCGCTCCCGGCAGCGCTTGGAGTCACGGATGGTCGTGGCGTACGTGGACTCTGTGATGAGCAGGTTGGGGCGGCATTTGTCAATCCAGGCGGCTCTGGAAGAGGGGGCGTGGCCTGAGCGGGACAGTCCACACGGCCTCCAGCAGGGGGGGAGCATCAAGCCGGACCAAGCCGGACCCAGCCGGCTCGCGCCCAGGCCTCCGGACCCGAGGGGCAGCCTCCTCTGCAAGGCCCAGCACAGGCAGGGAGCCCCGAGGAGAGACAGGGGAGCCCCTGCCTCCCTCAGGGACACGGGGGGGGGGGGGGGGGGGGGGCACTGGATGAAGCCACCGCCTACTCACCCCAGGTGCCGGTCCGGGGTCATGTTGTAGTCGCCCTGCAGGGGAGCAGCTCTCAGGAGGGGCCTCCTCCCCCCGCCCAGCACCCCACTGGTGCCCCAGGGCACCCACTGACCGTGTAGACCACGGACTCCGAGCCCACTTTGATCTGGAACATGGCGGCCCCCAGCACGTGGCCGGCGTAATAGGCCTTGATCTGCAGCTCCTCGTCCACCTGGGAGGGGAGGGCCGGGTCAGGGCTGTGGCTGTGTGCAGGTGGTGTGTGGGGGGGGTAGCAACGGAAGTAACTTTATGGTTGGGGGTCACCACAACATGAGGAGCTGCATTAAAGGGCTGTGGCATCAGGAAGGCTGAGAGCCACACACGCAGCATCTCTGATAAATGCTGCCACTTAACCCCTCGCCTGCGGCCAGCCCTCGTCTGCCCCTGACGCGCGCACAGCAGTGACCGAGATGGAGCCCAAACCCCGCAGCCCAGCTCCGTCCGGCCCCTGCCTCCCCGGCCAGCACGCAGGAGCTCTGTCCTGCTCAGATGCCGAGTGCCGCACCAGCCTCCCTCCCGCCGCTGCCCCCTGGTGGCCCGGCCTGGCACTGACCTGGACCGTCTGGTGGAGGCGCACGGCCACCACCTTCTTCATGCAGTCCTTGATCATCTGGGAGGTGAAGAAGTTGGCCTCGCCCTTCTTGTCCACGGCGATCTTGCGATAGTCCTCCAGCAGGATGGGGCAGATGGCCTGGGTGGGGTGGGTCATGTAGATGGGCCCGTCGTAGCCCACCATCTCGCTGAAGTAGGGCAGTGCCCCGCAGTGGTCCAGGTGGAAGTGGCTGGGGGCGCAGCAGGGTCAGCGGCCACGGCACCCCCCTCACAGCCCCTCCCACCAGCTCCCCTCGGTCCTCCGCCCGCCATCCGTCCTTCCATCCCTCGCTCACTGAGGGCTCACTGTGCCAGGCATGTCCTAAGTGCCGGGGTGGGGAGCGAGCAGAGGGACAGACCTTACAGTCTGACAGCCGCTCGGCAGTGAGCACATGAACGGTTAGATGTGTGTCAGACAGACAGCGACACGCTGTGAGGATGTGTGTCAGACGGTGACATGTTCTTGAAGAAACAGATCAGCCAAAGGACAGTGCGCCCGGAGCCCTCCACCCGGCTACCGCTGGGCCGGTCTTGGCCTCCCCCTGGAGACCTGGCCTGGCCCCATCGTCCTGGGCACCTGGCTCTCCTCCACTACACTGTGTCCCCCTCCCCCAAAAAGCTGACTGCAGCCCAGCCAGCAGCACCATGAACACCTATGACCACACACAGACACCACCTTCACGGCCAGCACCAGAGGGAGGGCCAGGCCTGGGGCGAGCCACAAGGCCACTGGGACAGAATCACCAGTCTGCAGCCTCCGCAGGCCAAGCAGGGAAGGCTAGAGACAGCTCAGCCCTGTCCCCAAGCCCCACCCCACAGCCCCGCACTCCAGCCCCGTCCCACAGCCCCATTCACAGCCCCATCCCTCACCCCCATCCCCCAGCCCCATTCACACCCCCATCCCCCAGTTCCATCCCCAGCCCCATCCCCCAGCCCCATTCACACCCCCAGCCCCCAGCCCCGTCCCCAGCCCCATCCCACAGCCCCATTCACAACCTCATCCCCCAGCTCCATCCCCAGCCCCATCCCACAGCCCCATTCACACCCTCATCCCCCAGCTCCGTCCCACAGTCCCATCCACAGCTCTGTCCCCACAGCCCCATCCCACAGCCCCATTCACACCCTCATCCCCCAGCTCCGTCCCACAGTCCCATCCACAGCTCTGTCCCCACAGCCCCATCCCACAGCCCCGTTCACAGTCTCATCCCCCAGCCCGGTCCCCCAGCCTCGCCCGGCCTGTGGCAGCGCCCACCTGATGATCACGCAGTCCAGGAAGTCCGTCAGCCGGCCGTTGCGGGTGATGTAGGAGAAGTCTGGGAAGCGCCGCTGAGGAATCCGGAGAAAGCGTCAGACACAGCGGCTGCCCGGCTGGCAGGTGCCGGCGGGGCAGCCAGTGCTCCAGGGAGCAGGCGCCAACACCGGGTCTGGCAGCAGCGGTGCCAGGACCACTGCCCGCTCACAGCCTCTGAGCACGGGGTCACAGCCGCCACACAGCCTGCGGACGCCCACAGCCCTTCCCTGGACAGGCTGACCCGGGCAGGACACCCATCCCTCATGTGACAGAGGGGCTGCCCACCTGCCGCCTGCACTGCCCACTTGCCCAGACCGTGTCCATTCCATGGGTCAGCGCCCAGGGCCAGGCTGGGGCAGGACGGCCCAGCCCCCACACCCCGCCCTCCCCGGAACTCACGTCATCGTTGAAGCCCATGTGCATCCCGCAGTCCAGCATGACGTTCTTGCCCCCAATGGAGACCAGGATGCAGCTCCGGCCCACGTCCTGGCCAGCCCCTGCAGGGTCAGGGTCAAGGTCAGGGTCAGGGTCAGGGAGGTACTGCCACAGCCTTCCCATCCCCGCCGCCCGTGCCCCGCCCCCAAAGGCCAAGGCCCAGCTGCCCGTCGCAGGCCCTTCGGGCACTCTGGACCCCTGGCTGGCAGAGCCCTCGGGCTGGGAAAGGACCTCATGACGGCTGCGTGGAGATGAGACCACGTCACGCCCACCGCAGACAGGAAGGGGACGCGCAGGAGGGGACCAAGCGCACGTCCTCCAAGGGCGCGTATCTTTTCAGGAAGCAGCTGTTTCCTTTAAAGTCACGTAAACCACGGGCTGATCTAAGCGGGCCACCGGGCTGGGCAGACGGGAGCTGCAGGCCACCGGCGCGAGGCAGGTGAGCGGCGAGCGAAGCGCGCGGGGGAGCCAAAGGCGCCGCGAGCATCAGTGCCCGCGCGAAGCGAGGGAGGTGCGGCGCCCAGCCCGCCAGCCCGGCCCCGGGACCCCGCGCCCCGAGGCCCCGCCAGCCCGGCCCCGAGACCCCGCGCCCCGAGGCCCCGCCAGCCCGGATCCGGGACCCCGCACCCCGAGGCCCCGCCAGCCCGGCCCCGGGACCCTGCACCCCGAGGCCCCGCCAGCCCGGACCCGGGACCCAGCACCCCGAGGCCCCGCCAGCCCGGATCAGGGACCCCGCGTCCTGAGGCCCCGCCAGCCCGGACCCGGGACCCCACACCCCGGGGCCCCTCCAGCCCGGATCCGGGACCCCGCACCCCGGGGCCCCGCGCCACAGCTGCGGCCGGAGGGCGGCCCCGCGCCCGGCCCCGCCACACCACCGCCCGTCCGCCCGGCGCCCTCACTCACCCAGGGGCGTGACCCTGATCTCGGGCATCCTGCCCCGCGCTCCCCGGCCTGTCGCCTCCGCGCTCCCCGGCCGCCGGACGGACCCCGGACGCCGGGACCCCAAGCGCAACACGAGAGCGCGGCTGGCGGTGACGCACCGCGCAGGCGCGATCCCGCCTCCACGGCGCCCACTTCCGGTCCACCCGCCGGAAGTGCTGGCTGCGCATTCTAATTGGGCGGCGGGCGGCCCATCCGGAGCTGCCCGGGGCGGGGGGCGGGTCCGGTGGCGGCGGCGGCGGCGGCGGCGGCTTGGGCACCGCAGGTGAGCGGGGCGGCGGGCGCTGTGGGCGCGGCGGGCGCGGGTGGGCGCTGGGAGCCCGGAACCGGACCGGTCCGCTGGGCATCTCTCCGGGGCGAGCGCGGGACCCCGGGCGCGGGACGGGGCGGCCGAGGACCCAGCTCCCCGCCATCCCGGACCCGGGACCCCGCCCCCCGGGACCCTGTCCCGTCCCTGGGCCTCAGCGGGAGCAGCACCTGCCCAGGAACGGCCCCGCCCGAGCCCGGCGCCGCCCGGTGCCCCTTTCCCAGGCGAGACTTGCAGGCCGTCCTGGGCGGACTTTGCTCCCAGCTGGGGGCCTGGTTGCAGGGACCGGGGTTCCCCTCTCCAGGGGACCCAGCCTGCTGTCAGCATGGGGTTCGGGGGCTGGGGTGCCCTCCCGCTGAGCCCTGACCTCTGGCCCAGGGCTGCCCCCGGGAGCCCTGGCCTGTCCTGCACCACCTTCCCTAGCTGGCCCGCTGCCACCCTCAGCTGCACTGCCCTTCCTGTTTCCAGGCTCCGGAGGCCCCGGCCGCCCTTGTGGGCTGCTGGCTGGGGCTCCGGGCAGGAAGGCCAGGCTCACAGGATGTCCGGTGGCCAGGAAGGTGGCCCTGAGTGCCCGGAGGCCACCTGCTCCGTGGGCAGAGAACGGAGGCCTTGGGAATGGGGTATTGGAGGGACATCTTCCTGAGGCCTGGCCGCCCCCACACCTGAGACGGGGTGAGCTCACCTCTGAGGGCTCCACCCCATGCCAGGCATTCAGGCCAACCCACTCACTGAGCCCAATCAGCCTGGACAGTGGGCAGGGCAGGGCGTGCTGACCCTTTTCCCCCGAGGTGGAGGCCCAGCCTTAGGATGGTGAGTGGCCTGCCCAGGCGCCCAGATGCCCGTTCCTGGCTGCGCAGCTCTGGTGGCCTCCCTCCCTGGCCGGGTCCCCACAGGGCACCCAGCACCAAAGGCAGGGAACCCCCAGCCCCAATGGGATGGGAGCTTGTCCTGGACTTGAGGTGAGGTGCCGCTGAGTCCCCAGGGCCCATAAGAGTCACACTTCAACGCCAACTAGGGCACTAGGGCGCTTGGATGTTTGTGGAGCGACTGTGTGAACGCAAGCAGGATCCAGAGCAGGAAAGGGTCGGTGTCTGTCCATCTGTCCAGCACACGCTGGCCTGCAGCCTCGGTGCTGGCTCCCCGGATGGAGGCAGCTGTGAGCGGGGACGGGCCAGGCCGCGCAGCCCCCTCCCGGCCATTACACCTCCCTCACTGTCCTTTCACTCCTCCCCTCGTTCCCCTGCTGCAATTTCCCCTCTGTTATTCCTCGCCCGCCCCCTGAGGAGGCTGGGCAGTGTGTCTGTCACTGACACCCCAGCCTGGTGCTGGGTGGGGACCCAGCATGCATTTCTCCAAGTAGCGACCACAGACGTTCTCATGAGAGAGAGACACATAACACCCACAGAAGCAGGAAAACCCGGTGGGGGAAGCATGTCTGAGGGGCAGGGAGAGGCCCCTGTTCCGGGAAGGGGCGTGGCAGGGTCCGGTGGGTGTCCGAGAGGGAGGTGGGCTCTTGGGGAGCAGTGGGACCCCAGCAGTTTCTCTCCTGCCCCTCCCCCGAAGGAGTGAGCCCATTCCCATGGAGACGACCCCAGCCCCAGCCCCAGCTCCAGCCCCAGCCCCAGCCCCAGCCCCAGCGACCATGGACGACGTGGAGTCGGACTTCAACCTCAAGGTCGTCCTGGTCAGCTTCAAGCAGTGTCTCAACGAGAAGGAGGAGGTGCTGCTGGAGCACTACCTCGCCGGCTGGAGGGGGCTGGTCAGGTGCGTGGGGGCTGGGGGGGCAGAGTGGGGCTTCCCCAGCCACACACACGGCCCCGGGGCGGGCCCTGCGGCACCCGGGGCCCAGCCTCTGCCTCCCCTCCCTCCCTCCCTCGCAGGTTCCTGAACAGCCTGGGCGCCATCTTCTCCTTCATCTCCAAGGACGTAGTGGCGAAGCTGCAGGTGATGGAGCGTCTGTGCGGAGGGCCCCAGCGGGACCACTACTGCAGCCTGCAGTCCATGGTGGCCTACGAGGTGGGCAACCAGCTGGTGGACCTGGAGCGCCGCTCCCGCCACCCGGACTCGGGCTGCCGGACGGTGCTGCGGCTGCACCGGGCGCTGCGCTGGCTGCAGCTCTTCCTGGAGGGCCTGCGCACCAGCCCGGAGAACGCGCGCACGGCCACGCTCTGCACCGACTCCTACAACGCCTCGCTGGCCGCCTACCACCCCTGGATCGTCCGCCGGGCCGTCACCGTGGCCTTCTGCACGCTGCCCTCGCGCAAGGTCTTCCTGGAGGCCATGCACGTGGGGTCCGCGGAGCAGGCCGTGGCCATGCTGGGCGAGGCCCTGCCCTTCATTGAGCATGTGTACGACGTCTCCCAGAAGCTCTACGCCGAGCACGCCCTGCTGGACCTGCCCTAGGGCCCGCGGCCCGGCCCCCTCCCCCGGGGTCGGGCTGGGCAGCCGGGGCCCCTCAGTCCCACTGCGGACCTCCCCGGGGCTGCCCGGGGCAGAAGCGCCACTGTCCCCCTGCCGCTGAGCTTGTGGGGGCCGTGCGCCTGGCGTGGCCGGCTTGGGCTGCAGACGAGAAGGCAGGCGCCGGCCGGCCGGCCGGGAGGGTGGGCGAGGGGCAGAAGGCAGGGACAGTGGGGCTGGATCAGAGTTCACACAAGAGTCTGCCCTCACCCCCGAGTCCAGTCTATGCAGCGGGCGTTCCAGGTCCTCGGAGAGCAGGCTCCTCACCCGCCGACGATCCAGCCAAGCGTGTGCTTCTCAGCCCTTTGGGTCCTGGCGTCGGTGGCAGGCGGGCTGTCCCTGGGGCAGGAAGGGAGCCTGGGCAGCATGAGCACTGCGTCTTGTTCCCTGCCCCCCTCTCCTTAGCCAGGGGCCCATGTGACCTCCGCACGGCAGGCAGCGGGAGCACAGGCCGGCCCTGCCTCCAGCCCTGCCTCCTGCGGCCACACTGCTTGTGAGTCTGCACAGCTAAGCCCCCAGGAGCCCCTGCCTGCTGGGCCAGCTGGCCTCCCTGGCACCCAGCGATGCTGTATCCCCTCCCCGCGCCCCTGCTGCCCGTCCCCCTGGAGCCCAGAGACTCAGGGTGCAGGCAGAGGGGGCCTGGACCTCTTTGTGTGATGGGCTGGCCGATGGGCACCCCCAGCCTGGCCTGCCCACCGCTCTTCACTGTTAGCTCAGGACCCTGGTGCCACAGCTGTGCTGGGTGATGACTTTCCCAACATAAATAAAGGACAGTCACAGAAGCATATCCTGCACTCCAGGGGGGGTGCCGCCTGATCCCGCGTCTGCTTGCCAGGGAGGGGCAGGGGAGGGGGGCTGAGCCCACAGCCAGGACTGTAAGGCAAGCCAGCCACAGGGGTCAGCTCCCCCCTTCTACGAAGGTCACGGAGCTGTCATTTCATTGGTGAGAAGACAGAGGGAGCGCCCAGGGGGGTGGGCTGCTCTGCCACATAGTTTCGGGAGGGTCCCCTTGATCACTGCCCCCCAATATCAGGGCCTCAGCGCAGTGCCGACTCCGCTGCTGCACCCACACCAAGCAGAGCTGAGCCCCAGGTGGTGCCAGCACAGGCCAGTGACAATGCAGGAAGAACAGCCTGGGGCCACATGGGCCAGAGAGTGCAGGCTGTGCTTGTGTGTGTCTGTGTGTGTGTGTGTGCAGGTGCAGGTGTGCTGCAGTGTGTAGCATGCAGGTGCAGTGGTCTGTGTCATGGAGGTATGGGAATCCATCGCGTGGGTGTGCAGGTCCGTGCTCTGTGTGGTGTGTGTGTGCGCGTGCGTGCACCTGTGGGTGTCATGTGCATGTTCTGAGTGTGCCGAGCGGTGGGCCCTCCCCACAGGCCGGTGGAGACACTTCCTGTAAACATCTGCCAGGGCTGAGCTGCCCGGAGCCCCTCCCGCTCCGTGGCTCCTATTGCACCTCCTCCCCCGCACGGGGGGTCAGCGAGGCCCGTTGCAGGGAGAGGGCAGTGCTCTCTGCACACCTGCAGCCGCCCGGCCGCGGGGGCCCATTTGGTTACAGCTTTTCTCCCTCCTTTGCATGCAGCCCCCAGAGGGAGGCTCCCGCTCTGTCAGGTGCCAGACCAGGCGGGGGCCCCGCCAGCCATGGGCTCCCAACGCTTCCCACCACACGGTGCCCAGTTCCCAGGCGGGCCGAGAGACACGGCCCCCCTCAGGCTGCCGGTGGGTGCAGGTGGAGCCCCTCCCGACTGTGGATGGCCCCCCCGGGTGGGAGAGACTCGTTCTGCGCCCATTCCCGGGCAGGGCAGCTGGAGAGCCCAGGACCCTCTGCACAGGAATCCTAGGCGCCCCTCCTGCCCTCCCTGAGTGGGTGGATGAGAGGGGCTCGGGCGCCAGCAGGTGACGAGGTCTTGGGCAGGAGCTGCTCCGAGCCTGCTGCCCGGGTCGCTGTCGGCCCGAGGGCGACCAGCAGCACCTGCCCTGTGCAGCCTCGGGCTCAGGAAGGGGCTTGGCAGGGGAGGAGGGTTTTGCTAAACAAATCCTCCTCCCCTCCCAGCCCTGCTCACCTTGCCTGGTCCACCGCCGGCCATCGCCATCAGGAGCCGTCTCCGCCATGGCCGGCCTGGCTCTGCTGGGCCTCTGGGCTCTGCTGGGCCTCGGAGCGGGGGCCCCGCTGTGTCTGTCCCGGCAGCTCCGGACGCGGGGGGACTACGTGCTGGGGGGGCTCTTCCCCCTGGGCGCGGCCGAGGACGCGGGCCTCGGCCCCAGGACCCAGCCCAACACCACCGAGTGCACCAGGTAGGGAGCGGCACGGGGCAGGCGGGGGCTCCGGGGGGCATGAGGCGCCGTCCCCTGCAGCCCCGTGTGGCCCCAGGTTCTCCTCGCTCGGCCTGCTCTGGGCCCTGGCCATGATGATGGCCGTGGAGGAGATCAACCGGGGGTCGGCCCTGCTGCCCGGCCTGCGCCTGGGGCACGACATCTTCGACAGCTGCTCGGAGCCCGTGGTGGCCATGAAGCCCAGCCTGGGGTTCATGGCCGAGGCGGGCGGCCGCGACGTTGCCGCCTACTGCGACTACTCACGGTACCGGCCCCGCGTGCTGGCCGTCATCGGGCCCCACTCCACCGAGCTGGCCCTGGTCACCGGCAAGCTCTTCGGCTTCTTCCTCATGCCCCAGGTGCGCCCCTGCCCCCCCCCCGGGCCACCCACCCCCTCTGGCCCGCCCAGGGCGTCCCCCGTCTCCCCCGTGCCTCCCACCCCCTCCCTCCGGCCCCAGGGGGTCCCCCGTCTCCCCCTGCCTCCCACCCCCTCCCTCCGGCCCCAGAGGGTCCCCCCTGTCTCCCCTTCACCATCTACCTCCTCCGGCCCGCCCCAGGGGGTCCCCCCCTGTCTCCCCCGCACCTCCCACTCCCTTCCTCCGGCCCCAGGGCCCCCCCCCCATCCCCCACGCCTCCCACCCCCCCGGGCCGCCCCAGGGGGTCCCCCTGTCCCCCGTGCCTCCCACCTCCTCCCTCCGGCCCCAAGGAATCCCCCCTGTCCCCTGCGCCTCCCACCCCCTCCCTCCGGCCCCAGGGGGTCCCCCCCTGTCTCCCCTGCACCTCCCACTCCCTTCCTCCGGCCCCAGGGCCCCCCCCCGTCCCCCACGCCTCCCACCCCCTCCGGCCCGCCCCAGGGGCCCCCATTGGGACACACACACACACACACACACACACACACACCCCCGGGCCACCGCAGGTCAGCTACGGGGCCAGCGCAGGCCGGCTGAGCGACCGGGAGGCCTTCCCCTCCTTCTTCCGCACCGTGCCCAGCGACCGCGCCCAGGTGGCGGCCGTGGTGGAGCTGCTGCACGCGCTCCAGTGGAACTGGGTGGCCGCCGTGGGCAGCGACGACGAGTACGGCCGGCAGGGCCTGAGCCTCTTCTCCAGCCTGGCCAGCGCGCGGGGCCTCTGCATCGCCCACGAGGGGCTGCTGCCGGCGGCCGCGGGGGGCGCCCACGGCCCGCAGCTGGGCGCGGCGCAGGGGCTGCTGCGCCAGGTGAACCAGAGCCGCGTGCAGGTGGTGGTGCTATTCTCCTCGGCCCGGGCGGCCCGCGCCCTCTTCAGCTTCAGCATCCGCTCCGGGCTGGCGCCCAAGGTGTGGGTGGCCAGCGAGGCCTGGCTGACGTCGGCCCCGGTGCTGTCCCTGCCCGGCCTGGCCCGCGTGGGCACCGTGCTGGGCTTCCTGCAGCGGGGCGCCCCGATGCCCGACTTCCCGGCCTACGTGCACGCCCGCCTGGCCCGGGCCGCCGACCCCGCCTTCTGCGCCTCGCTGGACACGGGGCAGCCGGACCCCGAGGGGCACGTGGCGGGGCCCCGCTGCCCGCAGTGCGACCGCGTCTCGCCGGAGGACGTGTCCACCGGCCTCCTGCACCACCAGGCCTTCTCGGCTTACGCCGCCGTGTACAGCGTGGCCCAGGCCCTGCACAACACGCTGCTCTGCAACGCCTCAGGCTGCCCCCCACGGGCGCCCGTGAGGCCCTGGCAGGTGAGGACGAGGGAGCTGGGCCGGCCCCGCGTGTGCCCAAGGAGAGGGGGAGGCCTGGGGCTGGCAGCTGGGACACCCGTTCCCCCCTCCCGGTTCCCCACCCACTGCCCACACCGCACCAGCTCCTGGAGAACATGTACAACATGAGCTTCCGGGTGCGGGGCCTGCCGCTGCGGTTCGACGCCAGCGGGAACGTGGACATGGCCTACGACCTGAAGCTCTGGGTGTGGCGGGACCCGGAGCCCGAGCTGCGCACGGTGGGCAGCTTCGACGGCCGCCTGCAGCTGCAGCTGTCCCAGATGCGCTGGCACACGCCCGGGAACGTGGTGAGTGCCCGCCGGGCCCCACCGCACAGCTGCTCCGCAGCAAGGCCCGCCCACCTGGGAGGGCGGGGGCGGGGGCGAGGGGGCAGCCGTCCCAGGCCCTGGGGGTGCACCCGGCCGTCGAGGCCTGAGTCCCAGGCCCCTCTCCAGAGGCCCGTGTCCCAGTGCTCCAGGAAGTGCCAGGAGGGCCAGGTGCGCCGGGTGAAGGGGTTCCACTCCTGCTGCTACGACTGCGTGGACTGCAAGGCAGGCAGCTACCGGCGCAGCCCAGGTCAGTCCCTTCCGGCCAGCCCTTCCCTGCTGGTCCATGTCGCTGAGCAGGCGTGGGGATGGCCCCTCCGGGTGAGGAACACACGGCCCAGAGGGTCCTGGCGTGTCCTGGCTCAGAGGCGGGAGCCCGAGGCAGAGGCGAGCCCAGGGGGGCCAGGGGAGCCGTGCCCCAGCGCCCTCTCCCCTCGGCCCACAGATGACCTCTTCTGCACCCCGTGCGGCCAGGACCAGTGGTCCCCCGACAGGAGCCTGCGCTGCTTTGCCCGCAGGCCCCGGTGGCTGGCCTGGGGGGAGCCGGCCGTGCTGGTGCTGCTCGCGCTGCTGGCCCTGACGCTGGGCCTGGTGCTGGCGGCCCTGGTGCTGTTCGTCCGGCACCGGGACAGCCCCCTGGTGCAGGCCTCGGGCGGGCCACGGGCCTGCTTCGGCCTGGTCTGCCTGGGCCTGGCCTGCCTCAGCGTCCTCCTGCTGCCTGGCCGGCCCCGGCCCGCCGGCTGCCTGGCCCAGCAGCCGCTGCTGCACCTGCCCCTCACGGGCTGCCTGAGCACCCTCCTCCTGCGGGCGGCCGAGGTCTTTGTGGAGGCGGAGCTGCCGCCCGGCTGGGCGCACCGGCTGCGCGGGCACCTGCGGGGGCGGCGGGCCTGGCTGGTGGTGCTGCTGGCCGTGCTGGCGGAGGCGGCGCTGTGCACCTGGTACCTGGTGGCCTTCCCGCCGGAGGTGGTGACCGACTGGCAGGTGCTGCCCACGGAGGCGCTGGCGCACTGCCGTGTGCGCTCCTGGGTGGGCTTCGCCCTGGTGCACGCCGGCAACGCCGTGCTGGCCTCGCTCTGCTTCCTCGGCACCTTCCTGGTGCACCGCCAGCCCGGCCGCGGCGAGGGCGCCCGCAGCCTCACCTTCGCCATGCTGGCCTACTTCATCACCTGGGTCTCCTTCATGCCCGTCTTCGCCAACGTGCACGTGGCCTACCAGCCCGCCGTGCAGATGGGCGCCAGCCTCCTCTGCGTCCTAGGCATCCTGGCCACCTTCCACCTGCCCAGGTGCTACCTGCTGCTGCGGCAGCCGGCGGGCACCTCGCCCGCATCCTCCCTAGGAGGGGGTCCGGACGGTGCCAGCGGGCCGGGCGGCAGCAGGGGTGGAGCCCACGACCCAGCGACCTCGCCCCAGGGCGCCCAGACCTAGCTCCTTCCCGCAGAGCAACCTGCAGGCCCACCCCTAGGTCCTGACCCCAGGCTGACTGCTGCCTGTGACCCAACGCCCCCAGGGCCTGTGCTTGGCCCTGTGAGGTCTCACCATGTGGGCACCAGTCAGGCTGTCCCATCCAGCCAGGCCTGCCCAGGGACCCTGCGGCCACACCCAGGCAGAGGGCTCAGGGAAGCCATAGCTGGGTCACCTGTAGGTCAAGCTGGGCATCACTCACCTGGCTGGGCCTAGCCTAGGTCCCCACCCAGCACCCCTCCGATCACCACTCGGGTGGGAGGGGGGTGAATGTGCTACAGCCGCCCTGACATGGGCCCCAGTGCAGGACGGAGGCCCCTTGGGCGGGACACCAGCTTCCTTCCCCCCCCCCCCCCCCCCCCCCCGCTCCTGGCCTGGCCAGAGCCGGTAGAGTGGGGTAAGCCCACCGCCAGCACCGCGGACAGAGCCTGACTGGGTGGGGGGTTCAGGACCAAGGCCAGCGCCCGCCGTCAGGACCCCTGCAGCCAGGAGCCAGCACCGAGGACAGAAGACGTGGCGCGCCAGACCTTGCGGGCTGCCAGCAACTGGCCAGGCCCCGGGGGAGGCTGGCCCAGCCCCCACAGAGGAATCTGAGGGAGCTGGCAGGAGGGAGGAGACACAGGCACAGTCAGTCCCATAAAATTAAATGCATTTTAGTGTTTAAAATAGCATTTACAGAGAAGCAGCTCTGTTCACTGTCCGACGCCCTGTGACTTGACGCAGCATCTACACGCAGACACAACACAGTATCCACACTGCAGACACCTGCAGCCAGCTCGCGGGAGGAGGCGTGTGTGCGTGGGGGGGCGGTCACCTGAGGACAGCAGGAGGGCAGGCCGGCCCCCTCCCCAGACCCGTCCTGCAGCAGTGGGGCATCCGTGGGCCAGTCCACGCCTCCGTCTCCCCCTCAGCGGCCCCCATGCTCAGACACGCCCTGTGCCTCCACGTGGGGACACACAATCTGCTCCAGCTGCTGCGCGGCTGACCTGGCCACTGCCTCCCACAGGACACGGGCCAAGAAATAAATAAATAAATTACACCGACCCGGGCAGCCAGGGAGGTCCTTCCACCCCAGCATGGCCGCCCCAGTCTGAGCAAGAAGCGCAGGGCCTGCACACGAGGTGACCGTGGGGACCACGCCAGGGACCTGTCTGCAGTGCTGGGGGCACACGGGGTCCCTGAGGCCCTCGCCACAGGGCAGGTCAGACCCGCCTGCACAGAGGCCCCCCAAGTCCTCATGGACAGGGCTGCTCTGGCCAGGACAGACGGGCTGCCCCCACGCTGTCTAGCCCAGACCCCACAGCACAGCCCCTCCTGCGCATGGACAGCTGCCTGACCCCCGACGGCCACAGCTAAGACGAGGCCACACAAGCTCCAGAGGCAGCGCCCCCGGGGGGGGGACAGCAGGACCCCCGAGCCCCACCAAGAGGCCGCCCGGGGGAGGGCACCCCGTCCTCGGTCACATGATGTCAACGAAGAACTCGCAGGGGTTCCCCATGGCCTTCTGGAAGGACTGGCGGCTGCCCGTCAGCTCGGGGGGGACGGCGGCCAGCTCCCGGACGGGGGGCCCCCCCGGCGGCCCGCCCACCACCGAGTAGGCCTTCGTCAGGGGGTGCAGCGGGGGGAGCCCCGGGGCGGCGGTGGAGGCCTGGCTGTGCGGGCTGCCGCCGCGGCTGAGCTGGCTGCCGGGACGCTCCCACCAGCCGCCGCCCCCCGCCCTGCTGGGGGCCGTGTGGTCGGACTCGCTGCCACTGCCCCCGGCTCCCGGCCTCCGGTGCTCCTGCTCGCGGCCCGGGGCCCGCCGGCTGCTCCCGCCCGCGCTCCGTGTCGACCCGCTGCTTTTGCTTCCTGGGACGGAGGAAGGGGGGACGGGCTGTCGGTGCCAGGCCTGCCTCTTCCGGACGGACGCTGCCGGCACCCAGGGCAGGGCTGGCGGGCCGAGACGGGAGGGAGGGGGCAGCCATGCAGACACCAGGGCAGGAGCGGACCCGCCCAGAGACACAGGCGCAGCTGCAGCAGGCGGGGGCGGGGGGCGAGGGTCAGGCAGGCAGGGACACGGGGGCCAGCGTGGTGCCCCCACACCTCACTCCGACGCCTGCACCGAGGGCCTGGTCTTGCCCCTGAGAAACTGAGGCTCCCGCTGGACAACCTGGGCCCCCCACCCTGACCCCCACCTTCCGTCGGACCCCGGGGCCCTGGCTAACGGCGCGGCCCAGCCTCGTCCGGATTCTCAGAAACGCCGGGCGCCCAGGGATGCCGGCGGGCGAGGGACACGCCACGAGGGACGCCGGGCAGGGCCCTGGCTTACCGGCCCCGAGGGTCCAGCCGCTAGTCCTCAGTCTAAGGCTTGCTCAGCACAAAGCAAGGGATACACGAGTTACACACCGGGCCCGGCCGGCCCCGCGCCGCCTGCTCTCCTGCCCGGCTGCCCGCCCGGCCTCGCCTGCGGGGTCACCTGCCTGGCGTCTCCCAGACCCTGGGCCCTCAGGCCTCACCGCTCCCCACGCAGCCTCAGGCCAGTCTTCCTCATGGAATGTCTTCCCCGTCTCCTCGCTCCCCACATGCCCGGAGGGCGTGGTTATGGGGATGGATGGCCTCTGGCTCCGCTATCTGTCCTTCCCTGGGTCCTGGAACCCTCTGTGCTCCCAGCCCAGGCCACCCCTTCCCTCCCGTCTCCTGCTTCCTGCTCCGCCCCACCACCCCAGAGCCTCCAGGCTCCTCCTCCCCACCTCCCTCACCACTCCTCCCTCGCAAAGGGGCCCCCCCAGACTCCAAGCACAGAGCAGGCAGAGGGCGGACACGCAGGGAGCAGACAGTAGGGAGCGGGCACGCAGGGCAGAGGGCAGGCACGCGGGGCAGAGGGCGGGTACGCGGGGCAGAGGACGGGCACGCAGGGCAGAGGGCAGGCATGCAGGGCAGAGGGTGGGCACGCGGGGCAGAGGGCGGGCACGCAGGGCAGAGGGCAGGCATGCAGGGCAGAGGGCGGGCACACAGGGAGCAGACAGTAGGGAGCGGGCACGCGGGGCAGAGGGCGGGCACGCGGGGAGCAGACAGTAGGGAGCGGGCACGCAGGGCAGAGGGCGGGCACGCAGGGCAGAGGGCAGGCATGCAGGGCAGAGGGCGGGCACACAGGGAGCAGACAGTAGGGAGCGGGCACGCGGGGCAGAGGGCGGGCACGCGGGGAGCAGACAGCAGGGAGCGGGCGCCCGCAGGCAGGCTCTCACCTTCGCTCTGCTGACTCCCGGCGCTGCCGCTGCCGTAGCTGAAGCCAGGGTCCTGGTAGGCGGGCGGGAAGCAGGGCGGCGGCCCCGGGTACTGGTAGGGGTAGCCCTGCGCCAGCGGCCAGGGCGCCGGGTGGGGCAGCGGGGCCAGCGTGTCCTGGTCGGAGGCCCCGCTGGAGCCGCTGTTGAGGTTCAGGGCCTCGAGAGCTGCGAGGGGGGGGGGCCGGTGAGGGCGGGCGGGGCCGATGAGAGTGGGCGGGGCCGGTGAGGGCGGGACGGGCGGGCGGGGCCGGTGAGGGCGGGGCAGGCCGGGGACACCCCCACCCCCGCGGCCCCCACTCACTGCTGCACAGGTCCCCGAAGACGTAGTAGCACTGCTCAGAGAAGGTGACCTTGTTCACCGTGTGCCGCAGGAAGCCGCGCTTGAGCATGCCGCTGGCGAACTTGCGCGCCTCCCGCCGCTCCTTGAAGCCCTCCACATGCGTGTACAGCCAGTCCACCACGTCCGCGCCTGCGGGGCTCGTGTCACCGGGGCGGCCGTGCACGTGTGTATGTACATGTGTGTGCGCGCGTGTGTGCACATGCGTGTGCAGCCAGTCCACCACGTCCGCGCCTGCGGGGCTCATGTCACCGGGGCGGCCGTGCACGTGTGTGTGTGTGTGCGTGTGTGTGTGTGTGTGTGTGTGCTCTGTGTCGTACCGCCCGCCCCGCCCGCCCCGGCACGAGGGAGGCTCACCGATGACGGCGTTGGCGATGGTGATCTTGAGCCACATGCGGTCACGGATCTCCAGCCCCGAGTCGGGCAGCTGCATGGCCCGGACCACGGCGCCCATGTCACTCTTCACCGTCAGCGGCGCCTCCTCCAGCTCTACAAGCACGCCCCCCTCAGGGACAGGCCGCCGCCCGCGGTGCCCCCACCCGTGGTGCCCCCGTCCACGGTGCCCGCCGCCCGCGGTGCCCGCCGCCCGTGGTGCCTGCCGCCCGCAGTGCCCCCCTCAGGGACAGGCCGCCGCCCGCGGTGCCCCCGCCCGTGGTGCCCCCGCCCGTGGTGCCCCCGCCCGTGGTGCCCCCGTCCACGGTGCCCGCCGCCCGCAGTGCCCCCCTCAGGGACAGGCCGCCGCCCGCGGTGCCCCCGCCCGTGGTGCCCCCGTCCACGGTGCCCGCCGCCCGCGGTGCCCCCCTCAGGGACAGGCCGCCGCCCGCGGTGCCCCCGCCCGCGGTGCCTTCCTCAGGGACAGGCTGCCGCCCGCAGTGCCAGCCGCCCACGGTGCCCGCCGCCCGCGGTGCCCGCCGCCCGCAGTGCCCTCCTCAGGGACAGGCCGCCGCCTGCGGTGCCCCTGCCCGCGGTGCCCCCGTCCGCGGTGCCTGCCGCCCGCGGTGCCCTCCTCAGGGACAGGCCGCCGCCCACGGTGCCCGCCGCCCCTGGTGCCCCTGCCCGCGGTGCCCCCGTCCGCAGTGCCCCCCTCAGGGACAGGCCGCCGCCCGCGGTGCCCCTGCCCGCGGTGCCCGCCGCCCGCGGTGCCCCCGTCCGCGGTGCCCCCGTCCGCGGTGCCCCCGTCCGCGGTGCCCCCCTCAGGGACAGGCCGCCGCCCGCAGTGCCCGCCGCCCCTGGTGCCCCCGCCCGCGGTGCCCCCGCCCGCAGTGCCCCCCTCAGGGACAGGCCGCCGCCCGCGGTGCCCCCGCCTGCGGTGCCCACCGCACCCTCCGAGGCCGGAGCTGGGAGCCCCCGGCCCAGGGAGGGGTGGGGGCCGTCTCTTCCTCCTGGAGGTGCTTCCATAGGGCCCGGCACGAACCAGGGGGAGGCCGCCCCCACCATGGCCGCAGCCCAGGGGGACATCAGCACCCCCCAGGGCTGTTAGCCGTGTTACAGGCAGAAAGCAGATGGAGCTCCACACAGGCACGCACACGGGCATGCATACACACATACATGTGCATGCACATGCACATACACAGTTGTCTGGCCTGCCACCGAAGACCCTGGGCAGGACCCAGGCTGGCTCGGCCCCTCAGGCCTCCCCCACCGCAGAGGGTGTGCCCGGAGGAGCGTGGGCCTGAGGCCGGTGTCGGCCCTGCCTCCGAGGGGGGCCCTGCAGCAGCAGGACGGAGGCCGGCAGGGCCCCGGGTGGGGGCCGCACCAGGGGCGCCTCGGCCGGGCCTGGGCCCTGGGCCTCAGTTCCGAGCTGAGAGCTGCCACTTACGTGGGGCGCCAGGCACAGAGCTGGTTAGTGAGGAGGAGCTGGTGCGCGTGACGGCGCTGGAGCAGGGGCTGGTGCCGTAGCGGGGCAGGGCTCCGGTCAGCGCCGCCGTGTGGGACAGCCAGGCGGCCGGGTCGATGGGCCGGACAGGGTCAGCTGGGAGGCCACGGACGGCAACGAAAAGAAAGATGGACAGGGACAGACAGGACAAAGTGGAGCACAGGCCAAGTGGAGAGAGGCCGTAGGCCGGCTGGGCACCCCACCCCCAGCCCCACCCCCCACCCCCAGCTCCACCCCCCACCCCCACCCACCACCCGCCAGCCTCCCCATCCCCCCACCCTCACCCCCAACCCCCCAATGCCCCCACCCGCCAGCCCACAGTCACTCACCCCCACCCCTTCCACCCGCCAGCCCATGGTCACTCACCCCCACCCCCAACCCCCAACCCCTCCCCCGCCAGCTCAGGGTCACTCAACCCCAACCCCAATCCCACCCGACAGCCCAAGGTCACTCACCCCTTGGGACGGTGAAGTAGCTCCGGGGGGTGGGGTCCCAGCACTTGGCCACCGTGAGGCTGATGGGCCTGCAGGGCAGGGACGGCCGGTTGTGTGGACGAGGCCCCGTGTCCCCTCAGGCCCCGTGTGCCCGTGGCCCCCCTCATGTACCCCCCTGCATGCCTCCCTCTCACCCCGCTGCCCCCGTGGGCCCCCTCACCCCGCCGCCCGGCCCCCACCCCGCCCCCGCCCCTCACCCCGCCCTCATCCCAGCCCCGCCCCTCGCCCCGCCCTGGCCCCGCCCCTCACCCCACCCCCCGCCCTCACCCCTCACCCCGCCCTCACCCCTCACCCCGCCCTCACCTCTCACCCCGCCCTCACCCCCTCACCCCGCCCCCACCCCGCCCTCACCCCGGCCCCAGCCCCCACCCCGCCCTCACCCCGCCCCCACCCTGGCCCCCACCCCGGCCCCACCCCTCACCCCGCCCCTACCCCGGCCCTCGCCCCGCCCCCACCCGCCCTCGCCCCGCCCCCACCCCGCCCTCACCCCGGCTGGGACACGATCTCCCGCAGCACCCGCACGGCGTCGTCGTTGCTCATGTTCTCGAAGTTGACGTCGTTCACCTGGGGACAGGGTCCGAGCGGTGGGTGGCGGGGGGGGAGGTGCAGGGGGGTGGGGGGGCAGACCTCGCGCCCCTACCGCCCGGGCCCACCTGCAGCAGCATGTCCCCCGGCTCGATGCGGCCGTCGGCGGCCACGGCCCCGCCCTTCATGATGGAGCCGATGTAGATGCCGCCGTCGCCCCGGTCGTTGCTCTGGCCCACGATGCTGATGCCCAGGAAGTGGTGCCTCTCTGGGGGGGGGGCAGTCAGCAGCCCACCCGGACCCCACACCCGCCCCGGACCCCCACACCCGCCCTGGGCGCCCCACACCCGCCCCGGACCCCACACCCGCCCCCACACCCGCCCCGGGCCCCCCAACACCCACCCCGGTCCCCACACCCCGCCCCGGGCCCCCACACCCCGCCCCGGGCCCCCCACACCCGCCCCCACACCCGCCCCGGGCCCCCCAACACCCACCCCGGTCCCCACACCCCGCCCCGGGCCCCCACACCCCGCCCCGGGCCCCCCACACCCGCCCCGGGCCCCACACCCACCCTGGACTCCCAACACCCACCCCGGTCCCCACACCCCGCCCCGGGCCCCCCACACCCGCCCCCACACCCACCCCCGGTCCCCCACACCCACCCCGGTCCCCCACACCCGCCCTGGTCCCCCACACCCCACCATGGGATACCTGTGCCCCATCCCGGTCCCCACACCCGCCCCGGGCGCCCCACACCCGCCCCGGACCCCACACCCCACCATGGGATACCTGTGCCCCACCCCGGACCCCACACCCGCCCCGGGCGCCCCACACCCGCCCCCACACCCGCCCCGGACCCCACACCCCACCATGGGATACCTGTGCCCCACCCCGGACCCCACACCCGCCCCGGACCCCACACCCGCCCTGGGACCCCTGTGTCCTGCCCCCGGGCCCCACGCCCCGCCCCGAGCCCCATACCCTGCCCTGGGACCCCACACCCTGCCATGGGATACCTGTGCCCCACCCCCGGCCCCCACACCCGCCCGGGTCCCCCACACCCGCCCCGGTTCCCCAACTCCCGCCCTGGGACCCCTGTGTCCTGCCCCCGAGCCCCATGCCCCGCCCTGGGCCCTGGCCCCACCCCAGGCCCACGCCCCGCCCCCACGCCCCGGGCCCCGCCCCCGCCCCCGCCCCGGCCCGCCCCCCGGGGCCAGAGCCTCACCCGTGTTGAGCGTGACGGTGATGATGTTCAGGGACATGGTGGAGTCGGTGATGCTGCTGAAGGAGGAGGCCTGGGGGGCCGGGCGGGTGAGGCTGGGAGGGCAGCACCACCCCGCCCGCCCTCCCGCCTGTACCTACGCGGTCCGCCTGCCGGAGGCGCTGCTTCCGCCGCCGCCGCTTGTGCTTCCGGATGAGCCGGGAGGAGGTGCTCTGCTCGGTGGAGCTGCTCAGCCTGGGGTTGCAGGTGTGGGCAGGGGTCAGGGGCACAAAGGCCAGAGGCGCAGAGGTCAGCGGCGGAGGGGCTGCAGGGAGGTGCCCACACCCGGCCTCCCACCCCGCGCATCGGTGAGGGGCGGGGCCGGAGGTGGCAGGGAGGCAGGTGGTGTCTGTCAGAACCTCAGCTCCCAGCTGCACACTTCCCGCTCTGCACGTGTGCGACATGCAAACCCCACACCCACGGGGAACATGAGACACAACCCAACACCAGGTGAGCCACCTCGGCCTCCGCAATGGCACACACTGGTGCGTGCACCAAGTGCACATGGGCACGCCTGTGTGCCTCCACACACATGTACACAACACGCACACATTCCTGTGAAACACCCACGCGTGTGTGTTGTGCACATGACACACACCCATGTGCACACACATGCCTACTTGCACACACACCCACAACCATCACACTGTGTACCCACACAGCCACAACACTCATGCACACATACATGCCCGTACACATGGCCACACACACATGCACGCACACACACACATCAAAACACCGAGCATACATCTTCACACATGCCCGCGCACACGTGCCCACACGCCTGCACACGCGCACATGCCCGCGCACCGGCTCGTGTTGTCGTCCTCATCGGTGTCGATGAAGCTGCTGGACTCGAGCTCACTGCTCAGCAGGGTGGAGGCGCTGTCGGGGGGCAAGCCCAGGTCCCAGCGCCGGCCCCCCCGCGGGTGCCCGTTGGCCCGGGTGGCTGTGGGGACAGGAGGGCCCGGTGACCTCCGGGCGGCAGGGACGGAGGGGCTGGAGGAGGGCCTGGGACCTCTCCCCAGAGACACCCCCCCCCCCGGCGGGGCGGGGCGGGGGGCAGCAGGACTGGGACCTCTCCTCAGAGACCGCCCCCGGGGAATGGGGCGCGGGGGCAGCGGGCCTGGGGTGGAGGGCGTGGCCGTTACCCTCTTCCCGGTTCCTGCGTCGGGCTCGCTCCCGCCGGTGGCTGACCATGGACTCGGTGCCCGTCTCGTTGTCCATCCCATCACGGCTGCTGGCCACGTTCGGGCTGTGCCGACAAGAGTGCCGGGGACCCTTTCAGCCCTCGCCTGCCCCCTGCCTGGCGAGAACCTGACCCCACCCACCTGCTCAGCTGCCCCCCCCCCCCCCCCCGCAGCCAGGACCCACAGGACCACGGGCTCAGTCCCCCCAGTTCTTACTGGAAAGATGGGGGCCGGGAGTCCCCGATGCCACCCATCCGCTCCAGGGCGGGGGGCAGGTCGGCGTGGCCGTCGGTGGCCTGAGAGCCGGTGTCCGAGTGCGCGCCCTCCGCCAGGACCAGCTGCGGGGACAGTGCAGCTCAGCGTGCCCAGGGCGCCCAGGGCTCAGGCAGCCAGTCAGCCTGAGCCCGGCCCCCTCCGGTCTGGGGCCACCCCACCCCAGCCAATGCCCCCTGCCAACGCCCCCCAGGCTCACAGCCCAGCCCCCTCCAGTCTGGGGCCACCCCACCCCAGCCAATGCCCCCTGCCAACGCCCCCCAGGCTCACAGCCCAGCCCCCTCCAGTCTGGGGCCACCCCACCCCAGCCAATGCCCCCTGCCAACGCCCCCCAGGCTCACAGCCCAGCCCCCTCCGGTCTGGGGCCACCCCACCCCAGCCAATGCCCCCTGCCAACGCCCCCCAGGCTCACAGCCCAGCCCCCTCCGGTCCTGGGGCCACCCCACCCCAGCCAATGCCCCCTGCCAACGCCCCCCAGGCTCACCCAGGAGACCACGCGGCCATTGAAGCAGGGCAGCCGGGCATTGTCCGCAGAGATCTCCTCCTTCACCACCCTGCGGGCAGACACATCTGTGAGCCCCCTCATCCCCCCTCACACACAGACACAGACAGACACACACACACACACACAGAGACACACAGACACGCACAGACACACACAGACACATAGACACACACACACACACAGACACCACACACAGACACACACACCACACGCACACACACACACACACACACACGGCCGCTCTCCCCAGGGTGCTCCCAGAGAAGCCCCTCCGACCAGGTGCCCAGCACACGCCCAGCTGTCAGTCTGTGTGGCTGTCCGCACCCACATCCTCTTCCTGGGCTCCAGTCCTCCTGAGCGCCCCTTCCCGGGCCCAGCCAGGGCCAGGCCTCGGCCCTCAGCACCGGGGTCGCCACCTGCACCACAGTGCGCCGGGCTCTGTGTGCGCCCCAGGGGAAGAGCTTCGTCTGGTTTCTCCTCTGCCCCCCCAGCCCAGCACAGGGCCTGGTCACGGCAGCCTCGGCACAGGACCCCATGGACACAGGCAGGTCAAGATGGCGCAGTACACGCACCCTGCATGTATACCACACGCACATGCACACACACACACACACACACACACACACACACGCATTCTCCGAGGGCAGGCCACCGCCCACCCAGGGAGACAAGCAGACGCCACTTGCTGCACCTGCTCAACTCCGGGCCTGAGAGGCCAGCTGGGCCCACCGAGCGGTCAGCGAGCCCCTCCCTGACTCTGAACAGTGGCCAGACCCACTGCACCCGGGCAGCCAGGCCTATTTCTTTATTATTATCTTTAAACGTTTTTGTTGATTTCAAAGAGGAAGGGAGAGGGAGAGGGAGACAGAAACATAAGGATGAGAGAGAATCAGATCAGCTGCCTCATGCTCGCCCCACACTAGGGAGCCAGCTGCAACCTGGACACGTGCCCTGACCGGGAACTGAACCGTGACCTCCTGGTTCACAGGTCGACACTCAACCAGAGCCACCAGCTGGACACCAGGCCTGTTTCTTAATGGGCCCGGTCAGGTGGCGTGAGGGTTGGGGAGGGCAGGAGGCAGAGCCCAGGCAACACTTCTGGGAAGGAGGCCTGTGACCCCGGGCTCAGAAACAGGTGCGTGTGGGGGCCAAGGTTTCAGGCTCCGAGGTGAGGGGAGCAGCAGCCAGCACAGCTGGCAGGGGCCCTGGGCAGGACGGGCATGAGCTGTGGCCCCTGGAGGCCCGGGGGGCAGGCCAGGCAGGTGGGGCCTGCAGCTGGAGGGGCCTAGACGCCTTCCCGCCCGGAGCCCAGCCCTCCCAGCACAGTGGGATCTCCATGCCGAGGACCATGCCCAGTGGACAGACGGGGCCAGGACACTGAAGTGTAACAGATTACCCCTCCCCGAGGGAGCCAGCCCGCCGAATACATGGCTACAGGACGGGCACGCCGGGGGCTCTGCAGACAGAGCTCAGGGGCAGGGGAGGGGGGTCTTCAGGGGCCTGGTGGCCAGGGACCCGGGGAGGACATACGCCAGCCCGTGCTGTCTGCCCAAACCCATTCCCCTGCTGACCCCCCTCGAACCCAGGGCTGCCCCATCTCCCAGCGGGCCCTGCTGGCTGCCCCACGCCCAGTCACCTCCAGGCCTGGAAGAACTCCAGGGCTGCTCCAGCTGTTTGCCCACCCTCCTCCCAGGCCAGGGACCCACGTGGCCTGCAAACCCCCAGGCCGGCCTCCGCGGGGTGTGCGTGTGGGTGGGGGTCTCTGCAACTCGTGGGTGACCCCATGGCTCTGGCCCCAGGACAAAAACTGGGACCTGGGCACACGCCCCGCACAGGCTCGGTGCTGGCTTCGGTTGGTGACAGAGCGCGTGTGTGACTTCGGGAATCTCTGCGAAAGCGGTAAACTGAGCCACATCGGGCCGGCTGAGCGTCAACCTATGAACCAGGAAGTCAGGGTTCAACTCCGGGTCAGGGCACACGCCGGGGTTGTGGGCTCTGACTCTCTCACGAATGTTTCTGTCGCTCTCTGCCTCTCCCTTCCTCTCTGAAACCAGTGAAAACATACTTTAAAAATAAACACGGAATAATAGACTAAGTTGAAAACGAAAGTGCCCTTTCACACGGCAGATGGTCACGGCCACAGCAGCCCAGACCCCGAGGGGCAGCCCCCGAGGGCAGCGAGGGGCACGGGAGGCCCCACCGCAGGCCGGCCCCATGCGGCTCCCGAGCTGAGCCAGCAGGAAGGCTGGCCACACAGGCTGGGGCGTCCTGCTGTCCGTCCGAGGCCGCCAGGGACCCACCCACCCTCTCCCGCCCCTTAGTTGGGGGTTTGGGGGGGGACAACAGAGTCCAGTTGTCCAAACTCCCCCAGGTCCTCACGAGCTGCAGAGTGGCCCCTGCCTGACCCGGCCTGGCTGCCCAGGGCCCGGGCCAACCACAGGATCCAGGAAGTGGCCTCAATGTCAAAGTCCCCGGACACGGCCCCACACAAGGACGTGGGCACACCTGCTCGTCCCACGGCCCGGCCCCCTCCCCGGCCTGCCGAGCGGGGGACTCGGGTTACCAGTGGCCGAGCCAGGTCAGGCCTGGAGCCCACAGCCCGCCTCCTGCTCCTGGCCCCAGGGGCCCGGCCAGCGCCCACGGGGAGTCCTCTCCACAGACGGCCCCCTGGACCGGGCGCTGGAGGCTGAGCTGTGGACACCGAGTGCCGTGTGGCTCGGCGGGGACACAGGCCCAATGGCAAGCAACCCAGGGCGGGCGTGGGTGGGGTGACCCTTGACCTCTGCGCTGACCTCCGGATCCCGGGAGAGGGGGGCCAGGGGTAGGCTGTCCTGAGCCTCCAGACAGATCCGTACCCCTGTGCCAGGTCCCACGTTCCCTCCCCACCCTAACCAGGGGACCCACCCCTTCCCCAACGACACTCCCACCCCGTGAATGTTCCTGGGACCCCAGGCTCCCCCCACAGCTCTGCAGGCACCTGTGGGCGCCCCCACTCTCCCCCCCCAAACACACACACAGAGGGGGCGGCGGCCCTGAGTCTGAGAGGTCCCACATGGGGCCGCAGACCTGGACCCGCAGGTTACACTCGGGGGCGCACAGAGCGGGCCAGGGGCGGGCGGGGGAGAGGACGCCGCTGCCCGCCGCCCTGGTCCTCCGGCTCCGGGGCCCCACGTGCCTCCGCGCGGGGCACGGACGGTGGGCACGCACCGTGCGGGGCGGAGGATCGGCGCGGCCCGGCCCCGGCCCCGCCGCAGACAGGTGCCGCCCGCCGCCCGGCCCGGCCCGGCCCGGCACCCACCCGAAGTCCTGGTCCATGGACTTGAAGAAGAACTTGTAGGCGTGCACCGGCCGGTTGCTGAGCACGCCCTTGAAGTCGGCCAGCGTGACGCGCTCGGGCGCCACGGGCAGCTTCACCAGGTACGGCGTCTCCTCCTCGTCCATGTGGTAGATGATCTTGGTCTCCGCCATGGCGCGGCGGCGGCGCTCAGGCCCGGCCCGGGCACCGCCGCGGGCGCCTCCCCGCCGCCGGCCTGCGCCCCGCCCGCCCGCCCGCCGCCGCCGCTCCCGGCCCGGCCGCCGCGGCCCCGGCCGCGCCCGCCCCGCCGCCCCCCGCTCCGCGCGCGCCTCGCCTGCTGCCCCGCGGCCGGCGGCCGCCCATCCGCTGCGCCCGGGACGCCGCTGGGAGCGCTCCAGGCCCGGCCGCGTCCAGCGCCCGCCGCCCCCTCGGGCCGCGCAGTTCCAGGGACGCCCAGCGGCGCTGCGCGCGGCCCGCGGGGGGCGCCCGAGAGCGCGGCGGCGCTGGCGTCACGGGCGGGGCGGGGCTACGCAGGCGCGGGAGGCGGGGCGCGCGGGGGCGGGGCTGCGCAGGCGCGGGAGGCGGGGCTGCGCGGGCGCGGGAGGCGGGGCGCGCCGGGGGCGGGGCTGCGCAGGCGCGGGAGGCGGGGCGCGCGGGGCGGGGCGGTGTGTGCGCAGCTCGCGAGGCCTTGTCCCTGGCCGGCCCCCGCCTCCAGCCACGCGCACCGGGCGCCCGCGACACGCTCCGGGCCCGGGCTGCCGCGCGTGAACAGACGGGGCGCGCCCGGGGCAGGAAGTGGGTGGGACGCCCCGTATGTCGCGCCCCGCTCTGTGGGAAGGGAGACCCGCCCCGCCCCGCCCCGCCGGGACCCCTCCGGAGCGCGGCGGGCACCTCTGACACCGGCCCTCCGGGCCCTCGGAGAGCCCCCTGGTCCGCGGGGCTGAGACCCGAGGCCGCGGGGCCCTAAGGAGGCTGAGGACCCTGTCGCCCCGGCAGGGAGCAGAGGACACCGGCAGCCTGCGCCCCCGCCGTCCCCTCCCAGCCCCGACATGGCTCCCCCGTTGCCGGTGCCCACGGGGCTGAAAAACACGGTCCATTGGGTGTGGGGAGGGCTCGGCGTGCAGGTGTGAGCACACGGGTGTGATGCCGAGGGGACAGCGGGGGGCGCGGGTGTGCAGAGGTGCCCAGGCTGCAGGTGAAGGGTCCCTCACCCCAGCCGCTGTCAATCCAACAAGCAAGCCTGAGGCCCCCCCTCAAGGGAGACCTGAGCAGCGCTGCCACCAGGATGCACGGGAGGGAGAACAAGGGGGATGGGGATGGGGGGTGAGGCCCCTGTTTCCCCCCCACACCCCGGAAGCTGGCTGGAGCCTGACCCTCGGGCAGTGGGCCGGAGCAGGAGACCCCACCAGGCCACTAGGGGCCAGAGGCGCCCAGGCTGGGGACCATCCAGGTCAGCCTGAGCCGGGGACCCTACCTCCAAGTCCCCTTGGCTCCATGAGGGTGGTACCCACTGGGCAAAGCCGGAGCCTTCTCCCCTCGGGTCTCGGGTTCCTCGGTGGTGATCTGCGGAGCCAGGCAGGATGGCCTTGGAGGGAGGGCCCGTCACAGCCCTCTCAACTGGTGTCCAGGGAAGGAGGGAGATAGGGCCTCTACACCAGGCCCTCCAATGGGGTGGTCTGACCCCCCCAGCTGCACACCAGCTAACCCCAAGGTTATCTGTCCCAGCTGATGGATGCCCAGCCAATGCCTCAGTGGTCAAGCTCAGGCCCCTGCAGGGGTGAGTCTGTGGCCAGGCCCTCAGCCCTGACAGGCCAGGCTTTGTTCAGTGGAAGTGGTGGCCTGTGGGGCCAGGGGCCACTGGGCTGGGATAGTCACGTTCTCAAACCACAGGACCCGGCCAGCCTCCCTCCCTGCCTCAGCCACTACAGGTCCCGGGGGAGGGATGGGGGGGCAGCTATTTGAGTCATTGCCTGGGCATTCTACCATCTGACAACCCTGCTCATCAGATCTGGACTCAGGGGAGGACCAGAGCTTAGAATTCCTTCCCAAATCCCACCCTCGCTTTTCCTGAGCACCTTTTATTTATTTTTTTAAATATATTTTATTGATTTTTTAAAATATATTTTATTGACTTTTTTCAGAGAGGAAAGAAGAGGGATAGAGAGTTAGAAACATCGATCAGCTGCTTCCCGCACACCTCCTACTGGGGATGTGCCTGCAACCAAGGTACATGCCCTTGACCGGAATCGAACCCAGGGCCCTTCAGTCCACAGGCCGATACTCTATCCACTGAGGCACACAGGTCAGGGCCCTGAGCACCTTTTAAAATGACCACTCAGCTGGAACCGGTTTGGCTCAGTGGATAGAGTGTCAATCTGCAGGCTGAAAGGTCCCGGGTTCAATCCCCGTCAGGGGCATGTACCTTGGTTGTGGGCACATCCCCAGTAAGGGGTGTGCAAGAGGCAGCTGATGGATGATTCTCTCTCATTGATGTTTCTAACTCTCTATCCCTCTCTCTTCCTCTCTATAAAAAATCAATAAAATATATTAAGAAAAATAAAATGACCACTCAGCCCGGCCAGTGTGGCTCAGTGGTTGAGTACCACCTAAGAACCAGGAGGTCCCGGTTTGATTCCTGATCAGGGCTCATGCCTGGGCTCAAAATTCCCAGTGTGGGGGGTCCAGGAGGCAGCCTATCCACGATTCTCTCTCATCATGGATATTTCTCTCTTCCTCTCTGAAATCAATAAAAAAAACATTTAAGAATAAAATAACCACTCAAAGTAAAGCCTCTGAGAAAGCAGTGACCTCCAGGCCAACCACCATATCAGTAACAGGTGCTTCCACCTGCTCTGCCTGCTGCAGGCTTGTGACCTGAGGCGGAGGGCTGGCCTCGCCCACTGCCCGGCTTCTGGGGTCTGCAAAGTAATAAATCTTTCGACTGTATTTCCTTTGTGAGTTTATTGACACGGAGTCTTCATGAAAACAGCCCGGAGCTTTCCGTGCCCGGCCTGGGAGCTCGGACACCCACCGTGTGGGTGGCTTTTACCTCCTCCTTCAGCTGGTCACGTTCCTCACACCCAGCTGCCCACAGGGTGACGAGCAGGCTTCCCACTCCCCGCTGTCCTGACGGGGCTTTGGAGGATGGGGTCAGGGTCGGGGGAACACAGGGGCTCCTTCCTGCCACAGCCCCTCCCCCAGGGGTGTCGGACCTGCCCCTTCTGCGGGTGCCTCGTTACCCCCACCTGTCAGTCCTCACACCTCCAGTCCCACCTGCTTCTCAAAGTACTGAGCTAACACCACCAGCATGATCCCCTCCCCCACACACACCTTCAAATAAACCCTCAGGGGCCTGGCCGGTGTGGCTCAGTCACTGAGCATCAACCTATGAGCCAGGAGGTCAGGGTTCAATTCCCTGTCAGGGCACATGCCCAGATTTCGGGCTCCATCCCCAGTGAGGGGGGGTGGGCATGCAGGAGGCAGCCAATCAAAGATTCTCTCTAATCAGTGATGTTTCTCCCTCTCCCTTCCTCTCTGAAATCAATAAAAAATATATATTTAAAACACACACAAAACAACCCTACCCAGTTTGGCTCTGTGAACAGTGTCGACCTGGGGACTGAAGGGTCCCAGGTTTGATTCTGGCCAAAGGCACATGTCTGGGTTGCAGGCACATCCCCAGTGGGGGGGCGGGCAGGAGGCAGCTGATCCATAATTTCTCATCATTGATGTTTCTCTCTCTCCCTCTTCCTTCCTCTCTGAAACCAATAAAGAAATATATTTAACACACACACACACACACACACACACAACAAACCCTCAGGAGCTGCCCCACACTTCGTCCCAAACAGGTGTAAGTGCTGAAAAATCCCGTAGGTCACCCTTCTCAGGACACCCCACCCAGACCTTCCACTCATGGGGGGTGATGGGGGGTTTCAGACGAAGGAAAGAATCGGGTCCAAGGCCCAGCCTGCCGGGGAGGAGGCAGCAGAGGCGGGTCTACCAGTCAGAAAGGTCTTTATTGTGATGTGGCCATTCCCCGGGAGGTGCCGATGCGGCGTCCGGAGTGGCTGCGGGGGCCACTCTAGCACCATCTTCACCCTCCTCCGTCCTCGGTCTTTGGATAGAACAGAAGCCAAATGACGCCCCAGCCCCGGCTCCTGCCCAGGGAGGGGCCCAAAGTCGCCTGGAGCCCAGGGTCTGTCAAGGCAGCTGATTGCAAAGGAGGCTGGAAGCGGAGATAGGGCCCCACAGCCCAGGCGGCCGGTGGCAGCAGAGGGACATCAGCCCGGGCAGGGAATGCTGTCCTCAACCCCGTGCCCGCGCAGGGCAGCCTGGCTAACAAGGCGCAGTGCAGTCCGGAGCCAGAGGGCAGTTCCCTCAGGAAGGCCTGAGGAAGGGGCAGTGCCAGCCCCGGGCTGACCCAGCCCCCCCCTGTGCCCTGCAGCCGCTGGTCTCCCCCAGAGGGCAGAGGCCTGGAGAGCCCCGGGTGATCGTCCGTGGGCTCGGGTGGCTGGAGGGGGCAGGGCCTGCCGTGCGCGCTGCAGGGGACTGCTGGGGGGCGGGGTGCAGCCCAGCAGGCGGAGCCAAGGAGCCCCCCCTCTTTCCGCTGCTGGTGAGGTGAGGGCTCTGGAGGCGGCTCCAGGGGAGGGCTCTGCCTTCTCCCGCCAGCTCAGTCCGGTTCAGTTCGGGGCAGCGGGACCAGCCGCTGGAGGGACCGGAGCGGCGGGGCAGGCGGACGCCGGGGAGGGTGGCCGGCCGGCCAGCCCGGGGCCGCCTCCTCACTTGCAGTACTCCTTCCGGAACTCTGGAAGACAAGCGGCAGGTGGGCGCTCCGCCTCCCCGCAGGACGGCCCGGGTTCGGCCTCCCTCCCCGCCACGCACCTTTGTCCAGGTCGATGTGCTTGGCGGGCGGGGGGCACTGCGCCAGCGCAGCCCGCTCCTTCAGGAGGTTGTTTTTGTAATCTGGGGGGGCAGGGGGGTAGGGGGGGAGCGCGGTGAGCCCCAGGGGAGCCTCCCCACTGTGTGTGTGTGTGTCTCTGTGTGTGCGTGCGCACGTGGCCGGCTCCTTCAGGAGGTTGTTTTTGTAATCTGGGGGGGGAGCGCGGTGAGCCCCAGGGGAGCCTCCCCACTGTGTGTGTCTGTGTGTGTGTGAGTCTCTGTGTGTGCATGTGCATGTATGTGTGTGCGTGTATGTGTGTGCATGTGTGAGTCTCTCGCTGTGTGTGCATGTGCATGTATGTGTGTCTCTGTGTATGTGTGCGCGTGTCTGTGTCTGTGTCTGTGTCTGTGCGCGTGGCGGGCGCCTCACCCAGCGGGAAGTCCTCGCTCCTGCAGAAGGCCTGGTCCCCTGTGGCCACAGGAAACTCCGACAAGTTCACGTCCTTCCTGGGGGGGAGGGGAGGGCGGATCAGGACACCGGGAGGGCCCGGCCCCGCCCACCCCAACGTGGACAGCGGGGAGAAGGGGAGACTCACCCCCTGGCCCTCCGAGGCCTCTGGTCCGAGTAGTCGTAACCTGGGGAGGGAGACGCGCTCGCGTGGATGGGAGGGCAGTCCGCCCCCCCTCCCGCACGCAAGCTCCGGGGCGCCCCCCGACCCCCACCCCGCCCCGCTCACCCCCGCACCCAGGTTCCGGGGCGCCGCCCCGCTCACCCCCGCGCCGGCGCTGCCGCGTGGCCAGCACCACCGTGAGCAGCAGCAGCAGGAAGAGCAGGAGCGCGGCCAGCACGTAGCCCAGCTGCTGGAAGAAGAGCGCGCGGCCCTCGGGCACGATCACGTTGATGACGCTACGGCCGCGTGCCAGCGTGGGGTCTGCGGGGCCGCGGGGGGGGTCAGGGGTCAGGGGCGGGACTGCAGCCGGTGCACCCTGACCCCAGCCTCACCCCGCGCTGACCCCCGCGGGGCCTCCCCTCGCTGGCCCCCAGGGGCCCTCCCGTGGGATGCGGAGGGGCCGGCCGGGCTCCCAGCAGCCGGTCTGGCCGTTGCCGGCCCCTAGATGTTTTCCAGGGGCCCGGGGCGGTCAGGGGGAGCCCGGGGCGGTCAGGGGGGGGCCCGGGGCGGTCAGGGGGGGCCCGGGGCGGTCAGGGGGAGCCCAGGGCGGTCAGGGGGGGAGCCCAGGGCGGTCAGGGGGGGAGCCCGGGGCGGTCAGGGGGAGCCCGGGGGGAGCCGGGCGGCCGGGCACCTGGGGCCGGGGCGCCGCCGGGGCGGGAGCCGTTGCCCGGGGGCGGCGGCGGCGGCGGCGGCGGGGCGGGCGCGGTGACCGTCAGGCGGAAGACGCGGCGCTCGTGCAGGCCGCAGTAGTGGTGGTGCAGGTGGCAGGAGTAGGTGCCCTCGTCCGCCGGCTCCAGCGGCTCGATGCGCAGCGAGAAGTCGCCGCGCGCGAAGGCGTCGGCGCGCACGGACACGCGGTCGCGCAGCACGGGCGGCCCGTAGGCGCGGCGCTCGCCGGACGCGTACAGGTCGAGCAGGCGGTCGGCGCGGTCGTGCGGGACGCCCGGCGGCTGCCGGTCCCAATGCGCCACCTGCTGCGCCTCCTCCAGCGGCTGCCGGTCCGTCCACACGGCCGCGCGGTTCACGCAGGTCAGCAGCGCGGGCGCCCCGCGCGCCGCCACCAGCACCTCCTTCTCGCCGTCCCAGTGCGCGCCGGCGGCCCGGGCTGCGGGGAGGCCGCTCAGTGCGGGCGGGGGGGGGCGGGGGGCGGGGGGCGGGGAGGGGGCGGGGGCGGGGGGCGGGGGGGGCGGGCGGGCGGGCCGCTCAGTGCGCGGGGGCGGGGGCGGGTGTGGATGGGGCAGAGGCGGGCGGGGCGGGGCGGAGGGGCGTCCCGCGGGGCCGGCACTCACGGTCGTCGGTGACCTCCAGCTGGACGGCCAGGTTCTCGTCCAGGTGGCAGTAATGGTGGTGCAGGTTGCAGGTGTACAGCCCGGCGTCCGCCTCCTCCACCGCTGGCCGGGAGGGGACGGAGGCCGCGGTGAGCTCCCGCCCGCGCCCCCCGATGCCCAGCCCCTGCCGTGACCCTCCCCGGGCAATGGCTCCGGCCGCGGCGGCGCCCCCGCCCCCTCCCGCCGTGCGCTCCCGCGGGGCAGGGGGGCGGGGGGCGGGAGGGGCGGAGGGCGGGGCCGGGGATGGGGCGGAGGGAGAGGGGCGGGAGGGGTGGGGCCGGGGCGGAGGGGGCGGGGCGGGGGCAGAAGGGACAGGGGGCGGGGGGCAGAGGGGGCGGGCCGGGGGGCGGAAGGTACCGCGGATGAGCAGCGAGAAGTTGCCGTCCAGGAAGGCGGCGGGCGGAGGGGCGGGGTGCGGGGTCGGAGGGCAGAGGGGTGGGGGCAGGAGGGGCGGGGGGCAGAGGGGCGGAGGGCGGGGGCGGGGGCGGGAGGTACCGCGGATGAGCAGCGAGAAGTTGCCGTCCAGGAAGGCGGCGGGCGGGGGGCGGATGGAGGGGGGGGCAGAAGGGGCAGGGGGCGCGGGGCAGAGGGCAGAGGGGCGGGGCGGGGGCGGGAGGTACCGCGGATGAGCAGCGAGAAATTGCCGTCCAGGAAGGCGGGGGGCGGGGGCGGAGGGAGGGCGGGGGCAGAGGGGCGGGGCGGGGGCAGGAGGGGTAGGGGGCGGGGGGCAGAGGGGCGGGGCGGGGCGGGAGGTACCCCGGATGAGCAGCGAGAAGTTGCCGTCCAGGAAGGCGGCGGGCGGGGGGCGGAGGGGGGGGGGGCAGAAGGGGCAGGGGGCGGTGGCAGAAGGGGTAGGGGGGGGCAGAGGGCAGAGGGGCGGGGCGGGGGCGGGAGGTACCCCGGATGAGCAGCGAGAAGTTGCCGTCCAGAAAGGCGGCGGGCGGGGGGCGGAGGGAGGGCGGGGGCCGAGGGGCGGAGCGGGGGCGGGAGGGGTAGGGGGCGGGGGGCAGAGGGCAGAGGGGCGGGGCGGGGCGGGAGGTACCCCGGATGAGCAGCGAGAAGTTGCCGTCCAGAAAGGCGGCGGGCGGGGGGCGGAGGGAGGGCGGGGGCAGAGGGGCGGGGCGGGGGCAGGAGGGGTAGGGGGCGGGGGGCAGAGGGGCGGGGCGGGGCGGGAGGTACCCCGGATGAGCAGCGAGAAGTTGCCGTCCAGGAAGGCGGCGGGCGGCAGCAGCAGGCGGCCCCGGTCGCGCGGCTCGTACACGCGCTGCTCGCCGGCCGAGAACAGGTCCACCAGGCGGCGCGCGGGGCCGGCGGGGCCGCGCAGGTCCCAGTGCAGCACGCGCTGCCGGTCGCGCAGCCGGTCCTGCGTCCACACCATCCGGGGGCTCTGGCAGCGCAGCTCGGCGCGGCCGCCCGCCGGCCCGCTCACCGCGGCCTCCGCCACCACCGCGCCGCCCGCCGCGGGCCCCGCCGCCGGCCCTAGAGGAGGGGGGCGCTGAGCCGGGGGGCGGGGCGGGGGCGGGGCGGGGGCGGGCCCAGGGGCAGGGAGGGGGCGGGGCCCGGAGGGCGGGGCCCAGGGGCAGGGAGGGGGTGGGGACCAGAGGGCAGGGCCGGGCGGGGCCCGGGGCAGGGAGGGGGCGGGGCCCGAGGGCAGGGAGGGGCGGGCCCAGGGGAGGGGCGGGGCCCGGGGCAGGAACGGGCGGGGCCAGGGGGCGGGGCCCAGGGGCAGGGCCGGGCGGGGCTGGCCTGGCGGGGACGGAGGGCTCTGTCCGCAGCAGGGCGATCACTCACCGGCGCACAGCACCGCGGAGCCTGGAGGGACAAGAAGAGCCAGTCACGCGGGGGAGGGGAGGCCTTGGCCCTCACATCCCGGCACAGCCCCGGGGAGGGGCACTGCCCTTGTCCCCCCTTTTTTTTGAGCAACATTTTTAATATGTTTTATTGATTATTTTACAGCGAGGAAGGGAGAGAGAGAAAGGTCCATAAGAATCATGGATCAGCTGCCTCTTGCACGCCCCCTACAGGGGATGTGCCCACAACCAAGGTCCATGCCCTTGACCGGAAACAAACCCGGACCCTCAGTCCGCAGGCCGCCGCTCTATCCACTGAGCCACACCGGTCCCGGCCCCCTCTGTTTTAATATGTATTTTTATTGATTTCAGAGAGGGAGGGAGAGGGGGAGAGGGAGAAAAACATCGATGATGAGAGAGAATCATTGATCAAGTGCCTCCACTCGCCCCACACTGGGCACTGAGCCCAGAGCCCCGGCATGTGCCCTGTTGGGAATCGGGGAATCGAACCCTGACTTCCTGGTTCATAGGTCAATGCTCAACCACTTGTCCCGTCTGTAGTCCCCGCGGAGGTGGGTGCTGGCACCCGGTTTATGGGTGGGGATAAAGCCGGAGAAGACACAGGGGGGGCTCTCTAGCCCGCATGGTGCAGGCACCTCTCCCACAGCCCCCCAACCCTCACAGCCCCCCTAATCACAGCCCCCCTAACCCTCACAGCCCCCTTAATCCTCACAGCCCCCTAATCCTCACAGCCCCAACCCTCACAGCCCCCCCAACCCTCACAGCCCCCCTTAACCCTCACAGCCCCCCCAACCCTCACAGCTCCCTTAACCCTCATAGCCCCCCAACCCTCACAGCCCCCTTATCACAGCCCCCTTATCACAGCCCCTCAACCCTCACAGCCCCCCCTAACCCTCACAGCCCCCTAACCCTCACAGCCCCCCTTAACTCTCACAGCCCCCTAACCCTCACAGCCCCACTAACCCTCACAGCCCCCTTATCACAGCACCCCTTAACCCTCACAGCCCCCCTAATCCTCACAGCCCCCCCTAGTCCTCACAGCCCCCCTAACCCTCACAGCCCCCCTAATCCTCACAGCCCCCCTTAACCCTCACAGCCCCCCCTAACCCTCACAGCCCCCCTAATCCTCACAGCCCCCTAACCTTCACAGCCCCCCTAACCCTCACAGCCCCCCCTAACCCTCACAGCCCCCCTAATCCTCACAGCCCCCCTAACCCTCACAGCCCCTCAACCCTCACAGCCCCCCCTAACCCTCACAGCCCCCCTAACCCTCACAGCCCCCCAACCCTCACAGCCCCCCTAACCCTCACAGCCCCAACCCTCACAGCCCCCCCTAACCCTCACAGCCCCCCCAACCCTCATAGCCCCCCCAACCCTCATAGCCCCCCTAACCCTCACAGCCCCCTAACCCTCACAGCCCCCCTAACCCTCACAGCCCCCCTAACCCTCACAGCCCCCCTAACCCTCACAGCCCCTCAACCCTCACAGCCCCCCCTAACCCTCACAGCCCCCCTAACCCTCCCAGCCCCCCTAACCCTCACAGCCCCCCTAATCCTCACAGCCCCCCTAACCCTCACAGCCCCGCTAACCCTCACAGCCCCCCTTAACCCTCACAGCCCCCCTTAACCCTCACAGCCCTCCGTAACCCTCACAGCCCCCCCCCCGTAACCCTCACAGCCACTGCAGGGACGCCACCTGCCCTTCGGGGTACGTGGTGAGTGGTGGGTTCGGGTTAGACCCCATTGGCTGGGTCTGGGGTGCATGCTCCTCAGCACCCCCCCTTCAGGGGATGGAGAGCCAGCAAGGCCCCGGAGCCTGGGCACCGGGAGCTGGTGTCGGGGAGGCTGGGCACCGGGAGGCTGGGCACCGGGAGGCTGGACACCGGGAGGCTGGGCACCGGGAGGCTGGGCACCGGGAGCTTGGGCACCGGGAGCTGGTGTCGGGGAGGCTGGGCACCGGGAGCTGGTGTCGGGGAGGCTGGGCACCGGGAGCTGGTGTCGGGGAGGCAGGCACTGCACCTGCCGGGGCCACACTGGAGCCTCAGGGCCTCACCTGGAGCCACCCCACCCCCGGCTCAGGGCTGGAGCCCCCGGTCCTGAAGGGCAGGTCTGAGCACCGACACGCTGGACGTGAGGAGGGACCCACGCCTGCCACCTCACAGCCCAGCTCCCGCTCTGGGGGCCGGCGCCAGCGCCAGGAGGGAGGAATGTGCCGGGTCAGCAGGCCACTCGGCGGGGGGTGGGGGGTGGGGGGTGTGCAGGCAGCCAGGAGCAGGCCCTGCAGCCCCACAGTCCCCAGGCCCCACGTCCCAGCGGCTCCCCTCCTGCCACAGGAGCACGGGCCTGGCCCCCTGCCCACGGGACCCGGGCCCCCGCCTCCGCGCCCCCGCCCGCCCCGCCTGGACCTCCGGCTCACACCCTCCTGGGCCCGGGACCCCGTCATCTCCGAGGCCCCCCCGACTGTCCCTTCCCACCGGGCAGCCCCTCGCGGGCTCCGCTCAGACAGGCGCGGGGGCCGGCGCCGGGCCCCTCCCGCACTCACTCTGCAGCAGCAGAAGTTTCCAGAGCAGGACGCCGGCCTGCAGCGCCATGGTGCCGCCGCCAGCTGGGCTTTGTCTGCTCCTCCGCTCCAGCCCCAGAAAAACAGCCGGCCCCCTCCCCGGCCCCGCCATGACATCACGGGCTCTGGGCCGGTCAGGGCTGCAGACCGCCCCCTCGCTCTGCCCAGCCCCGGCCTCCCCACCCGCGGCCCGTGGGGAGGGGGCCCTCTGGCCCGGGTCCCGGGAGGACGGGAGGCCGAGGGTGAGGTCCCCGCGATGCCGGTGGGTGGGCGGCTGTGACACGCGGGGTCCTGCTGGGGCGGCTGCTGCGGCTGGGGTTCCGCCGTGAGCACCCCTCACCCCACCTCTGCCGGGGGACCCTGCCCAGGGCATCCCCTCTCGTGGGCGGCCTGGCCCTGCCCGGGGTGCAGGCATCCGGGCAGGGACCCCCGGGGATCCAGGCTGCCAAACCGCCGGCTCTTCCCGCTTCCGTTAGCCTGCGATGACCCCACATTTCATCCAGAAAAGGGGGATCCGCACAGCCCAGCCCTGGGGGGAGGCCTGGGCGGGGCCTGGGCACAGCGTGAGGCCCTGACGGCTCCACAGGAGCCAGGGGGACATGGGGGGGCAGTGGGGGAGCCATGCCCTCCTCTCTGGCCTGCCCCGCCCCCCCAGCATCTGCCCACCACCCAGGGCAGAATGGGTGTCCCTGAACTCAAACCCGGGTCACAGCTCCTGGGGGCGCCCCCACCCAGAGGAGAGGGGAGGGAGGGTACCGGAGCCCCCACCGCAGAAGGCACTAATTTGAAACTCTGGGAAAACCCGCGGAGTCGCGTAAACAAATGGGAAATGACAGAGCGGCGCTGGGTACGAGCCCGCTCCCTCTCGTTGAGCAAACCTCAGAGAGGAACCCACAGCGCATTCCTCCGGGCGTGGCCCGCCCGGCCCGGCCCCCTGGGCTCGGGTCTCCGCGTGACCCTGCCCTGGTCCCCGCGTCCCGGACCCGCCAGCCGGCACCCGGCCCAGCTCCGGGCGCCCAGGCCAGCCCTGCCGCGGAGGGGACGCCGGGGTGACAGGAGGGAGCCCCCGCGCCCACACCCACTCCCGACTTCACGGCGGCTCCTCAGCAGGGTCCGGGCCCTGGGGGCGGGGCCGTTTCCAAACTCGGATCAGAACCAGCTCCCCTCAGCCCGGCTCCTCCAGGGGCCTTTCATTCTGGAAAAACGAGCTGGCCTCCGCCCTGGGCCTCCAGGCCAGCCTCCCTTGTTTTTCTAACTGGTCTGTGTTAGCGCCGGTGGTGCTCTCCGCCCCCTGCCCCCACCCCCGCCTGCCCCGTTCTGCTGCCCCGTCTCCATCCTCCGCCCGCCCTTGGCCGCCTGCTCCCCTGCGTGGAGGGAAGGCCCAGGCAGCTGGAGAGAGGCGGGAAGCCAGGGCCGGCCTGGTCTGAGGGGACCCGGTTACACCCTAAACTCCTGCACAGCCCCCCTCCCTGCGGGTCCCTGGCCCCGGCCCTCGGTCCTGAGGCTCCGGGCTCCTCCTGCTACAGACCCAAGTGCAGGGAGACGGCGGGGGGTGGAGGGGGCGCCCCTGAGTGCACCCTGACCCCTCGCCCCAGCGGGCAGGACAGACAGAACAGCCAGGGCCGTGCCCCTCCTCCGTTCTCTCCGAGGAGGCCAGCTGAGCCCCAGGAGCCGCAGAGGGCCGCACGCCCCGCCCCGTCCTCGGTAGGAAATGGCACAGATGTGAGCAGAGCAGCGGGACCAGGCGCCAGCCGAGCCCGGCTCCCTCTCCCTCCTCTCCCACGGGTGCCCGGCCTCAGGGGACGCTCCGCGGGGAGAGCAGACCGGGCTGAGGACCCTGGCAGCATCTCCCCGTCCGCCCGGAGCTCAGGCCGGGGGGGCCCCCCCATCCCTGCACCCCCCCCAGCCCGCAGCCTCCTCCCTCCCTGGGCGGGGCTGAGCGGGTGTCAGGCCGCGAGCTGAGAACCAGACTCTGGCTCCGGCTCCTGGGACCGGGACATTCCAGGCCGCCTGGCTCATCGGGAGGAAAACCACAGGCTCTCCGAGCGGCACCAGCAGGCTCCCACGTGGTCACACACCTACTGTGCGCTGAGCACCTACTGTGCGCTGAGCACCTACTGTGCGCGGCGGGGGCAGCGCGGAGGCCAGGCTCCCGCCCCCGGAGCCGTGAGGAAGGGCAGCCGGCGTTCCGCGCACAGGGAGGGCGGTCAGGTGCCCGGGGCCGCCTCCCTGCCTGGAGGGCTGCAGTGGCCCCTGGGGGCAACACCCACAGGGGAGGCCCTCCCAGGTGAGGGAGAGGGGCCTGCTGTGGTCTGGTTCCTCCAGGCCCTCGGGAGCCCGGCCTGAGACTGAGCACAGGGACGGGGCTGGGAGGCAGGACATGCCTGGGCGGTTGGTGCAGCTTCTGCAGGGCCTCGGGGCTCACAGGGCATCCACCCCCCACGCGCCCGTCCCCACGGCGCCCACACACCCCCAGGGTGCCCACCCCTCTCCACATGTCCGCCCTCCCCATGGCATCCACCCCCCATGCGCCCGCACCGTGAGTGTGGGCAGGAGTGGTGAGTACAGTGGATAGCGCTTCGCACCCACATGGTTAAGCACTAGGACCTCTCTGGGGGGCGGGGACCACAAGGCAGCCCAGCTTCCGCCAACCACAGGCCCCTGGGCCCCAGTCCACCGACTGACAGCCCCCTGGGCCCCAGTCCACCGACTGACAGAGCCACTACCCGGGCCCTAGTCCACCGACTGACAGCTCCCTGGGCCCAGTCCACCGACTGACAGAGCGACCACCCGGGCCCCAGTCCACCGACTGACAGAGCCACCACCCGGGCCCAGTCCACCGACTGACAGAGCCACCACCCGGGCCCAGTCCACCGACTGACAGAGCCACCACCCGGGCCCAGTCCACCGACTGACAGAGCCACCACCCGGGCTCAGTCCACCGACTGACAGAGCCACCACCCGGGCCCCAGTCCACCGACTGACAGAGCCACCACCCGGGCCCCAGTCCACCGACTGACAGAGCCACCACCCGGGCCCCAGTCCACCGACTGACAGAGCCACCACCCGGGCCCAGTCCACCGACTGACAGAGCCACCACCCGGGCTCAGTCCACCGACTGACAGAGCCACCACCCGGGCCCCAGTCCACCGACTGACAGAGCCACCACCTGGGCCCCAGTCCACCGACTGACAGAGCCACCACCCGGGCCTCATCCACTGACAGAGCCCCCCGGGCCCCAGTCCACCGACTGACAGAGCCCTCTGGGCCCCAGTCCACCGACTGACAGAGCCACTACCTGGGCCTCATCCACCGACTGACAGAGCCACTACCCGGGCCTCAGTCCACCGACTGACAGAGCCACCACCCGGGCCCAGTCCACCGACTGACAGAGCTGCCACCCGGCCCCAGTCCACCGACGGCAGAGCCACCATCTGGAGCAGCGGGAAGCAGCCTGCACAGGGAGGATGCAGAGGCCGAGGCCAACCTCACCCTCACCACGACCCTGTGACCCCGTGACCCTGTGACCCTGTGAGGACCAGCGGGCAGGCGGGAAGCTGTGCAGTGCCGAGGGTGCCGCCTTCAGCTGCTCAGTTCGTGGGGATCCCGGACACAGCCACACACGCACTCACACACAGACACACACACTCACACACGCACACACACTCTCACACACACACACTCTCACGCACTCACACACACTCTCACACACACACACTCTCACGCACTCACACACACACACACTCTCACACACACACACACAGACACAACACTCACACACTCTCTCACACACACACACACACACTCTCACGCACTCACACACACACACTCACACACACACATACACTCTCACACACACACACTCTCATGCACTCACACGCGCGCACACACACACACACACTCACACACACACACATACACTCTCACACACATACACACACTCTCAGACACACTCAGACACACTCTCAGACACACACACACTCACACGCACACACACGTACAGACACACACACACTCTCACACACACACTCACACGTACAGACACATACACACTCTCTCACACGCACACACTGTCACACGGACACGCACACACACTCACACACACACCACGGGACCCTCGCTGTCACTCAGGAGGAGCAGAGGCGGGAGCTCTCCGGGTCTTCCTTCCAGGGAAATGGCTTACTCAGCACGTGGGGGAGGGGCCTGCGGAACCTGCTGAGTCAGCAGGGAAGCCGGCGCTGACCTATGAGTGACAGCTGTCAGGGCACCGGAGCCACCGGACAGCTCAGGGCCGGAGCCAGTGACGCAGCCGCCACTGGGCGTCCGGCCGGCAGGGTGATGGCGTGAGCAGAGGACCTTCCTCTGTGCGAGGGCCCCAGCGCCCAGCCGAGCAGGGCACAGGGTCAGCCACCTTTGACCCGCAGGTCAGGACTCCCTGCGGGGCTGACCGCTGGGCTGCCCGTTCCACGTGGGAACGGCGGCAATGGCTCAGCGGGGGCTGCTGGACCCAGGCGCTTGGCCCTGCCAGCTGGATCCTCTGCCCACATGTGGCCCTCCCCTCCTCACCGGGCTCCTCCCAAGGCCTGAGCGGGCAGCATGGCACCACCTCCCACCGGGAGGGGCAGACCGGGGCCCAGGGAGGAGCAGCGAGGTCTGGGGGCGAGGCCTGGGGCGGGGCAGGCCGTGAGGGGGGCTGTGCCCTCCTCACAGGTGACACCACAGGAGGCGAGTGACGAGGGATAGTGAAATGCAAGCAGCTCGGAGCACTGCCTCAGGTTCATGTCCTTTATAAAATATACTAGTTGTTTTACATTTTTTTTTATTGATTTCAGAAAGGGAGGGAGAGGGAGACAGAAACGTCAAGGATGAGAGCAATCATGGATCGGCTGCCTCCTGCACTCCTACTGCGGACCGAGCCCACAACCCGGACACCGCTCTGCCCGGGAAAGGAACCGTGACCTCCTGGTTCACAGGTCACACCGGCTGGGCTGTATTTGTTATTTTAATCCAAATAAACATAAATATTAACGTTTACCTATAAGACCTTCAACTATTGGGGGGGAGAGAATAACTTGCCGAACCCATAAAACCAGACAAGGAAACTCAGGAAAGGTTAGTTAAGCATTGCGTATGTAAATAAGCCTAATTCTTCTAAGAGCTATGTCAGTTCACCTCTTCTTTAAAAAAATATATTTTTATTGATTTCAGAGAGGAAGGAAGAGGGAAACATCAATGATGAGAATCACAGACTGGCTGCCTCCTGCACGCCCCCTACTGGGTATCAAGCCTGCAACCCAGGCATGTGCCCTGACTGGGAATCCAACCCAGGACCCTTCAGTCCATAGCCGACACTCTATCCACTGAGCCACAGCAGCCAGGGCAGGTGGCCTGATCTTTTACACCGTCATCAAGGCCCATTGTTGTTTTCATTTCTCTGATTTGAGAGGAAAACCTGGGCTTGTTCCACTTATTTCCACATTCACCGCCTTGTGTGCCCTGCCCAGGGCTGGACCTGCAACCTTGGCGCATCAGGCTGATGTCCTAATCCACGGAGTCCGCCCAGGTTACGTCACGGTACAAAGTATGAAACCAGCCTGAGCTGTCCAAGGAGTCGTGTTGGTTAAAAGTATTATCTGAGCCCTGGCTGGCGTGGCTCAGTGGATAGAGCATCGGCCTACGGACTAAAGGGTCCCGGGTTTGATTCCCGTCAGGGCACAGGCCCAGATTGTGAGTTCCAGCCCCAGTAGGGGGTGTGCAGGAGGCAGCCGATGAATGATTCTCATCATGGATGTTCCTAGCTCTCTCCCCGTCTCTCATCGGAGCTTTTTCTAATAGAAACGTGAACATCCACCTTCCCAGCCGACTTAAACACTGCACTCTCGCTGTGTGAGGGGGGCCTTCCTTCCTTCCATAGATTCTGCAAGAAAATAATTTCTTAAAGGTGAACACTCCTCAGGCATCAGAAGGTCAATGCTCCCAGCCGGTGTGGCTGAGCGTCCCAGGCACTGAGAGGTCACTGGCTGCCTGAGACCCAGCAGGGAACGTGCAGGAGGCAGCCAATCGATGTTCCTCGCTCATCAATGTTTCTTCTCTCCAAGGTCAAAAACTTTTTTAAAAAGTTCAGCTTCCTTGCCGAAACCGGTTTGGCTCAATGGATAGAGCGTCGGCTTGGGGACTGAGGGGTCCCGGGTTCGATTCCGGTGAAGGGCATGTACCTTGGTTGCGGGCATATCCCCAGTGAGGGGGGTGCAAGAGGCAGCTGATCGATGACTCTCTCTCATCGATGTCTCTAACTCTCTATCTCTCTCCCTTCCTCTCTGTATAAAAAAAAAAAAAAAAAAAAAAAAAAAGTTCAGCTTCCTTTTCTCTCTGAACTCTCACGTCCTCAGCTCACACCCACACCAGCTCCGTCCACCAGACAGACTTTCTCATCACACGCATCACGCGTGGTTTCCAGGGACACAGGAAGGGAGAAGCTTCCAGCCACACAGCTGAGGATCGAGTCCAGCTCTCAGGGAGCACGGGCTGGCCTCGGGGTGCCCAGCGGGCGGCAGGGTCACCCCCTGGCCGGCACCCAGGTCTGGACCTCTCGGCTCAGCCCTGCAGGACACGCCCCCCGCCTCCCACCCTGGGGCCTTTCCTGGGGAGCTTGGAGTGGAGCTGGCTGATCAGAGAGCACTCTTTCCCAGCCTCCTTCACAGCGCACGGCGTGGGGCCCGCCCGGCAGGGCCGCTGCTGTTCTGCCCCTGAGCAGCTCAGCCGGGAAGAGCTCCCGGCCCTCACCAGCTGTGCCCTCCCACAGGACCTGAGTGGGAATGCCACGTGGGTGGGAATGCCCAGGCCAGAGCACGAAGGAGCCCCCGAGGCAGGGCCCCAAGTACCTCCCCCCACCCCCATCAGCTGTGCCCTGGGGGCCTCCCCCGGCTGGACCCTGAGCCCTAGGACCTGCCAGGGAAGACTGGGCAAGGGGTGGGCCCCGGGCCGGACCAGGCAGGCAGCCTGCAGGCCCCCCGCCCCCTCGCTCGGGGGCGCCTGGGTCAGAACGGGGAGACGACAGGGAGAAGGGGCTGCACTCCCGCAGCCGGGGGCAGGGTGGAGGCTCTGCAGGGAAGAGGGAAGGGCCGTGGAGATAAAAATAAAACCCCGGTTCTGCCTCCTGAGCTTGTGGTTGGGCCCAAAGGCATCCAAGCCACAGGCCGCCTGAGCCGTGCGCACGCTGCCAGGAGGGGCAGGGAGGGGGCTGCCAGGGCCCGGGCTGCAGGGGGAGGCGCTGGGCAGGCCCCGGAGCTGCGCTGACAGACTGGCAACCCTGGACCAGGGTCTGGATGGCGCTGCCACGGAAGCTTGGGGCTAATTGGGGAGCGTGGGGGGCTGCCCCGTGCACAGCAGGGCACTCAGCACATCCTGGCCTCCACCCACTGTCCCTCCCGTCACAACGCAGGTGTCCCCAGATGGATGTGCCCACGGGCAGCTGCCTCTGCTGGCCCCCCAGGCCCCGCCCAGGATGGAGGAGGCTGGCTCAGGGGGCCCCACCAGCCCCCGGGTGCACAGCTGGCCGGCCACACCCCCAGAGCCCCCCGCTTGGCCCAGCTCCAGAGGGAGGCTTTGTCTCTAACGCTCTGACCGCTGAGTTGTCCTCCTCTTGCCGGCCTGGGAGGCGGGTGAGCCAGGGGCAGCTGCCGTGGCCGAGGCCACACTTGGCACCGGAAGGCAGGGTCCGTTCCATCCCCAGGCAGCTTCCTGCCCAGGCCCTGGCCCAGGGGCCTCACCCACTGCTGCTGGGGAAGCCAAGACCCAGAGGATGAATGGGAGCCCAGCAGCAGGTGTGACTGCTGCCCCCTGGCGGCCACCAGCAGAAGCAGGCCCTTCGCTGTGCCAGGTCATGGCCAGAGCATTGGGCAGCCTGTGTGCCCACCAGCACATGCGGGGCCGCCTGGCTCCCCGAGGGGACGGGTCACCAGCACCCAGGGAAGCTGCTGGGAAACCCGCTCAAACCTCCAAGACCTGCCTCCTCCCGGGAGCTCACACCCAGGCCCCCTCCCATCTCAGGGGCCAGTTAAGAAGCCCCAGCCCGCAGAGGGGCCCGGCCGGCCTGCCTGGCTGGTGGGGCAGCACAGGAAGGCGCTGGTCTCCTCTCCGTGGACGTGGTCCTGCGTCTGAGGGTGGGAACGGCCTCCGCCCAGGCCCGCCCAGGCCCCCCTTTAGGGATAATGCACTCCCCTCCCCGCCCAGAAGGACCCCAGCTCATACCAGGGCTCCAGGGCTCCTCCAGCCCCACAGGCTACACCTTCCTCACCACCCACAGGCTACACCTTCCTCACCACCCGCACCCCGAACCTGCTGGGGCACCCCCTCCAGCTGCCCAATTCAGGCCTGGGAAGAGGCTGAGGACACAGAGCCCACAGGAGGCCAGTGGCCCCGACCCCAGCAGGGCGGGGCGGGTGGCTCAGGGGACCACTCGAGTCCCAGGTCCTTGGAGCCTGCAGAGCATCGCCCGTCACCTCTGGGGGCCCCGGGGCCTTTCCTGACACCTCTCCCTGCCCCCAGGGAGGTCCTCCCTGAGCCCCGCCTTATCTCTCAGCTGGGCACTGCCAGCCCTACTGCTGTCCTGGGCACTCTGCCATCTGTGTGACCAGTAAGAGGCTGCCTGTCCCCGGGCAACCAAGTGCCCTGCGGGCAGAGCTGGGCCTCCAGTCCATGCCACCCCCGCTGCATTCCTTCCTAGACAGCGAGGCCGTCATTCCCACCGGCCCGGCACCAGGACAGGGGCCGGCACCGGGAAGGGCCGGCAATCTGCCGCCCAGGGCCTCGGTGCCTCTGAGGCTGGCACCGGCCTCCCTCCACCCCAAGGCAGCTCACACCAGGCAGACGGGGTCCAGGCGGCAGGAGGGGGGCTCCGAGAGCGTTTATTGCAGAGAACAGCAGCAGCAGCACCATCGGGGCGGAGCTCCGCGCTCACTTGTTCCGGAGGTAGATCTTGGGCGTCTGCCAGCCCGGAGGGGCGTCCCTCAGGCCCGCCTTCACCCAGATGCGCTTCAGGTCCCGCTCGAACCTCATCTGTGAGGGCAGAAGGGACGCCCACCCGTGTGAGGGCCACGCACGCTCGGCCACCTGGCCCCACGCCGCTGGCCGGACCCAGCAGTACCTGCTTCCGCTTCAGGCGGCCTTCCCGCACCTTCCGCCGCAGGAACCGGGTCCTCTTGATGAGCTTGCGGTACTTGTGGCGGTTCATCTTCCGCCGGCGGATCTTCAGCACGTTTTTGCACTGAATCTGGGGCGCGTCCCAGACCTCCTGGCGCCCCTGCTCAGCCCCTCCCCCCGCCTGGCCGGGCGGACACTCGTAGGCCTGGGCTGGCGCCACAGGCCCTGGGCCCCCGGCGTCCGGCCTGGGCAGGAGGTAGTGGGCGGTCAACCAGCTCTCCAGGGGGCTGATGGACATCTTCCTGGGGACCAGCATCTCCTCGAGCTCCAGCTGCTGCTGCTCCCCCTTGCCCGGGAGGACGGCAACCGGGCTCGGGGCTGCTGGTTGCGTGCCGTAGCGGGGCCTGCAGACATGGCTGCCCAGCACTCCTGACACAGGCCTGGGCCCACGGAGGCCTGCGGGAGACACGACGACAGTCACCACCCACCAGGCTGCAGTAGCCTGCACTCAGCCGGCTGGACCTGCTGGGACTTCGGAGCAGAAGCGCCATCACAGCCTGGGGTGACCGTAGTCCTGGTCCGAATCCCTGCTGACGTTCTGGGGGAGAAGCGGGGGAGATGGGGGGACTTCCCCTTCGTGATGCTCGGATGTTTGCAGGGCAGCTGGCTGGCCAGGCCCTGGCCTCCGGATGGGGAGGCGTAGACTCCTAACCCGCTCGTGTGTCCTGCCCACCGGGCCCCACGGGAGCGCTTACCTGCCCGGGGAGCGACCCTGAGCAGCTGGGAGGTCAGACGCGCCAGGAACATGGTCGGCGGTGGCGGCCCGGCGCTCAGCGGAGCTGGAACACAGGTGCGCGCGGAGGTCAGGGGGCGGCTGGCGGGCCTGGGGCCCCGGCACCCGCCACCTCCTGGTCCTCAACTCCCGGGAGGACCTCGCTCCCTCCCCAAGCGACGCGCCTCCCACCACGCGGCCGGCGCCAGGCACCGAGCCTCCCTGGGTCTCAGCTTCACCGCAGGCGCCGACCGCGCGGGGCGGAGCCGGAGGCGGGGAACGGCGCGCGGCCGGGCCCGGGCCCCGGAAGGGTGGCCCACACCGGCGGCTCTCACGGCGGCCCCTGGAGCGCCCCGCGGCGGCCCCCGCCCGCCCTTTCCAGGCCCAAACCCGGGGACCAACACTAACCATTCCGCCGCGGTGCGCAGCCACTTCCGGTCCGGTCTTCAGCCCGGGTGCCGCCGCCCGGCGGTTCCTACGTCCAGCGCCCCCTGGCGCTCGTACAGAGCCCGACTCCGCGTCGGCTCAGGCCCCACCGGGCCCACAAAGCCACGGCTTCCGGAGGGAGGAGCCGCCATGCCACGCCCCCAGCCCAGCGGATTAGGGAGACAAGAAAACTACATCTCCCACAATCCCAGGGATGCTCTCTGCGCCTGCGCGGCCGAATTGGCGTCTAGCAGGGCTCCTTCACCAAGTCAAGCGGAAGTGACGTTTAAAAAGTGCGACGGAAATGGAGTGCGCGGAGCGACCAAAAGTGACTGGGGTACCGCGCCCGCTGGGCGGGAGGCGCAGGCCCGGTTCCCTCTCCCTCCCCTCGGGCGGGGCGTGAAGGGGTCAGACCGGCGCCGGTGACGGATCCGCAGCTCCGGCACCAGCGAAGCCCCGCCCCAGCCCTTTGGCATGGCGGCCTCCTCTCCTCGCCTGTGCGGAGGCCCGCGCCTTGCAGAGGTGGATTGCCTTTCCTTTTTTAAGGCGAACTCCCAAACTGTGCCTGTGGAAAGAGAAATCAGAAACTTCAGTTTTTGTCCAAAACCAAAAGAGCCCCCTGGGAGGACTGGGTTTGGCTGAGCCGGTTGCTTCTCAGGATGGAGGCTTCCAGGGCCCAGGACCCCTTCTCGCTCTGGCCTGGGTTGGAAGGCCCATCAGGGGTGCCCGTTGGTGGCTCTACCTGCGAGTCCAGTCGTCTCAGGCCCCAACCTAAGTAAGCAATGAGCTTTGCATCCACTCATGGGAGGGCGGCAGAACCACAGGCTCCAGGCTCTGCTCTCCACCGAGGCCGCAGGATGGCGCTGTGCCCCCTGTCCTGAGGGGCTGTCTGAGTAGGGTCTGTGAGCATAGCCAGCCCACCTCAGCTGCAACATCCGGCCCTTTATGATTTGGTCATAGAGCACCACCTGGAACCTAGGCGCTGATCCTGTGGCCTTCACATCTCCTCGGCCCCATGGCACCCGATGAGCCATGCAGTGCCCTCCCACCTTCAGAGGTGCTGGTCTGGGAGAGCCAAAGCCAGGCATATCACAGGCCACCCAGGACTGGGAAACAGCACAAGGCCCATCCTGCTCACAGGGTCCACTCCCTGTCCGCTCGCCTGCCACCCACTGAGGGGGACACCGCCAGGGCGGTGCTCCAAACGGCCCCGTGTGCCTCGGGTGCAGGCAGTTTCTGTACTTCTCCCTTCCCTGCAGCCTTTGTGAACATGCAGACGGCGAGGCCCCCCAGCCTCTGACAGAAGAGCAGCCACAGGAGTTTGATACAAAACAGCTTTAATGAGATCAGAGGCAGCAGCACAGACACCCCGAGAATGGGCGCCGCGGGCTGTGCGCAGCAACAAGCAGGACACACTACAAATTCTTTAATGTCCAAATATCCTGAGTAGAGAGAATTGTTTATTCAACCACATGAAATGCATAGATAGGAAACCTCTATTTAGGAGCTGGTGGCCTGCACACAGCATCGCAGATAAAAATATACGCCTTTCAACACAGATCTAAACACCTTCACATTTTAAAAATCAGAATTCTCTACACAAGTTTTAGGCTGACAGAATTCAAGTTCTGAGTTCTCATATATAGCTTTAACTTGTATTAAACACATGTTTATTTACAACGTGGATAGAGAATAGGGGCTATTAAGGCCATTTTCTCATTGTGAAATACTGCAAAATATGTACATAAGTACAACCTAATATAGGCAAAGGTCCTAGAAGTCATTCTGTTGGTTTAACGTAATTGAGTGTCGGTATGGGAGTGAAGACAGCCTGTCGTTAGCACCAATCCACACCACCGGCGTGTGCAGTATCGACTTGCAGGCTGCGGCCGAGACAGGCCCGGCACCAGGACCGGTGTGTGCCTCGCCAGCCAACCTGAAGGGCCCCGTGCCATCCTCTTGATTCCATCTCCGAATTCACCCCGAGGTCCAGAGTAACCACCATTTACACGGAGAGCTGAGCCGCAGGTCGGCCCCGCGAGGCGGAGGGCAGCTCTCGGGCCCGGGCCTCACCTGCGGTGCCGGCTGTGTCCGGGGTGGTCCCGCTCGTAGCGGTGGCCCGTTCGCTCGTAAGACCTCGAACGCTCCCGCCGCTGATCTCTGTAGTAATGACTCTTCTTCTTGAACTTGCCGGAAGTATCTGCCCGGTCCCGGGAGCGGCTTCTCGAGCGGGAGGAGCTCCGGCTCCGAGACGTGGGTGGCTTCTGGGCGGGGTACGGGCAGTCCTTGGCCTTGTGGTAGCTCCTGGCCTTGGAGCCTTTGTAGGGAGCGCCTCGGTGCGCCTGTCTCGGGGGCGAGTCGCTGCGGCTGCGCGAGCGGCTTTGGGACTTGGACCCTCCTGTGGTCGAGCCGCTGTCGCTTTTCCTGTGGAGCACAGCAGCACCAGGCCATGACCAAGCACCCACACACCTCACCTCTGCGCCCTGGGAAACCACCACCCGCCCGCCAGGCAGCCCCTCGGCACATACCTCCTCTTAGGAGAGGCGGATCGCGATGCGGACCTCGAGCAGCTCTGCTCACGGCTCCCGCTCCGGCTCTGACTGCCTCGCCCCTTCGGCAACCTGAGAAGAGGGAGGCGCAGTTCAGACCTGCGCTCCGCCACCCCCACGCCACTGGGGCACTCGGGCACTCACCCGTTCACCGGGCTGTCGGCCTTGGCTTTCTTCACACCCTCCGTTTTCCTCTTGCTGCTCTTCACCGAGAGCGGGGAAGCCTTGTTCCCTTTGCCTTCTTTGGGAGATTCCGCTAGAACCAGTACAAGGAGTTAAGACCTGACATTCAGAAAACTACAGCGTTACAAACAGGTTAGCAGAGCAATGGATCACCATCTCTACGGAACAGCGCGTGGGGACACCTGCTAACGGTAACTTCCTGCTCCCAGCCTGGGACTTGGGACCTGGACATGCACCAGAGATGCAGAGGGGCCACCCGCAGGGATTGGGGAAGGGTCGGGCCGGCTGGGTAAACCACCCCCACAGCCCTGCTTGCTAACGGAAATAAAGCCAGGAAAGCAATCCCCTCAGGAGTCCTGTCCCGTCTCCAGGATCACCACGGGCTCAGACACTCGAGAGGAAGAAGGTCGCCCTGTAGGAAGCAGACTCACCGGGCTTGAGGGCAGGGGAGAACCCCGAGGTGCTGTCCAGGGCAGGGGTGCTGCCTGGCAGCAGGCCCCTGGCTTGTGCCTTTGCCTCGTCCATGGCGTGCTTCTTCTTTTCCACCTCACTTTCCAGTTGTGTCAGGTCAACCTAGAAAAGATAAGATCCACCTGTTCAGAAAGAGGTGCTTCTATCAAACACAGATGTTACATGAAAAAAACAAAAAAAAACACAGAACCACCTTCTTCCGAGTATACAGCTGCAGGATCTTTAAGCAGATTTCTTGAATCTCTTCTTCAGTTGCTCCAAACAAAAGAAACCAATGGGGACGATTGGGCAGAGGGATCTGAAAACAAATGCTACCGGTTATGCTTGCCCTCACGGCCAACAAGGCACTCGGTGCCGTGAAAGCCACCCCACTGGTCACTACGAGGCGGCCTCTCATCGCACCAATGAGCACACTCTACCCGACCCCTGAGAGCTCTGGAGGCTGGAGAAGGGCCCAACCGGAACCCCTGGGCGCAGCACTGACCTCCAGCGTCCGGGCTGCAAGGTAAATGCAGGCACAGGCGATGCTCTCGGGCTGGAACCGCACAAACACGTCTGTGCGAAGGCTGTCATTCATGTAATTCCTGAAACCAAAGGCAGGGCGAATTGCAGCACCCCGGCAGACCCAGGACGCCCATCGGCCTCATCTAGGGAGGGCACCTCCTCTAAGGAGCCTGCTGTGAGGACCTGACACAGTCCTGGGACTCTCGGGTTCGGGGGGAAACGAACTAACTGCTTTTTCTGAACACAGGACAGTTAGGTGGGGAGATAGTTGGCAAAAAAAACTTTTAACCTGGCTGAATGTCAATCGGTGTTGCTATGAAAGAGAACCAACTTTAACTTTCCTTTTCCCTCTCACTTTGCCTGCTCTCATGCAAAGCACAATGCCTCAGAAAGAAACAGGGGTGAGAGAGTACTTGGTTAGAAATCTAAGCGCTCAGCTCCGTAGTGCAGAGAAACATGCAAACTCAGTGACTGCGAGCACGGAGCCACAGGCTTTTCTGAGACAAGCCGTCCTCTTCGTTCCTCTTCCTTCAGGAGGCGTCCAGCCGGGCCTCCGTCCACGAGGGAGTCCACGCGCAGAGGAGCTTCGCCCTGGGAGCAGGGAACAGCATGCCGAGGAGGGCTCAGTGCCCAGAGGGCAGTCCTCTTCTCAGGCTTAGCAAAAACCATTTCCAAATTGTCCCATTCAACAAGGAGTCTTAAAATGAATATTCATAAGATCAGACAAAAGCATCAAAATACCATCATTTTCACCATAACCAGTACATTTAAAAACTTTATCATACTTTAGAAAATAGAGAAATACAAAAATATTTTGCATTTTTAAAAGGTGACATTTTAAACTTGGCTACATTTAACATTTTCTTTCATTCGTGTTTCTCTAAGACTTAACAGGAAACTTTACCAATCTCGCACACACAAGGATTAATTCCATGAGAAACAGGTGAACAGGTCATCCAGTCACCGCTCCCCACACCCCCCCAGGTGACAAGCCTGAGACAAGCTGCACCCACAGGTGAGCCAAGTCATGCTGTGATTGACTGACCCCCCACCCACCCACCCCACCCCGGCATCGCTGCTCCCAAGCCCTGGAGAGGGTGACAGACAAAGCACTCCAAGGTCCACTCCAAGGTCCTCAAGGCCCGCACATGCTGCTGGCGGCACCTGCTGGGAAGCTCGTGTTCCAGCACCAGGAGGTGACCGAGAACCAGTGTGAGGGCACCAAGGCCCAGGACCCAGAGCATCGCAAATGTACAGTTTAAACATTGTATGCACATAACCATCGAGAAGTTTTTATCTTAATAAAACATTTTCAATATTCAAATAGTGATAACATCAATCTATTAACTTTAAAGTCCTAAAAACAAGACAAATTGCTCAAAACATATACTTAAGCTAATTGCATATTTGAAATGTTACAATATAAAGTGTCCATGGGGTCATCTAAAGATGCATTACCTTCACTCAGCTGCTGAAATGGGCAGCCCTAAGAACCTCCAGAAATGGTGCTATTATCCCTTACTTACATCCCAGTTCCCATCAGCCAATTCTCACAGCTTTCCATAGATTTTTTTTCAAAGACAGGTATTGCATCTTTAGTGCACAGGTAGGTACAGCAGTTTTAAAGGAACAAATTTCAAGTCAAACAGTTATCAAGTCTAATCAATACAATTACCAAAGCACGACAGAGGGTTAACAAGAAGCGCAACCGTCAGAACCACAGCAGCGTCGGCCAGCACTAGACTATCGTGAGCATACCACCATCTAGGCCAGCCTTCGTGGAGCCTGCCCGGGAGTGGCTGAGGACGGCCGCTGTCCCTGCACCGAAGCGCTTGGACAGCGAGGAGAAGTCTTAGTCACTTACCCTCAGAGGCTCCCCTTTGATTGAAAGAGTACAGAAAAGAAAAGTCAAAACAGGTTCTCTTGGATAGCACAGCACCAGACAATTCAGCAGCAAAATATGACCCTTATAGCCTTAACTCCGGGGGAAAACTCACCACGCACCCAGCACTGCCCTGTGACTCCAGGCCTCATCTCTAACATATGGTTAAAGCCCGTCCCCAGAACTGTACACCAACTTTACACCCCCCTCTTCCCTAGGAGTCTTGTTGAGACAGCGGGGAGCAAATTCACAGGAGATACAGGACTAAGACTGTGCCCGTACCCGGGGTAAGATCCCGGGGTGCCCCGTCTGCAGCCCCCACAGGAAGTCTACCGACTGCTCTCGGGGGTCAGGGGAAGGTGTGGGCCACCTTACCGTTAGCCAGTGCCTGATATTGGGGAGGCTGGTTGGAATTACGTGGCAGGAACACTGGGCACTCAGACAACTCCAGCCCACAACCAAGTCATGGGACCGACTACCCACTGCCCAAGTGCCTACAGTCAACATATTCCTGCCTGCCCCGGCTGGTCTCATAAAACAAGGAAAATCAACTCACCATGAGGTCTGGACCAGGTGTTGGTTACGCTCACACTCTAACACCTGAAGGTACATAACGATTATCTGGAAGATACGGGTCAGGCAGTTATTACCAGGAACCTGGGAATCCAGATCTCAGATCTTGAGGGCGCCATGCAGCAGTAAGCCTCATGCTAGCTCCCAGGAGGCTCCTGGCCCCAGCCCAGGGCACAGCTCAGTGGGAGGCTTTTGCTGTCATCTGCTCCCTGCACCCACAGGGAAGACCTTGTTTTTCACACATTCTCATCGGTGACATCAGCCTGCCCCCAGCAGCTGTGTACCCATCACCAATTTACACACAACGCGGTGTGAAAACACTGCCAGCAAATGAAGAAAAGCTCTTAAATCTTCGGTAATTGACTGAGGTTTTGAATTAATGCCAGAAAGTCAAATAAAAAAGAGAGTATGAGGAAGCCCACCAATAAAAAGAAAATGAAAGCAAAGATGCAAATAGCAGTATTTTTTAAAACAAGCTTTGACCCTAGCTGGTTTGGCTCAGTGGACACAGTGTCAGCCTTTGGACTGAAGGTCCTGGGTTCAATTCCAGTCAAGGGCTCATGCCCGAGTTGCAGGCTCCATCCCCAGTAGGGGGTATGCAGGAGGCAGCCGATCAATGATTCTTTCATCATTGATGTTTCTATCTCTCCTTTAATCTCTAAAAGCAAAAAAAAAGTATATTTTTTAAAAAGGCTAACTTTAAAAAAGTAATAAAATAAAACAAGCTTTGGGCCCTGGCTGGGTGCTCAGATGGTTAGAACATTGTCCCAATACCCAAAGGCAGGAGCAGCATCCAATGGATGCATAAATAAGTGGAGCACACATCCCTTTTCTCCCTCCCTCTTCCCCCTCTCAAATCAACGTCAAAATAAACAACAGCTTTGTGTTTGAGAGAAATGGAGAAGGAAACCAGAATATCCTACAGTAGCCACGCTCCTCAGCTAATTCTTCCTGAAAAACGGCTTAGTTATAGGAGGAGATGAAGCCGTTACTAAAGCAACTTTAGAAAATGAGCTGTTTAAAATAAATAATAAATAAACAAACAAATAAATAAAAGGAAATGAGCTGTTTAAAATAAGTAAATAAATAAACAAACAAATAAATAAAAGGAAATGAGCTGTTTAAAATAAGTAAAGAAAGAAAGAAAAGAAAACGAGCTGTTGAGACGTGGCCAGGGGGCTCAGTTGGTGGAAGCACTGTCCTGTGTACCAAAAGGTTGCAGGTTCCCCATCCCCAGTTGGGGCACATACAAGAGGCAGGCAGTCAATCTCTCTTGCTCGCTAAAATCATTTTGTTTTTAAGCAGAAACGTATCAAATGAAGGTTAAAAAACTTTTTTGAAAAAGAGAAATGTAAAGGGACAGATGCTCTATTTACAACTTCATCACTATTTCTGAAAGATCATAGAATGCTACTTCCAAAACTCTTAAAAACATACTACCAAAATCAACAGGGAACACAGGAAGGCTAACGGGGAAGAGTATTTTCAGATCATGGAGAGAAAATGGAAACCCACGTCAGGACACATTTAATCGTCCTCAATTTCCAGTCTCGGAGAGAACGGAGCAGCGGCTCCGGGGGCCCTGGGGCCGTGGGGCCTCCACCCACCTTGTGGGGGTGCTTCACGTGGACGCAGAAACCCAGCTCCTTGAGAACTCGTCTCTCTGCCTTTATAATCTGGTTCTTCAAGTTAACGTACTCCTGATCCAGCAGTAGAGGTGTAGGTTTCCTACAAAGACACAGTACAGCAGGTCACACAAGACAAACTCTTCCTAAGCCTCTGGCTACCCCCACACAGTTAGAATCCTTCCTATATAACAGAGCTGATATGCAAATTAACCCTCACAAGATGGCTGCCTAGGGGGGTTAGTGAGAGACAACCAAACAACTGAACAGCAGGCTGCATGGGGGAATCAGGCCGACAGAGGAGGCAGTTGGGGGCAAACAGGCCGTCAAGGGGGCGGAGGGGCAGGTTGGGGCAACCAGGCTGGCAGGGGGAGGCAGTGACGGGCAACCAGGCAGGCAGGCAGGCAGGTGAGCGATTAGGAGCCAGCCGTACAGGACTGTGAAAGGATGTCCGACTGCCAGTTGTCCCCCTGAGGCTGGCCAGAGGGGAACCCCTCTCCCAAATTCGTGCACCGGGCCTCTAGTCTCCCATAATAAACACCGCAAAACAGACGTGGCAAGTTCATTCCTTCCACCACAAAGTCTCCCTACAACTCCAGCGCTAACCTCAGCAGCCTCCTCCCCGTCTGACCACTCAGCCCAGTGCGGCCAGGGGCTCTGGCTGCAGGCCCAGGGCCTGTGTTGAGACGAATGAACCAAAGGAAGCACAACCTTTATCTCCCTCTTTAAGTACATCTTATCAACTTCAGAGAGAGGAAGAGAGACATAGCTAGAAACATCAATGATGAGAAGTGGCTGCCTTCAGCGTGCTCCCTACTGGGGATGGAGCTCACAGGCCAGGCAAGTGCCCGATGGCATCGAACCGAAACCTCCTGACTCACAGATCCAGGCTCAACCATGAGCCACTGGCTTGAGCGCAACCTTTCAACAGCCAAGTCCCTAAGGACGTCCGTCAGCTTTAGGAAACCAGGAAACCCACTAGCAGCAGGGAGGCCCAGCGCTGTCCTCCGCACCATGGGGCCTGAACACACTCAGCAGCGCGGTGAGGACCCTGGGGCACAGGCCCCCTTCTGGTCTAAAGTCCTCACACCCTGGCCCCAGCCAGCTTGGCTCAGTGGACAGAGCATAGGTCTGCAGACCAAAGGGTCCCAGGTTCGAGTCCCATAAGGGCACGTACCCCGGCTGCATGCAGGAGGCAACCAATCAAAGTGCTTCTCTCACACGGTCGGTTACTTCTGTCTCTCCCTCTCTCTAAAATCAACGGAAAATATCCTCGGGTGAGGATCAATAACAAGAACCTCACACCCTGGATTCTGCTTCAGAAACAGTGTCACTGACTAACGGCAGGCACTGGGGCAGGTGCTGGACTCACTTTTTCTCCCTCAGCTGTCGCAGGCGGTGGAAGACGTTCATGACATCCCGGATCCGTCTGGGCGCCTCCTCTATCTTGGAGGCCAGGTGCACACAGGCCATGGACACGTGCTGCAACGTAAGCATTGCAACACGCAGGGGTTTGCTCCGGCGCCAGGCCTCCCGCAGCTTCCGGGCGGCGGGGAGCCACGAGCGGGGGCGCCCGGAGGAACAGGCCCCCTGGGCGGGGACCCGGGGCTCCCAACACCCCGTCCTGCGAAGCCACCGGCAGAGCCGGCCCTGGCTCCCCCGGCACAGGCCAGCGGGGAGCGGCGGAACCCCTTACCTCCATGGAATGCTTCACAAAGGACTTGGTGTAGAAGAACCGCTGGAACAACACCTGCCCCGTCGCCATGGCCACCTGCGAGACAAAGGTGCCGCGTTTTCAGGGCGCCCAACAGCAGCCGCAGGGCCGCCGGCCCGGGAAAAACACACGTTTGTTCAACACGACCACGGAGTCCGCGCCCGCTCCGCCGGCGGCGATCCGGCGGCGGGGAGCGCCGGGCCCGGGCCGGGCGGGGCGGCGACAGGACGGGTCGGGGTCAGCACGGGCCCGGCCCCGCCGCCAACAAAGGGCCGGCCGCGCCCCGCGCCGGCGCGGCGGTTACCTCGGGCCGGGCTCGCGGCGGCCCTCACCTGCGGCAGGCGGAGCAGGATGCCGGCCGCCTGGATGAGCTCGCAGCCCACCACGCGGAGGTCCGTCTCCGTGTCGGTGTCGAGCCCACTCGACATGGATGGCGTGAAGCGGAGCTTGTCGTCGGGCAGGAGGCAGTTCTCCAAGGTGATGAGCACCCCGGAGTACAGTCGGTCCCCGATCAGCACGCCCTGCGACCCGGGGGCTGTGCCCCCCGGGCCCGGGGTCCCCGCCGCTGCCGCCGCAGGGGCCGCTGGGCCCTGAGCCCCGGCCACGGCCGTCGCAGCCGCTGCCGCCGCCGCCGCCATTTTGTGCCGCCGACTCTTCTTCGGGCTTCTGCCCGGCAGGGCGGCTCCTCGAGACGTTTACGTCCGGGACCATCCAGCCCTGCCGCGTGTCATTGGTTGGACCTGCGGGCGGCCCGGCGGCCCTTTGCCACTATTGGCTAGGAGACCTGCCCGTCAGCGCCGCGCACGATGCCGGAACCCGGCGCGGGCGGGGGGGGAGGGGCTGCTCCTTACCCAGGGGGCCCCGCGGAGCCCGGAAGAGGCTGTGGTCTGGGACTTAACCCGGAAGCACTCGCTGCGGGTGTCGCCCCGGGGCGCCCCGGCGGAGCTGCGTCTTCCTCACTAATTCGCGAGTTCGCGAGCCCCGCACTGCAGCCCGAAGGCTTCTTGGGGGTCCGATTGTTCTCGAAGGGGTTTGCGGGCACCCGGAAGGCACTGGGTGAGGGCCCGCACCGGGGGCGGTGTCACTCGGCGGGACGACACCAGGGCAGGCGCCGGGGATCGTGGCTGCTTTTCCGCTGTGGGGTGCGCCCCGAGCCTGGGGGGACCCTCGGAGGCTCCGGGAGGTGTTTGAGGGTGTCAGCGTTGGGGTCAGAATGGTGAACCTAGGCCGCGTGTGGGAGGGGCTCTCACACCCCTGTAGCCGGGAGAGCCCCGCGGGGACGGGACGGCTCTGGAGTGAGCACCCAGCCCCGCGGTGGTGACGGACCCCTGCCCTTAACTTCCTCTTCCGCTCTCGGCTGTTCTGCACTCTTTTCCCTCCGGACGGAAACCTCCACTTGGCTGGCCTGGACCACACATTTCGGATTGCAATCTCCCATTCCCCACCGCACACACCCTCTCCCCCAATAAATCCTTTTTGGTGAACGAACACCTGGCCGACTTTTCACTTACGTCCGGCCTGTTTGGGGCTCACCTGGGATCCAGAGACCCCTGGTCCCCATAGCTCCAGGTCTGGGGAGCAAACAGGTGCGGCGCCCACAGATCCAGCTGAGCTCGTTTTCCTCCTCGGCTCGGGAGCTCCAGGGTAAGTTCTCCTGGGTCCGACCTTCTGCTTTTGTGTTCTGAAGTTTTCTGCATTTTGTTCTCAGAGGGCTCTCTTTTTGTTTGCTTGAATACGTGGCGGCTGGCACTGTCATCCCTCTCCAGTTCTCGGTGAATCCAGGGTTGGGGGGTATAAATAATACTACCAGATCACCAGAGTTCTTGCCCTCAGAATGGAGCCAAAGACAAAACAGAGCAGAATTGACGTCACGGGGAAGAGGGGTAGCCGGAAACAGAATTCCATGTTTCGCCAAAGTCCATGACACCCCAAGGAAAGGCAGGGGTTCCCGAGGCACCGTGGGTGGGGCCAGGCTGGGATGTCCAGGAGCTGTGGTCAAGGCCTTGGGCTTCATCTCACCAACAGAGGAAGTTCCTGAGGTGCCGATACCTGTATGAACTGACTACTGACCACCGGACGCTCTGGGTTAGTGACCGCCAGCCCCTGGTGGTATTTGTCACCTGACAGCGTGCTGCTCTCGTAGCTGAACCAGAGGAACAGACGCAGTGTCACTGATCTGTAGCTAGTTTTCCCAAACTCTCACCAGAGTAATATCTTGTCTGGAACCATCGGCCAACAGCTTACGGCTCTATCCAGTCAGGGTCAGGCCCAGGAAGGGAAATGGGTCTAGTGTTGCTGCTAGCCCATAACCAGCATTGACTGCTTGCTGGTGACTCCTGCATTTCCCCCACCATCTCTCCCCCACCACCACCACTTTTATTTTTTATTTTTTTAAATCCTCACCCAAGAAGTGAGGACACATTTTCCATGGACTTTTAGAGCATGGAAGGAAGAGAGAAAAAACAATGGGTTGGTGTGTGTGTCCCCGCTGCCCCACATCGCTGGCTGAGAAAGGCGGCTCCAACACAGCAGGACGTGGCGCTCGCACCACACTGAAGGGCTCCTGTTTCTCCACCTGTTGCCCAGGAGCCATTTACTGATGAGCCTGTGCACTGAGCACCTCGTACAGTCCAGCCCCAGACAAGGTGCAACGAGGGAAGGAGACTCCTCCCCAAGCCTCGAAACGCTTCCGGTCTAGTAGCCATCACCGATCACGGTGACAAGGGCCAGGAGGCGTTTCTTGGGCCAGTGCAGTGACTGGAGCCGGAGGGATGTTGGCCTGCAGTGAGGATGGAGAAAGGTGGGCAGGTCACCAGGCAATACGCCTCACCCTGGCAGCCGCTCCCATCACGTGAGGCAGAGCACAGAGGTGTCTGCTTGACGCAGAGAACACAAGCGGAAACGCTGACCAGCACACAAGCTTTATTAACACAATGGACAAGCAGTCGCTGGTCTTTCCCGAGGAGGACAGACAGGCCTTTTCTCTCACACGGTTACTGAAATAACAGTAACACAATTGTGAATCATACTTAACCCATTCTTGGTAAAGGATTCTTGTTTTAATTACGATCACAGGAAACGCCTCTTCCTACGAAACCAGCTGCAGAGGGCCGATGTGTCAGTGTCCCGTCAGTGGTACTGCACCACTCTGGAAAATATGCCTTCCGGCTCCTTCCCGTCCCCCAAGGCAGCGGCAAATCCTTCCTCTCGCCTCCTTTTGGCCAAAGCAGCCAAGGATTTAAAAGTCTTTGGTTCATAGATGGCCAGGTCAGCCAGCACCTTCCTGTTGAGCTCCACCTGGCACTGGGAGAGAAGCAGAGCCCGTTCAGCATCAGAAACGCGTTTCTCTGAAGCAGAAGAAAAGGCACCGAGCTCCTAGTCCCAGCGCATAAGCTGGATCCACTCCTAGGAGCATGTCCTGCACGCTGCAGGGCAGGCTCTGCCCTCAGAGGGGAGGGGGGGGAGAGGTGAATCCCATCCAAGCAGGACACTGGAGGAGGAATGTGGACAGGAAGGGAGCGCTCCCCTGCAGGAGGTAGCAGAGAAGAGGCTGGCATCCAGTCCTGATGCCAGAAAACCAAGGATCCTGCTTAGGGTCAGCGGTCATCACCCAGACAGACGCAACTGTGGGCCTGGGGCAAGTTCAGAAGAGGAAGTGACAACTCCCATTTGCAAACGACGACGAAGGGGAAGCAGGGACCCAAGCTGGGCATTCCCAATTCCCACAGACAGCCAAACCAAGTCGTCGGTAACGTAAATCTGCAGGTGACTTCGGAAATGGAGGCCTGGCCGATGCGGCTCAATTGGCGGGGCACTGTCCTGTGCCGTGCACCGAAAGTCTGCCAGCTGAGTCCTCGGCCCATCACAGCCCTACGTGGTGGGCCTGATCCCCGGCAGGGGCAGGCAGAAGGCTGACAATCAGTGTTCCACTTTCAGGTTTATGTTTCTCCCTCTCCCTTCTCTCTCTCTCAAATCAATAAGCCTGAGAAGGGGAAGGGGGGCGGGAGGAGGCTCAGTTGGTTGAGTGTGTTCCCATGCACCAAAAGGGAATGTGCCTGGGTGGTAGGTTCAATGCTCAGAAAGCTGCCAACCAGTGATCCTCATCACTGATGTTTCTCTCCCTCTCCCTCTCCCTTTCTCTCCAAAATCAATAAAGATATTTTTTAAGTGGAAAAAATACCCTCAGGTGAGGATTACTAAAGTAATAAAAAGCTTAAAAAAAAAAAAAATACCAAGGACAGAAACTGGTACAAGATAGAAGCACAACACCAACCCCTCAGGAAATAGCATAAACACCAAACAGAACACTTACAAATATTTTGTGACACACCTTTACCCCCTTCAAGACATTTTCCTCCTTTAGGGTTGCACTAGAGGTCTGCGGGATCAGGCCGAAACCGGCTCTCCCATATCCCCAGAGGGGCCCTGAATTGTGAGGCCGCAGGCCAGGCCAAGGTACCCCGCCAGTATATGATTGGGGCCAAGGAGGGACAGGGGAGGTTAGCCAGCAAGGGCACGTCCGGTAGGGTCTGGCTCAGTCCCCATAGGCTGGATCCTAGCAGCAAGTTAACCTACGGGTTGGAGCGTCTGCCCCTGGTGGTCAGTGCACCTCACAGCAAGCAGCTGAGCAGCCTTAGCACATCTTTAGCATATCACGCTTTGATTGGTTGAAGGGACGACTGGACAACTGGACACTTAGCATATTAAGCTTTTATTATGAGTTTCAACTCTCATTGCTGCCTCATCAGACCAAAAAACAGTGAAATTAAACTTAAAAGTTAAAGCCAAGTTTTTCTGCCTTTTTCCCTTGATGGGGAAATGCGTATTTGTGTCTTGTCCATTTCCAATTCTACCACCAGCAGGACAAGCACAAAGCTAATGTGGGGGGTCCCTGAACTGACAGAACTCCACGCGGATGACAAATCAGTGTTCAGGTGCATGGGGTCAAGAGGTTTGTTTTCCGCAGACATTCAACATCTCACCAGGACCCCATCCTCAATCATACCTTAACTAAATTGCCAGTGAATGCTTGGTAGCGCAGGCCGTGTTCCTGGGAAGCAGCTGTAATCCGATTAACCCAGAGCTGAAATTAAGAAAATATTGAGAAACTTAAGAGCTCATTGTAGCCTTAGTCAGCGTGGCTCAGTGGATAAAGCGTCGGCTTACGGACTGAAGGGTCCTGGGTTTGGTTCCAGTGAAGGGCACATACCTAGGTCACAGATGTTTGTCTCCCTGCCCACCCCTCTAAAATTCAATGGAAAAATATCCGAGGGTGAGGATTAACAACAAGAAAAACGTAACTCGTACGTTATGTCCACACCTCCCAGCAGAGGCTCTGAGCGAGCTGCTGCTGCTGTACAGTGCATGTGAGTCCGTGTCCCTGCTCAGGCGAACAGGCTTCCACACCAACAGCAGGAGGCCCAGGCTGGTGCTCGCCCCCCAGGCCAGCTCCTCTCAGCACGCAGGGAAGTGGGTGCAGTGAGGTGGAATTCAACCCCCTTTAGGCACCGAGAACACAGCTGAAGGGGACTTGCAGACCCGGCTCAGAGTTTGGGAAGGATCGCGTGTGGAGTCACGCAGGAGCCACGGAGGTGTGGCTCCCTAAGGGAGCAGGGGGAGGGGAGGGCAGGGCTGCAGGGAGCGAGGACCTGGCTGGCAAGGAGCTGCAGGGTGTCCCGGAGCAGGCACCTGGAGGCTAGGGGGAAGGGACCAGCCAGTGACGCAAAGGCTTCTGAATGGAACTGATCTGTTAAACAGGGGAGGCTCTCTCAGGCCACTCCTGACTCAGTGCTGAGGCTCAAGTCCTCTTTCTTCCCAACCATCAGTGGTCCTCAAGCTGGGCTGTGCATCAGAATTACCCACGGGCGTGTCAAAACGGATTGCTGCCCCACCTCCGAGGCTTCTGCTGCAGGTGCACGGGGAGCCCGAGACTCTACACTTCACCCAGTCCCCACCGGCCGCTGTGCTGCCCCAGGACCCGTCCGGGAACCCTGCTGCTCGGGGGTAGCAGACGGAGGGTGCTGCCAGGCCCTGCTCTCAGCTCTTCACAGCACATTCCAACCAGTGGGTGCACAGCTGGGTCTCCCCCAGGGGCCGGGGGCCAGCACCTCCTCTATCCCCTGCTCACAAGACCCAGAGGGGAAACAACAGAACTGGGTGCACAGACGCCTCTGCAGACTCACAGGCAGGGACAGTTCACTGTGTGGGGACCAAACCGACGGTTCCTGAAGTGGGTCTGACATTGAAAGGACAGGCCTGGCAGGCGTGGCTCAATGGTTGGAACCAGGAGGTCATGGCTGGATTGTGAGTTGCAGGAGGCAGCCCATCAATGGTTCTCTCTCCCTCTCCCTTCCTTTCTGAAGTCAATAAAAATATATGTAAATACTTTTTTAAAGAGTCAGAATTGCTGAAACCGGTTTGGCTCAGTGGATAGCGCGTCGGCCTGCGGACTGAACGGTCCCAGGTTCAATACCAATCAAGGGCATGTACCTTGGTTGTGAGCACATCCCCAGCGGGGGGTGTGCAAGAGGCAGCTGATCGATGATTCTTTCTCATCAATGTTTCCAACTCTCTATCCCTCTCTCCTCCTCTCTGTAAAAAATCAAAATATGTTTTAAAAAAAATTTTTTTAATTACACCCCACCCCTCTATCCATTCAGCCCATATTTACAGAGTGTTACTGACCTGGACCCTGGGTCACACAGCATTCAACAGCAGTAAGATTCCCCTGAGAAACCTACGTTCCAGTGGGGGCAGGGGGCGAGCAAAGAGCAACCAACCAAGTAAAACACATGGTGCGTTCACGAGGGCGCTGAGCGGCGCCGGCCTGAGAAGGTGGCACTTTGTGGAAACCCAAGTGCAAGTGCAAACTGCTTGGGAGGGAGCCGGAGGGAGCAGGTGAGAGGGCGGGGCGGTCGGGGACCAGACCACAGTGACCGCGGCTGGGCTCTGCCTTTCCTCACGAGCGGGAGGGACGGGAAGCCCCCGGGGCTTCAGGTGGAGGAGAGCTGAGAAGCGGACACCCGGGGCTGGTTGGGCGGAGAAGGACGGACGGTGCCGCAGGCGGGGGTTGGCGGTGCGGGCACGGGACCCTGGCCCCCGGTTCCTGCGGGATTTGGAGTGAAGGGCATGAGAACGAGAGAGACAAAGGCCTGGAGAACGGTGCTGAGGCTTCCGCCTCGGCGGCAGGGGGACGGGGTCTGCCGCAGCCGCCGCGGGTCCCGCGGGAGGGGAGGGGAGGGGAGGAGAGGGCGGGGCCAGGCCCCTCGGCCGGGGGCTGACGCCGGGCCCCCGGGGTCCAAGCTCACCTTCCGCAGGATCCTCTTCCTCAGTCTCCGGGCCTTCGTGCACTTCACAAACGCCCTGATCACAGCGCGGACGGCCAGCCGGTAGCAGCGGTTCGACCTCCCCCGGAAGTGCTGGGTCAAAAAGAACGGGAGAGGCTGGTCGGCGGCGGGGTCCGCGGGCTCCCGGGCGCGCCGGGGCGCGGGACGGGCGCGGCCGACTCACCCGCGCGTGCTTCAGCACCTCCTGCACCCGCCAGTAGCGGTCGGTGACGCGGGCCCGCAGCCAGAGCTGCGTCGTGAGGAAGACCATGTTCCCCGACCCGCGTCCCCGCTGAACAACGCCCGCGCCGCGCCGCGCCGGCCGAGGGCTTCCGGGTCAGCGTCCCGCCAGGTACTTCCGGGGCACCGCGCATGCTCCCCGGCCCTACCGCTGGCTCGCTTTTGTGCGCATGCTCGGGCGCGGCGGGCTCGGTGCGCGCGCAGCCTCCCGGTCTCCCCGCCCTCCCGCCCCCCGCGTCCGGGTGTGGGCGTGGACGCCGGCGGCGGGGCGGGGCGGGGGCGGTGGAGAAGCCAATGCCACCCCCCCCCACTCGTGGGCCTTCCGTGTGCCCCGCGGAGGGCGAAGGGCCGCTGCGGGAGCCTGGGCCTCAGGCGGGGCCAGCAGGGCACCAAGGCCGCGTGTCGTTTGGTTCCCGTGAATACCCGGAACCGGCGGGTCCACGGACTCCGAGCCCACCGGGACCGGGACGGGGACCAGGACCGGGGCGGGGAGGGGGGCGAGGAGTGGCCGCCCGGGGACAGGGTGTCCTTTCGCGCGATGACGTGTTCTGCCCCAGGGTAGCGGGGGCGGTTGCATAAGCTGTGAAAGTCCTAAACGCATCGGACCCTTTAAAAATGGTTCAACTTGCCGAGACCGGTTTGGCTCAATGGATAGAGAGTTGGCCTGCGGACTGAAAGGTCCCGGGTTTGATTCCGGTCAAGGGCATGGACCTTGGTTGTGGGCACATCCCCAGTAGGGGGTGTGCAAGAGGCAGCTGATCGATGACTCTCTCTCATGGATGTTTCTATCTCCCTCCTCTCTGGGAGTCAGTGGGGCAGTCCCAGGCCACTGTCCGAGTCTATTCCAGGGACTCTTGACGGTCCTCCCCTCCACCCAGGCAGGTCTCAGCTCCGAAGGGGGGGTCCTGGCACACCCCCAAGGCCGTGGGAGCCAGGAGCCGCCCGTCCTGCGCTGTGCGGCTCAGCCTCTCCCATCCCCCGAGCTGTGTGCCCCTGGCAGTCATTCTTGTGGTGTTTTGTTTTTTTTAATTAATCTACTTTTATTGATTTCAGAGAGGAAAGGAGAGGGAGGCGGATAGAAATATCAGTGATGAGAGAGAATCATGGATTGGCTGCCTCCTGCACACCCCACACTGGGAATGGAGCCCCCAACCCGGGCATGTGCCCTGACCAGGAATCGAACCATGTCCTCCTGGTTCATAGGTCGATGCTAACCCATTGAGCCACACCAGCCGGCCCCTAGCAATCATTCTGCGCTCTGCAAAGGGGAGGTTTTGCCCGGGACAGGCCCTCCTCGGCCACCGCGTCCTCGGGGCTGGGCTGGACCCCTCGGCTCAGCAGAAGCTCGGCGGTGGGGCCATGGCCACGCTCCACAGCGAGGTGCAGGGGTGTGGAGCGGGGCCAGCCCGTGGCATTGGCCTGCGCGCCCCTGTCCAGAGGTGGCTGGCGACGTCCACGTGGCCGCTCTGAGCAGCGTGGTGCGGGGATGAGGCCCAGTGCGTCCCCAGCATCCACCTCGCTCCCCGGGCGGCCGGCAGCCGGCAGCAGACAGGTGTCTGCCCACGGCGGCCCTGTGGAGGGCAGAGCGCCCGGCCTGTCCCTGAGGCTGGGGTCTGCCCCCTGGTCAAGCAGAGTCTCCACGTCCTGGAGGAGGAGGGGAGGAGAGGACAGGGGCCGCCCCGGCATCTGCCTGATGCCCCTGGCCTGGGTCTCCTAAGGGCCACACCGGCCAGGGCAATAAAAAAGTATTCAGAATAAAGTTGGAGCACCCGGCCAGGGTCCTCCCCAGGCGTCCCTGAGGTGGCTACAACCGGAAGCAAACTCCAGGCTGCACTCGGACCCCAGACCCTCCTGGACCCTCCCGGCAGCCTGAGCCCCGAAGCCCCGACAACCTCCTCCTCCTCCCGCCCGGCGTCCCCTCGGCCCGCGCCCTCCCCGCCCCGCCCCCCGGGGGGCGAGGCCCCCAGGTACCTGCCGGCGGCCCGCACCCGCCGCGATGCTCAGCGCCCGCCCCCCGCGCCCCGGGCGTCCGCGCGCCGCGCCAGCAGCTCCGGCCCCGGCCGCAGCCCCGGGTGCCCGCCGCCTTCGCCCCCGGGCGCCCGCCGCCTCCGCCCCCGGAGCCCGCCGCCTCCGCCCCCGGAGCCCGCCGCCTCCGCCCCGGGTGCCCGCCGCCTCCGCCCCCGGGTGCCCGCCGCCTCCGCCCTGGCCCGCGCCCCGCGCCGCAGCCGGAGCCGCAGCCGGAGGCGCACGGCCAGAGGCAGCAGGTCCTCCCCGCGCGGGCCCTGCGGGCGCGGGCGAGGCTGGGGCGGCCTCCGGGGAGCAAGACCGGGTCCTGCCCCGCCCGGTGAGGGCCCCTGCCGCCCACCCAGCCCAGCGCAGGGACCTGCTCTTCATCCTGAGGGAAGACCCCTCCACACACACCTCCGGGCCTGATGCCGCACCCTCCCCGCGCCTCCCCGGGATGGGGAACTCACCTCTCCTCCACGCTGGTCCCCTGTGACCCGTCCACGCAGCCTGCAAAGGCGCCCCGGGCCTGGGGGACACCAGGCCCCTCCGCCCCGGCCCAGGCCTCCTCCCAGCTCAGCTCCATACACCTGAGCCCAGCTCCATCCACTGAGCTCAGCTCCATCCACTTGAGCCCAGCTCCATCCCTTGATTCCAGCTCCATCCACTTGATCCCAGCTCCAGCCCCTGGTCTCAGCTCCATCCACCTGAGCCCAGCTCCATCCACTGATCCCAGCTCCATCCCCTGATCTCAGCTCCATCCACCTGAGCCCAGCTCCATCCACTGATCCCAGCTCCATCCACTGATCCCAGCTCCATCCACTGATCCCAGCTCCATCCCCTGATCTCAGCTCCATCCACCTGAGCCCAGCCCCATCCCCTGATCCCAGCTCCATCCCCTGATCCCAGCTCCACCCCCTGAGCCCAGCTCCATCTACTGATCTCAGCTCCATCCCCTGATCTCAGCTCCATCCACCTGAGCCCAGCTCCATCCCCTGGTCCCAGCTCCATCCACCTGATCTCAGCTCCATCACCTGAGCCCAGCTCCATTCACCTGAGCTCCTGCCTGACTGCTGCCTCGGGGAGGCCCTGCTGCCCCAGCTGTGGGGGCCCAGGACTCACTGGGAGAAAAGGATCCTGTGTGGACACCGGAGGCCAGGCCAGGCCCCCCCTGTCCCAGGCCAGCATGTCCCAGGCCAGTTATATCCCCTCCCCCCAACCAGGCCACCAGCTGGGTTCAGCTCTCAGTTACCCTGGAGGGAGCCTGCCCGGGGACTGGGGGCTCCTCTCCATGTGGTCCTGGCCCAGCCACGGCCTGTGAAGGTGGGGTGTGGGCTCCGGAGGGCTGGAGGCTGGAGCTGCAGTTGCCTGTGTGTGTGGTGTGGGGGGTGGGGGTAGGGGGTGGGGTGTGAGTGGGTGCCTCCTGGGCCAGGTGAAGGGCCGCTCTCCACACTGTTTACACAGAAACTTAAGGAGAGGCCCTGCCTAGCAGCCCCAGCCTCCCTACCCCCCAGTCCCCTCCTCCCTGCCAACAGCCTGTGCCCCCCCTCCCCAACCCAGACAAAGACCAGGCAAGCAGGAGCACGCCCCTGGACTGAGCTCCTCCAAGGAGCAGCCTCCTATGTGCCAGGACTTGCCCACCCCACAGGCACCCACATGCCTTCCCTGGCCCCTCCCTCAGGCCCTGCCCCTCACCCCCCTCCTGGGATGCCGACTGAGACCACCTACCTGGGGCTGGAGCTTTGCCTCCTGCCTCATTCCAGGAGGTGGACAGGACAGTGGGACCCTTCCCTCCCATGCCAGGCAACCTGGGTGAGGGCATCGGGTAGGGATGGCCTTGAGATGGCAGGTCAGTGGAGGCCGTGACGGCAGACCGCTGGGCAGGAGAGGGAGGAGCCAGGCTATGGTACCATGTTTAAAATATATTTTTATTGCTTTCGGAGAGGGAGAGGGAGAGAGAGAGAGAAACATCAGTGATGAGAGAGAATCACGGATCGTCTGCCCCCTGCACGCCCCCCTCAGGGGACTGAGCCCTGAACCTGGGCATGTGCTCTGACCAGGAATCGAACCCTGACCTCCTGGTTCAGAGACGACACTCAACCACTGAGCCACGCCCGCCGGGCCTGGGAGCATTTCTATGATGAGACTAGAAGCATCTGGAACTGGTGCTGCAGGAAGGGACCTGAGGGAGGCCTGCAGGACGGGTCACTTTGATTCTAGGGCAGAGTGGGCCCAGGGGGGGGAGGGGGGCTGGCCCTGCCTTCCCATCTCCTCATCCCCAGGGAAGGCCACCTGTCAGGGGTCCAGCAGGAGGAAGAAGTGCGCCAGCTGCCTCTCAGACTGTCCACCAGGAGGCAGCACAGCTTTGGGGCTGTTGCTCCCACCCCAGCCCCCACCTTCAGGCTCCCAAGGATGGGGTGTCGTGTGGGCCCTGTCCTGCTCCCTCCCACCCCCAAGAGGAGCAACAGAGCCTTGCCCCTCCACCACCTCCCTCAAGAGCAGCCCTTGCAGGTACCAGGTCCCAAGGGTGGGTCTCCAGGCAGGAGGCTGAGGGGCCCAGTCTCCAGCCACAGGGACCCCACCCCATGGCCCCTCTGCTCCGATGTCTGCTCCCCAGAGGGGCCCTTCCGCCTGACCACAGACCTGACCCTGTTTTATTTTCTTCCTAACACTTATCACTCTGTGAAAGAATCTGTTTGGTTTTTAAGTCTGCCTTCCTCTCCCAGGACCAAAGCCCAGCTGGCAGGTTCAGGCCGAAACGCAGCCAGCACTCAGGGTGGGTTCAGACACTTCGCTGCTTGAGTCGCCAGAAAAAGCAAGAGCATGCCAAAACCGGTGTGGCTCAGTGGATGGAGCGACAGCCTGTGGACTGAAAGGTCCCAGGTTCGATTCCGGTCAAGGACATGTACCTTGGTTGCAGGCATATTCCAAGTAGGGGGTGTGCAGGAGGCAGCTGATCGATGCTTCTCTCTCATTGATGTTTCTAACTCTCTATGCCTCTCCCTTCCTCTCTGTAAAAATCAATAAAATATATTTAAAGAAAGAAAAAGCAAGGGCAGCAAGGGCGTCAGCTCTCTGCGTCCCTGTCCCACAGGGTCACACCGAAAAGAACGGGCCAGCTCGGTGGTTGAGTGTCGACCTATGAACCAGGAGTTCCCGGTTCAATTCCCGGTCAGGACACAGGCCCGGGTTGAAAACTCAATCCCCAGTGTGGGGCGTGCAGGAGGCAGCGGATCCATGAATCTGTCTCATCATTGACATTTCTGTCTCTTTCTCCCTCTCCCTTCTTCTCTGAAATCCATTTTTTTTAAAAAAAGTATTTTTAAAAAAAGAACAGGCCAGGTTGTGGGCCACACCAGGGGGAGGGGCGGAGAGAGCGCTCCTTGCTGTTGGGGATCCACTCCTCGCTGCTGGGGCCCAGGAGGCCGCCCGTACCCGGTCAGAGCCAGGGGAGCCTGGGAATGTCGCCTGGCAGCCTTCCCACGTTCCACCACAGCCTCTGTGGGTTCAGGCAAGGCCGTCAGGGCAGGCTCACGCAGCCCTTCCCTCTGTCGGCCTCAATCACGGCCAAGTCCGGAGCCTAGAGCGGCGCCTGGCGCCCCTGTTTGTACGTGACTCACCTGTGGAGGGGGTGGGGCCAGAGATGAGACAGGCACCCTCGCCGCCCTCTGTACGCTAGCCAAACCATTTGCAGCATTTAAAACAAAATCCAAGCCCGAGCCCTGACCGGTGTGGCTCAGCGGATAGAGCGTCGCCCTGCAGACTGAGGGGTCCCAGGTTCGATTCCGGTCAAGGGCACAGACCTTGGTTGCGGGCCCATCCTCAGTAGGGGGTGTGCAGGAGGCAGCTGGTCCATGTTTCTCTCTCAGCAGTGTTTCTAACTCTGTATCCCTTTCCCTTCCTCCCTATAAGAAATCAATAAAAATATATATATTAAAAAAAATCCTCACCCGTGATATTTTTCCCATCGATTTGTAGAGAGAGTGGAAGCAAAAGGGAAGGACAGAGAAAAATGTTCCTGTGAGAGAAACACCTCGATGGGTTGTCTCCTACACATGCTCAGATGAGGGCCTGGGTCGGGGAGGAGCCTGCAACCAAGGTGTGTGCCCTCGACGGGAATTGAACCTGGGCACCTGGGCTGTTCGGTCTGTAGGCTGAGGGTCTATCCACTGAGCAACACCGGCCAGGGCCACACACATCACTGTCTGGTGAAATGAATAGTTCCTATAAGGCCCTGGTATTGCCCTGACCGGTTTGGCTCAGTGGATAGAGCATCGGCCTGCGGACTCAAGGGTCCCGGGTTCGATTCCGGTTGAGGGCACGTACCTTGGTTGCAGGCACATCCCCCGTAGGAGGTGTGCAGGAGGCAGCTGACGGATGTTTCTCTCTCATCGATGTTTCTAGCTCTCTATCCCTCTCCTTTTCCTCTCTATAAAAAGTCAATAAAATAGATTAAAAAAAAAAAAAAAAAAAAAAGACCCTGACGTGTGAGCTGTGCTTGTGCCTGGGGACAGGTGTGGCCTGAGCGTCCAGGGAGCTGCTGAGGTCCTGACGGGGCCTGTGTTCCTTAACGTGCCCCCCACACACACACTTCACGGTCACCTCCCCACTCTCAGGCGTCTGAAGGGAGACGTGGGCCCGGGAGGCCTGGCACAGGGACAGGGAAAGAGAAAAGCTGGCGGGGAGAGGCGGCTGCAGAGGCGGGAACCTGGGGTTTGGGCGTTGGTGGGGTGTCTTAGTGATGGTTGGGGGGCATTCAGGGTTTTTGGAAGGGCCTGGAATGCTTTTTCTCCCCTTGAAAGGATGGAATCCAGCTCTAGCCAGTGTGGCTCTGTGGATAGAGCATCTACAGACCCATGGGGCCCGGGTTCGATTCTGGACAAGGGCAGGTGCCTCGGTTGCAGGCTCCTCCCCAGCCTGGGGCCCTGGTCGCAGGGGTGTGTACAGGAGGCAAGCCATCAATGTGTCTCTCTCACATCGATATGTCTCTGTCTTCCCCTCTCTCTAAAACTCAATGGAAAACATCCTTGGGTGAGGATTAAACAAGATAAAGAAATGACGGGACCGGTGACTCCAGTCTCAGGAGGGATTGGGCTCCGGCACAAGGACCCTGGCGTGGTGGCTGCCGGCGTGGCGAGCCCGCGGGTGCCGGGCCCCACGTCCTCTCCCAGGTCGAGGGTGTGGGCACCCAGCCTCTCCCACGCTCCGAGGCTGAGCGGGGCCAGGTTTGGAACGGAGGGACCAGCAGGAACCAGGGTGGGGAAGCGGGGTCCAGGGAGCCCCCAGCTCCTGATGGGGCAGTGATCATAGCCTATGAGATGATGTCATTGTCGGGGGGGGGGCTGCGGGGGAGGGCGGGGCCAGGAGGGAGGAGGGCCCCAGTGCCAGGCCGTAGGGTCCGGCCCACAGGAGCTGGCCACAGAGGCTGGCCAGGGCCGGAGCTGCAGGCGCCGGGCAGACAGAGGCCTCGCCGCCTGGCCGTGGGGAAACTGAGGCAGGGGTGACGGATGGTCAGAGCCGGACCTTCCCGGCCCAGGGTCCTGCCCTCCAGTCGGGTCCAGTCTCTGGCTGCCAAGGTCTGAGAAGGGGTCGGACCCAGAGGTGACCCCAGGGGTCTCGGTCGCTGTCTGACCACGGCTGGGAGAGCATGAGCGAGCAGGAGAGGGAGACGGAGGAGGACGAGGGAGGGGGCCCGTCCGACACGGCGCCCTTGCTGCCCCGAAGGCGCCCAGACTGCAGGGCCGGACCCACAGCCCTGCTGCTGGCCGGCCGGCTGCTGACCGGCCTCCTGCTCCACCTGCTGCTGCCCGGGGCCGTGTTCCTGCTGGTGCTGACGCCAGCGGCCGCCGTGATCTACCTGGGATTCCTGTGCCACTCAAGGGTGAGCTGGGCTCCGGGGGCGGGCGGGGGGCACAGGCGGGGACTCCGGGGCATGGCATCCTGGGGAAGCTCAGGGCACGGGGCCTGAGGGTGTCTTCCCCCCTGTCCCCAGAGACGTGTGTCCCTCCCCCGAGGGCCTTCTCCTGCCGGCCCCTCCCCGTGGGCCACAGCAGAAGAAGGGCCTTTGTCCGCTCTCTGGGGATAGCTCTGCCCCCTCCCGGAGGCCCCTGCCTTGTACCAGGGGCCACCAGGGCCGGGCAGCTGGGCAGGGTGGGAGGGGGAGAGGCTCCAGGAAGAGGAGAGGATGTCAGATTTCAGCAGTCCACAGCCTTACCCCACCCCTCACCCCACACACAGCCCCTGGCACACCCTCCTGCCTGGGCTGGGCTCCCCGTGTGCAGAGGACTGCAGCCTGGTCCGGGCGGGGAGGGTGATGGCAGATGAGCCGCGGTGTCCCTTTCTGAGGGCTTAAGGCGAGGGAGGGACGTGGGGCCGCTAAAGAGCAGGTGACACAGCTGACACCCACAGATTCGGGTCCGGGCCAGATGCCAGCATGGAGGAGGGGAGGAGGGTGAAGGGGGAGCAGAGTGTGTGGCTGGGGCAACAGCGGGGAAGGTGGGGACTCGCTAAGCCTCCCCTGCAGAGATCCCTACTCTGGCCGTTCGCCGTGTGGACTCCGGAATGGGTCCCAGAGCCCCTTCCTTGGCGGAGAAATGGCAGACCCACAGCAGCCTCAGCACAGACCCCACTGGACCTCAGGCCCCACCCCGTCCACCTGCAGCCTGCCCCGCCCACCACACAGAACAAGCCCCAATCAGACCCCGCCCTCCATCCAGACCCCGCCTCCAATCGGCCCCGCCCACCACCCAGACCACGCCCCACCACCAGACTCTACCCAGCCCCTCCATCCAGACCCCGCCCCTACCCAGACCCCGCCCCAATCAGGCCCCACCACCACTCAGACCCCGCCCCCTCCCTGCTGTCTGGCCCCGCCCCGTCCAGACCCGCCTCTCCCTGCTGCCTGGCCCCGCCCACCACCCAGACCACGCCCACCTAGACCACGCCCCACCACCAGACCCTACCCCGCTCCTCCACCCAGGCCCCGCCCCTCCACCCAGACCCCGCCCCATCTACCCCGGCCCCGCCCCTCCACCCAGACCCCACTCCTCCATCCAGACCCCCGCCCCTCCCCTGCTACCTGGCTCCGCACCGCCCCTCTAGGCCCCGCCCTCTTGCCTCCCGCCCGCCCCAGCCCCACGTGACCTCCTGCCCCGCCCGCAGGTGCACCCGGCGCCCAGCCCCGCGTGCCGCGCGCTGCTCACGGACCGCGCCGCGGCGGCGCTCCTGGTGCTGGGCTTCCTGTCGCTGCCGCCGCTGCTGGCGCTCGCCTCGGCCGCCCGCGCCCGCCTGGCCCGGCGCCTCCGCCCGCTGCTGCCGCCCCCCGTGTGGGCCCGGGGACCCGGCCGCCCTCCAGCGTCCGGCGCCGGGGAGCGGGAGGAGCGCCGCCCCGAGGGCGAGGAGCAGCTGTGCGCCTGGGTGTGACCCAGAGGCGCTCCCGAGGACCGAGACTCCGGACCCGGGAGGCCCGAACCTCACATCCTCTGACCCCCGTCAGGGCGCCCCGGGCCGCGAGCTCGCGGTCTGCGCCCGGATCCCGCTGGGAAACCGCGTGCGGTGCTCCGAGCGGCCGCCAGGTGGCGCTCGACGCCCCGGGACTGGAGTCAGCAGGCCCGCCCCCCCTACACCCCCCCGCCCGCCAGCACCCCGGCACCCCCTCCGGCACCCCCGCGGCCAGCACCCTCTCCGGCTCCCCCGCCGCGGAGGCTGTGAAGCCCCCGGAGGCGGGACGGCTCTCAGAGGGGCCCGGGGCCGGCTCCGGGCTCGGAGAAAGGCGGCCTCCCTGCTTCTGCACTGCGGCTGCCTGGCCGGCCCTGTGCCCAGGGTCTGCTGGGCCGGGGCTCCCCGAGTGTCAGAGCTGAGACCCCCATCCTGCACCAGGAGCTCAGCCCAGGCTGCAACCTCAGCCTGAAACCGGGTTAGAGTCCACACTGAGGCCAGGCCAGGGCTCTGCCTGAGCCCAGGGTGAGGCTCTGCCAGTGCCCAGGGCTAGCTTTTACCATTATTATTTTAATTTATTTTACACCTCCTTTATTTGGGATGGTTTCTTTCATTTATGACCCTGACCTTTGGCCACGGCCCTTGATACAAATTAGGGTACACATTCTTTTCTTTTTTTAATATATTTTATTGATTTTTTACAGAGAGGAAGGGAGAGAGATAGAGAGCTAGAAGCGTCGATGAGAGAGAAACATCGACCAGCTGCCTCTTGCACACCCCCCACCGGGGATGTGTCCGCAACCAAGGCACATGCCCTTGACCGGAATCGAACCCGGGACCCTTCAGTCCGTAAGCTGACGCTCTACCACTGAGCCAAACCGGCTTCGGCGGGTACACATTCTTTTTCTTTTTTTTTTTGAAAAACTGAAATAGGAAAAGTGAGGCAGCGATGATGAGAGCAGACTGGCTGACGGAGGTTCCTGGCAATAAAGGCGTCCTTGGAGTTCTCACCTGCGATTCCCAGAGCCACCTTCATTCCTTCCTCCCCTGAAACCTTTCTGTTCCATTCCTTCTGGAACACCTCGCGGCACAGAGCACTCTGCCAGTGATGCCAGCGCGAGTGTGTGGACGGGCACCCAGGGAGGGCACAGTCCGTCCTCTCGGCATCGTTGTGAGATCTCCTGGGTCTGCGGCCTTCTGTTCTCTGCTTATTGCCCTGGCCGGTGTGGCTCAGTGGATAGAGCATCAGCCTGCGGACTGAAGGGTCCCAGGTTTGATTCCAGCCAAGGGCACATGCCTGGGTTTGGGCTCGGTCCCCAGTGGGGAGCGTGCAGGAGGCAGCTCATCGATGATTCTCTCTCATCATTGATGTCTCAATCGTCCTCTCTGAAATCAATAAAGAAATATATTTTAAAACATAAAATAAAATATATTTTTATTGATTTCAGAGAGGGAGAGAGAGAAACATCAATGATGAGAGAGACTCACTGACTGGCTGCCTCCTGCACGTCCCCCACTGGGGATCAAGCCCGCAGCCCAGACATGTGCCCTTGGATGGAATCAAACCTGGAACCCTTCAGTCCCCAGGCTGACGCTCTATCCACTGAGCCACACTGGCTAGGGCGGGCTTGCAGTCATTTTACAGCCTGCACCTAACCATGCTGTGTGCTGGCTGGTCTTGGGGCTCCAGCTTTGTCACATGTTGTTTCCGCTTCCCTCCACCGAGGCCTCCTGCTGGGAGGCAGGGCCGCTGGGCGGGTCAGGGTCCCGGCGGGTGGCCCCTGCCCAGTGTCGCACGGGCTCTCGGCCTGCAGGGTGGCTCTCGGACCCTGCGTCCAGAAAACCCGCCGCTTCCCCATCTGCGTTCCGGCATCTTCCTGGGCCTCTGCTCCCTCTCCTCCTGTTTATCCTCCCGCAGTGTCTAATTCTGGAGGGACCTCGGGGATATTTACTTCTCTGTAAGCCCAGCAGTGCGTTCCACATGTGCACTTGTTGTAATCCGTCCGCGTCTGGCGGTAGCCAAAAGGCCTTTAAAGGATGGAGCTGGCCGCACTGCCAGCTGGACTCCGCCCGCGGCCGGCAGGGGCAGGTCCCGGAAGCTTCCAGCAACGGGCTGGCGGTTCAGGCCCCGGCAGAGTCGGGGCTCGTCCCGTGGCCTTGAGCGGAGCCCGCGAGGCTGGCCCGGGCCAGCGGGAGTCCTCGGGGAGGGGGTCCAATTGTCTGTGCGCAGCTCTGATGCGGTCGCCCGTCAGACAGGAGCCTGGCCGGCCGCCCGGCTGCCAGGGAACTTCCCGTGGTCCAGGCCGCCTTCCTTCCCGCCTGCCGGGGCTGGGCCGGCCCTGGCTGGCGTCGGGAGGAGGACTCTCCTGAGGATAGGCCTGGCCCCGGAGTCACCAAACACAGCTGGGCGAGGGGGTGGAGAGCCCAGCTGCCTGAGCCCTGGGGTCCCTACGGAGGGTCCCCGTGTCCCAGGCCAGCCCCGAGCCCCAGGGACGTCCCGCCTCAGCCCCAGCTCTGCCCCACCCGCTCACCAAGACCCGGTGAGGGGCTGTGAGAGGTTCACAGAGGGGTCAGGGGTCTGCTTTTTTGTGCTTTAATATATTTTATTGATTTTTTACAGAGAGGAAGAGAGAGGGATAGAGAGTTAGAAACGAGAATCATCCATCAGCTGCCTCCTGCACACTCCCTTCTGGGGATGTGCCCACAACCAAGGTACATGCCCTTGACCAGACCCTCTTTCAGGGTCTCAGCCCCCCCTTTCCCCAGGCTGAGCCCCCAGCCTCTGCTTCCCCCCACCACCACCACCAAGAAAGCTACTTCAGCCCGGCCGGTGTGCACCAGTGGCTGAGCGTTGACCTATGAACCAGGAGATCGCAGTTTGATTCCTGGTCAGGGCACAGGCCCGGTTGTGGGCTTGGTCTGGAGGAGGGGGCCTTGGAGAGAGCAGCCGATCAAGGATTCTCTCTCATCGCTGATGTTTCCCTCTCCCTCTCTCTTCCCCTTTGAAATAAATAAAAACACATTTAAGAAAAAAGAGAAAAGCCCTTCATCTCAGCCTGGAATGGCCCGTTCATCCCCACCCAGTGCCCCTCCCCCCTTCCAGGGGCCCACACTCCACGGGAAGCAACTGCTCTGCTACTGGGTGGGGCAGGGGGAGGCCCCACTGGGACAGCACCAGCTCTTTCCCCTCCCAGGTGCCCAGGCCCGGGCCCTGGCTGTGGGAGCCTCCACACACCCGTGTGTGCACGCACATGTGCATTGTGAGTGTGTGTTCTGGCTTGTGTTTGTGCACGTGTGCAGTGTGTGTGTGCATGTGTGCACACATGTGTGCAGTGTGTGTGTGTGTGTGTGTGTGTGTGTGTGTGTGTGTGTGTGTTCTGGCTTCTGCCTGTGCACATCTATCCCACCCGCCTCCCCTCACCCCTGGGCTGGGGGACGGGAGCTGCTGTCTCACCTCACAAGCTGGAGGCTGTGCAGGGTTCCCTGACCTGCCCAAGGTCATGTATTCATGCACAAAGCATTTCCGGGGAGCTGAGGCGTCGGCCGGCACACCCTCAGCAGCCAAGGCGCGGCCAGGAGGGGTCAGGGACCTGGCCAGTTCCGTCCCTCCAGCCTGCACCCAGGCATGTGGGCCAGGCAGGGGTGCTGTGCAGGAAGTGGGGAGGGTAGAGTGGGGAGGGACACTGGCTCCTACCCTCAGGGTTCCTCCGGCTGCTCGAAGAATGAAACAGACATGAGACTGGGGAGCAATAGGAAATCCCCAAATTCTGGACAGATGTGTGCATGAGAAGCACGAGAGGACCAGAGACAGAAACGAACATGGCAGATAAGGCACCCTGAGCCCGGCCAGTTGGCTCCGTGGCTGAGCGTCGACCTATGAACCAGGAGGTCAGGGCACAAGCTCAGGTTGCGGGCGTGGTCCCCAGTGGGGGGCATGCAGGAGGCAGCAAATCCATGATTCTCTCTCATCATTGACGTTTTTATCTTTCCCTCTCGAAAATCAATAAAAACATATTTTTAAAAAACACACACACATCCCTGGCCGAAACCAGTTTGGCTCAGTGGATGGAGCGTCGGCCTGCGGACTGGAAGCTCCCGGGTTCGATTCCAGTTAGGGGCATGTACCTTGGTTGCAGGCACATCCCCCGTAGGGAGTGTGCAGGAGGCGACTGATTGATGATTCTGTGTCATTGATGTTTCTGACTATCCATCTCTCTTCCTCTCTGTAAAAAATCAATAAAATATATATTTAAAACACACACACACACACACACACACACACACACACACACACAGCCCTGGTTTGGCTCAGTGGAGACAGTGTCGGCCTGTGGACTGAAGGGTCCCGGGTTTGATTCCGACCAAGGGCCTGTACTTTGGTTGCGGGCACATCCCCAGTGGGGGGGTGTGCAGGAAGCAGCTGGTGGATGTTTCTCCCTCATCAATGTTTCTCTCTTTCTCTCCCCCTTCCTCTCTGTAAAAAAGCAATAAAATATATTAAAACAAAAAACAAACACACACACACACATCCTGAGAAGCCAGAGGCTGACCGAGTCTCACTGGGCTCGGCCCCTGTGTCAGTCCCCCAGGCAGTGAGGGGCGGGGCCAGGTTCCGCCTGCGCCTGAGGCTATGGGTGCCTTCAGCTCCAAACACCCTCCTGCCACGGAGGCCCATCGTGGGGTGAACTGTGTTGAACTGTCGCTGGGAGACATGGGGGGGGGGGGATTTGCGTGCCCCAGGGAGGGGCAGGAGGGGAGAGACAGGGGAAGGCAGGGATTCCTCTGTCCTAAGGACTGAGGGTGGGGATGGGAGGGGAGGTCCCGTGGCCCCGTACCTGGCCCCGCGTCCTTCCTCGGTTCCTGTCTGCAGCCGCCAGCCGCGTCCCCACCTGCCCACGGCCTGGCCCCGCATCGAGGACAGGTGACCGCAGATGGCAGCACCCACCCGTGCTCTGGCCGCCCGCCCCGCCGGGCAGCAGGGGGACTGAGCAGGGGTCAGTCTAGGGTAAGGTGACCAGATGTCCCGTTTCTGGCAGGAGAAGGCCTCTCGGGGTCTGCAGGACGTGGGACCAATTGTTAAAAATCGGTCACCTTAGTCTAGGGCCACAGGGTGCAGGCTGGGCTCCGGGGAGTGAGAGGCTGGGACTGCAGACCCCCGAGTGGCCCTCAGGCCCCGGCAGTCTCTGACGGCAGGCAGGCAGGCAGGCAGGCAGGCCTGTTGAGTCTAGAAGGATGTGTGGGAGGGGCCTGCTGCTCTCGGCGGTGGCTCCCGGGTCCCCGGGCCCACTCACGCTGTGGGGTGAGGTCAGGGGGCTTGGCTTACCCTGCACCCCGGATCCAGGCCGAGGGCAGCCGCCCTCCCTCTGCTGTTTCTGTCCCTGCCTCGTGTGCGTGGGTAGACCCAGCGACCACGATAAACAGCTGGAGGGGGGCATCCTACAGGGTGGGGGCAGAGCCCAGGCCCATCCGCCCAGCAGAGAGCCCTGGGCTGGGGTCAGGGGTGAGGTCAGAGGCCCCGGGAACTGCCCTTTTCCTTGGGATCAGCATGACCGCAGCACGCTGGGCACAAAAGGCCCTTCTTCTCCCCAGAGGCCTGGTCGTGCGGAGGAGAGAGACTCTCCGGCCGGGTGGGGGCAGGGCGGCGGAGCCTGCGGGCAGCGGCCCTGGGTTCCCGGAACCCCGTCCACCTGCCCTTGGGCAGACGGGGTGGGCCAGCTCTGGGAAGTGATGCCTGGGGGCCCCAGCCGGCCAAGGTCAGGACTGAGTAGGGCCGGGCCGGGGCAGGAGAGGCCTGCTGGTCTCGGAGCCTCTGATCTCCCCTGCCTGCCCCTCCTGCCCCGCCGCCCGCCGGCCTGCCTGGAGAGGAGCCTTCCGGGCCTTTCTATTTGTGCTTCCTCTGGCGTCTGCCCTAACCCTGACCAGGACACCCCTGGCTGACCCCTCGCTCCCTGAGGACTCCATCTGGCCGTCTCCCCAGGCGGGTGGGGGCTGCAGGACCCAGGGAGAGACGTGGGGCCTGGGAGGGAGCGGGCCCAGGAGGAGGCAGAGGGGTGTCGGGGGGTCAGGTGAGAACTCCATGAGAGCAGAGGTGACCCCACCCGGCTGAGGAGGCGCTCCGGGCCGGGGCTGGGCTGGGGGGCCGGGGCTGTGGGGCTGGGGGTCCGGGGCTGTGGGGCCGGGGCTGGGCTGGGGGTCCGGGGCTGTGGGGCCGGGGCTGGGCTGGGGGTCCGGGGCTGTGGGGCCGGGGCTGGGCTGGGGGTCCGGGGCTGTGGGGCCGGGGCTGGGCTGGGGGGCCGGGGCTGGGGGTCCGGGGCTGTGGGGCCGGGGCTGGGCTGGGGGTCCAGGGCTGTGGGGCCGGGGCTGGGCTGGGGGGCCGGGGCTGTGGGGCCGGGGCTGTGGGACTGGGGCTGGGGGACCGGGGCTGGGCTGGGGGTCCGGGGCTGGGGGTCCGGGGCTGGGGGGGTCAGGGCTGGGGGGGTCGGGGCTGGGCACTCCGGGCCGGGGCTGGGGGACCGGGGCTGGTGGGGCCGGAGCTGGGGGGCCGGGCCGGGGCTGGGGAGCCGGGCTGGGGGACTGGGGCTGGGGGGCCGGGGCTGGGGGGCCGGGCCGGGGCTGGGGAGCCGGGCTGGGGGACTGGGGCTGGGGGGCCGGGGCTGGGGGGCCGGGCTGGGGCTAGGGACCAGGGCTGGGGGGCCGGGGCTGGGGGGCCGGGCTGGGCGCTCCGGGTCGGGGCTGGGGGGCCGGGCTGGGCAGCGGCTCTGGCCGAGGGCACCTGAGCGGGGACTCCTGCCCCTTCTCTTCCGAGGCAGGGATGGAGGACGAGGGCAGCTGCTTCCGCGAGGGTTTGAGCCGCAGCCAAGAAGACCCGCTCAGTTTTTCCAGGAGGGACGGAAACTTCCCCGTCAGCCGCCCTGGCTGCACGGCAGGTCCACCCGCGGGCAGGCATGGGGGGCCGGTGGGGCAGCCGCTGCCGTGCCACAGGGAGCCCCCCACAGCCCAGCTCCGTCCCCAGCAGGTGGGGGTGCCCAGGGACAGGGAGGGAGAACGACAAGTGTCTGGATGTGCCTGCCTGCAGGGGGTGCCACCCCGGAGTGGGCCGGGCCTCCTGTGTGGCTGCTGCCTGGCCTGGCCTCGGCTCCGGTCCCCTCTCCACAGCCGCGGGGAGCCTCGGGGCTGGAGAGCCGGGGCCACGGGGGGCTCCCCCGGGCGGCCAGCACAGCGGGACTTGGGGACCCCGGCCCAGGGCTCCCCGCGGGCCCAGGCGGAAGCGCCCGCAGCCTCCGGTCCCGCCGAGGCCTGAGGTCCGTGGAGCCCGGCCAGGCGCCGCTGCCAAGACTGCGGGGAGGGGTGGGCGGGGGCGGCCGGGACACAGCTCTCATTCTGCTCCTGCCCTGGCGGCTCCTCGCTCGGCTCGGCTTGGGTCGGCTGGAGCGCTTCCTTTTTTAGGCAAAGCCGAGCTCAGCTGTCTGTGGCCGCCGGCTCACCTGCCAGAGGGGAGGAAGGAAACCACCGGGTCCCAGCGTCTTCCTCTTCCTCCTCTTCCTCGCAGAGCATCCCGCAGGGGTGGGATGGGAGGGGACATCCTGGCAGAGCTGCCCTGAGGGACCTGGGCCCCTGCCCCGCCGAGAGGAGCGGCCAGGAGGAGGGGGTGCCCCCCCAGGAAGGCAGCTGAGGAGTGAGGGTCCCGGCTCTCCTGCAGAGGAGAGGGGGCCACAGTGGACTGCTGGCGTCTGTCCTCGGCGCGGAGTGACCTCAGCCCAGGCCCTAGGCCCCCCATGGGGCAGGGGGCATGGGGCCAGCATCAGGCCACGCGGTCACCCTGGACGGGGCCTGGACAGCCACCCCAGCTGCCATACCTCTTCCCCCAAGAAGCGGGGTGAGGGGGCTTTTGTGCCCCCCACGAATCCCCAGGTGCTACGTCCAACGCCCTGTGTCTTTCCTAAGTCCAGCCCTTCCAGACCCTGGGGGTTGGTTCTTGGGGACACATGTCACCCCCAGACACCTCTCTCTCCCCCAGCCCTGTCACCCAGTGGGGGCCTTGTTGGGGGCACCCTCCTGGGTCCTTGGGGCCTGGCTCCAGGGACCCCCAGCACCGCGCAGACCTGGGCAGCGGGCCTGGGATGACCCAGCTTGGAGGGCCCCTGGCGGGGAGCAGGGACAGGGGGCAGGGCGGACCCAGGGTCTCCAGGCTGCCGGGTGTCTGCGCGCAAACATGCCCACGGGCGCGCGGCCCGGCCCTCCGCGTGCGCGCGCCTCCCTCCCCGCGGAGCGCGCCGGGGCGGGGCCTCCGGGGGCGGGTCCGGCGGGAGCGCGGGGCCGCCCAGCAGCGAGCGCGAGGGGCTGGGGAGTCCGATCCCGGGCCGCCGCGCGGGATGCTGCCCTGGACGGCGCTCGGCCTGGCGCTGGGCCTGGCGCTGGCGCGGGGCGGCGCGGAGCGCGGTGAGTGCGGGCCGGGCTCCGGGCGCGGGGCCGCCGGGCGCCCTGCGTCCCTCGGGCCCCACGCGGCTGCGGGGCGGGGGCGGCGGGCACCCACCCACCTGCGGCGGCGGACGCCCGATGCCCCAGGGGACCGGGCGGAGCGCAGATCGCGGGGCCGGACGGGAGGGGGGGTCCGCCGGGAGGCCGCTGCCTCAGTTTCCCTCTCCTTAGAGGACCCTTAGCTGGGGTCACCCCGCCGAACCAGGGGAAACGGGGGCCCCAGGGCCTCACCCAGGACCGGGACGCCCCCAACCCCGTGTGCCCGGGGCACAGGGCCCAGGGGCCCATCTGCCCCGCTCCAGGGCGCTGGGCAGGAAGAGGGGAGGCCGGGGGACCCTCGTGCTGCTGGGCAGGGAGCCGCTTCCTGGGTGCGGGTGGAGCAGGGGCCGGGGGCCGGGGAGGGTGACATCACCCGTGAGCGGGGTTAGAACTCCGGCAGCGCGGCCATCTGGGCTGTGGGCGGGCCTGCGATCAGCGTCTGTCTCCCCCTCTCCCCCTGCTCCCCAGCTTCCCCTTCCGAGCCGCTTTATACCCACCCAGACTCCCCCCATGTCCCACCTGCCCCTCTCCTGGGGCTGAGCTGTGTGGCTGCAGACGCGCGCACCTGAGGGAGCAGCCCTGACCCCTGCCGTCCACGCGCCCCTCCTGGGCTGGGCCAGGACCAGGGCTCCGGGGAATGGGAGGGGTGGGGCCTGGAGAGCCCCCGGGACATGGCCAGGATGCAGCGTGGACCTCTCTGCCCGGGGATACCACCCAGGACCTCTGGGGAGAGATGAGCAGGCTCCCGGGGACTCCTGGGGTGAAGGCAAGGCCCGCTTAGGGGGGCTCCGGCTGGGGGAGCCCCCTGGGTGTGGGGCTGTCTGGGGTCCCCGCCGGGGCTGACCCTGCTCGCCTCTCCCGCAGCGCCCCAGGCAGCCGCCCCCCAGGGGGACCTGCTCTTTCTGCTGGACAGCTCGGCCAGCGTGACTCACTATGAGTTCTCCCGGGTCCGGGAGTTCCTGGGCCAGCTGGCGGCCCCCCTGCCCCTGGGCCCCGGGGCCGTGCGCGCCAGCCTGGTGCACGTCAGCAGCCGGCCCCACTCGGAGTTCCCCTTCGACCGGCACGGCTCGGGGGCCGCCGTCCAGGACGCCATCCTCGCCGCCGCCCAGCGCATGGGCAACACCAACACGGGCCTGGCGCTGGCGTACGCCAAGGAGCAGCTGTTCGCCGAGGCCGCGGGGGCCCGGCCCGGCGTGCCCAAGGTGCTGGTGTGGGTGACGGACGGCGGCTCCAGCGACCCCGTGGGGCCCCCCATGCAGGAGCTGAAGGACCAGGGTGTCACCGTCTTCATCGTCAGCACCGGCCGCGGCAGCCGCCTGGAGCTGTCGGCCGCCGCCTCGGCGCCCGCCGAGCGGCACCTGCACTTCGTGGACGTGGACGACCTGCCCATCATCGCCAGCGAGCTGCGGGGCGCCATCCTCGGTAGGTGGGCGGGCGGGGGCGGGCGGGGCCGGGGCTGGCCCGGCCAGGACCCGGCCAGGACCCAGCCGGAGGAGAGCTGGCGTGGGGTTTTAAAATCTGTGTATTTTTATTGATTTCAGAGAGGGAGAGAGGGCGCGGGGGGGGGGGGGGGGGAGAGAAAAACATCCATGCTGAGAGGGAATCATTGATCCATGGATCAGCTGCCTCCTGCACGCCCCCCCACTGGGGACGGAGCCTACAACCTGGGCTGGTGTCCTAACTGGGAATCAAACCGTGACTTCCTGGCTCCTTGGTGGGCAGTCTGCCCCTGGGCCACGCCGGTTGGGCCGGGGTGAGAGTTAAGAGGAGTTTGTCTGCCTGGAGCGGGGCCAGGGCTGCAGGACAGGTGTCCCCGGGGTTCACCAGGGAGGCGCCCCCCATCTGGGCCGTGGAGGGACGGGGGCAGGCCTGTGTGGACATCGCCTGGGGCTCTCTGAGGGCCCAGCACACTGCAGGAGGCCCCGTGGATGGAGTGGGGGGCCTGGGGTAGGCCCAGGGGCTGCGCTGGGGGGGGGGGTGGCTGAGGGGAGAGGAAGGGAAAGGCACTGGCAGCCGGAGGACTCACAGGGGCCCCAGGTCCTCCTGTCCCTGTGCCGGGGCCCAGAAAGCCCTCCTTGGGGCTGTCCTTGGCCCCAATCCCTCCCCCCCCCCACATACACACCGGGGTGAGGACAGCTGGAGGGGTTTCAGCAGGTTCCCTAGCAGCTCCCCACAGACCTTCTCCTGGACCCGGACCCAGCCAAGCCACCTCGGGGGCGGGGCTGGGCAGCCGCAGCCGCTGAGAAATGCCGCTGACCCCAGGGCTCTTCCCGAGCCTGCGCCTGTGGGTTAATCATCCACCCGAAACCAGGAGAGGCCGAGCCAGAGGAGGGTGGCCTGTGGGTGGCCGGGGGGACCAGGTGCCTCTGAGACTTTCCATCGGGGACACCGGGCCCCTGATGGCCCCCGGTCGGCCACTCCTCTGGCTGAGCCCGGAGGGCAGCGGCCGGAGGCTGCAGGGCAGCCAGGAGAGGGGGGTGTGGGGGGCACGGGGGCTCCGGGGACGGGAGTGGGTCTCTGTGTGGGGGAAGGGCAGGGGGGTGAGTGCCAGGCTGGCAGCCGGGGCCCCGGCATCAGAGGAGGAAGCAACAGGATCAGGACGGTGACAGGCTTCACCCTGCCCAGACACGAACCCGCCACATCCGCCCGCTCTGTCCTGGATGGCTCCCGAGTAACGCGGGTCTGGGACCCCGCTCTGGGTGACGACATTCCTCCGGGGACTGAGGCGGGCAGCAGGCCCAGCCCCGTCCCTCGCTGCTCCTGTCCATCCTCACCGCCCTCAGGCCGCCCTGGCTGCACCCAGGGCCCCTCTGCCCTGACTCTCCAGAACCAGGCTGACCCAGGCCTGGGTCTCTCTGGCTGGGGGCGGGGAGGAGGGAGCTCTGCTCTGGGGCTCTGTCACCTTCCAGGGGCCTCGTCCAGGCCCTGATGGCTTCCCGCCGGCTGGGCCGGGCCGGGGCGGGGCAGGGCTGAGGCAGGGAAGCTCCTCATGAGGCCAGAAGTTGGGGGGGGGGGGGTGCATTCCTGTCTTCCTCGGCCCTGTCCCCGGTTTGCATACTGGTTTGCATATCCTTAGCATCTGCTGGGCGCGGTGAGCTGGCCCGGCTCCCCTCGCTCCTGTCCCTGCACCTCCCGGTGGGGTCCCCACCCGCCTCCCTCTCCGGTCTCCCCGGAGCGGGCAGGGCCCGGCCCGGGCCTGGGAGCAGGCGGCCTGGCGCCCTGACCCCCGCTCCCTCCCCCGCAGACGCCATGCAGCCCGGGCAGCAGCAGCCGCAGCTCCGCGCCTCGGAGGTCACGTCCAGCGGCTTCCGCGTGGCCTGGCCGCCGCTGCTGACCGCGGCCTCGGGCCACTACGTGCTGGAGGTGGCCCCCGCCGCCCAGCCCGCCGCCGCGCGCCGCCAGCAGCTGCCGGGCAGCGCCACGAGCTGGGCCTGGGCCGGCCTCGCCCCCGACACCGACTACCGCGTGGCACTGCGGCCCGAGCCCCACCTGCCGCCCGCCGCGCCGCTGCTCCTGCACGTGCGCACGCTGCCCGGTGAGCGCGGCGCGGGGCGGGGGCGGGGGGTGCGGGGCGCGCGGGGCAGGGGGCGGGGAGCGGAGCCCGGGGGGGGGGCGCAGAGCGGGGGACGCGGGGCGGGGGCGGAGTGGGGGGCGCGGGGCAGGGGGCGCGGGGCACGGAGTGGGGTCCAGGGGAGGCGGGGGCGGATCGGGGAGCCCGGAGGCGGGCGCGGGGGCGGAGTGGGGTCCGGGGGAGGCGGGGGCGGATCGGGGAGGCGGGCGCGGATTGGGGTCCGGGGGGCCCCCACTCACGCGTTTCCCCCCCCGCCGCAGAGGAGGCCCCAGAGGAGCCCGCAGAGGAGGCCGCAGAGGAGGCCGGGCCGGAGCGCCTCGTGGTGTCGCACGTGCGGCCGCACAGCCTGCGGGTGAGCTGGGCGCCGGCGGGCGCGCCCGGCTACCACGTGCAGGCGGGGCCGCTGCGGGGCGGCGCGGCGCAGCGCGTGGAGGTGCCCGCGGGCCGCAACAGCACGGCCCTGCGCGGCCTGGCGCCCGGCACCGCCTACCTGCTCACCGTGACGGCCGCCTTCCGCTCCGGCCGCGAGAGGGCGCTGTCCGCCACGGCCTGCACCCCCGAGGCCGAGCGCGCCCGCGCCCCGCGCCCCCCGCCGCCGCCGGGGCCCGGGGCCCGGGGGCCGTGACCGCCGCAGCCGCAGCCGCAGCCCGGGCCCCGCTCCCGGCGCCGGAACCAGGGTCTCGTCCCGGGGCTCGGCCTCCGCGCCACCCCGAGTCCTCGCTCCGCGGCCGGTCCCTCCGCCGCAGCTCTGGCCGCAGCGGCCCCGCCTGCCCGCCCCGCGGGGACACTCACCCGGCGGCGGAGGCGGCGTGAGGACATCGGACCCGGACAGGCCCAGGCCCAGGACGGAGGGCGGGGGCGGCCGGACTCTGCTGGGCGAAGGGCCCGGGTCCAGCCGCCGCTCAGGTCCGGGTGTCGCTAGAAGGTGGACGGGGGGCTGGGTCCCGCCAGGGCCCCCAGGGCTTCCGGGAGGAGCCAGGACCCGCAGAGGCGGGAAGAGGTCAGCGGTCAGCGGCCCGCGCGCCCACAGGGGCCCTCCCCGGAGGTCACTGGCTGCAGGGCCAGGGCCGGCACCGGGAGGCCGGAGCTGGCGTCCGGGACCCGGAGGCAGCGCTGGCACAGAGCCCCCTCTGGCTTCTGATGGGGTCCTACCTGCTGGGGGTCAGCAAGGTGTCCCCACTCCGGGATGGCCCCCAGCGAGGCTCCCCCTCTTCAGCCATTGCTCACTCTCGGGGGCCCCAGGCCAGGCCCCGGCGGCAGCGTGGCCGTCCTGGCCGCCAGGCCCCGCATCCTCTGCCTCCGCCCCACTAACACCCGCACCGTCCAGTACTGATTAAACCGGATGTGAACCGAGTCCTGCAGCCTCTTTAGACGCGGCCCTGGTCGCCGGACACCAGCCCCTGGCAAGGCCCGGGCGGGCGGGGAGCCTGTGGCCAGCTGGTGCTGAGGAGGGGCCTGTGGGACCCCCTGCACCCCGAGCGGAGCCCCACCTGATCCCTGGCGCGGCCGGCGGGGTTGGGAGGGGGCACCTGCCCGCGCGCCAGGGACAGGCTCCCCCGGTGGCTCCGCCTGCCTGGCCTCTGCCCTCTCCCGGGCGCCGTGCCCTTTCCTGCTTCTGGCCCCAACCGAGCTCTGCAGGGCGGAGGGTGGAGTCCCGGCCCGGCGGTGTTCTCGGTGGTGGGCTGCGTGTGCATGTGTGCACACTTGTGCATGTGCATGTGTCAGTGTGCGTGAGCATGTGTGTGCGAGTGTGCCTGTGTGTGCGTGTGTGAGTGTGCGTGAGCATGTGTGTGCAAGTGTGCCTGTGTGTGTGCACACCCATGTGGCTGTGTGTGTGTGTGTGTGTGTGAGCGCCTTCACTCTCCGAGCGTCACAGGCCCCTGCCTGGGCACGGAGACCCGTACTGCCCACCGGCTCCCTGCCCGTGCTGGGCCTTGGTGCCGGCCAGACCAGGGTTCCCCTCTGTGACGATGGCAGGAGGGACAATGGCCCCCCCCCCCCCCCGCCAGCCGGACAGAGTGAGCAGAGTGAGCAGCTCGGGAAGGGGGGCTGAGCTGTGAGTTCAGGGCCCTGGGGACGGAGGGCAGTGCCTGGCCAGGCCGGACGGGGTCCGGGCCCTGTGTCCTGTGGGTGTTGGGTTTCTCCTCCATGTGGCCCGGCCCCTCACATCTGGCCCAGGGAGCCCCCGTGGGACCCTGGCTGTGTGTGCACTGAGGCTTCTGCTTACACTCTGCCTCGTGGTCAGCCGGCAGCCGAGGGTCAGGGGCTCCTGTGGCCTCCGCAGCTGCCTGTTCTGAGGCTGGGGGTGGGTGAGCAGCAGGGGCCCCGGGGGCCTGACCCACGCCCGGGCCTGTGCCTTAGGCCTCACCTGCCCCTGCAAGTTCAAGTCCCCACGCGGATCCGCCAGGCGCTCATGGGTCCGAGACCCCTGGCCAGCAGAGGGTCCCCTCCTCCCAGAGCCCCGCCCGCCAGCTGGTCCTCTGGGCAGGGCTCAGTTACCCGCTGGAAACACGCCGAGCCCGGAGCTCCCTCCCCCAGACAAGCCTGCAACCCCGGCAAAGACACGCCCCACACCCTGGACGACACCGGCTCCCCTCGTCTCCGCCGGATGCTGAGGCCCAGGGCGGGAGCCCCGCTCCCATCTCCCTGCCAAAGGGGCCTCTCCCGGGCCTTATCGCCGGAGCACGCCCCCTGCGCCTCGTCCCAGACACTCCTCTGAGGCCTCCGAGCCGGCCGCAGCTGGGAACAATCTGGAGGCGGCAGCTCTGTCCCGGTTCCTCCCTCCCCGACACGCAGGCCGGGACCCCTTTGTCCCCCGGGGCCGCGCCTGCCAGGACTGACACCCTCCACACACGTGAGGTGGCTCGGAGCCTCCGGCACAGCTGTGAGCCGGGGCAGGCGGGCGGGCGGGCGGAGGAGGCGCGGTGCCCACGGCAGGCAGCTCGGGCGGGAGGGGACCCCGAGCAGAGGCTCCTTGGGTGCGTGGGGCGCCCGCCTGAGTGCTGTTTGCACAGCTGTGCCCCTTGTGCTGACGTCCTCGATTGGATGAGAGATCCGGGCACTCCCGGAGGCTCCACGTCCGTCCGTCCGTCCTCCGTGGGGTCTTCCCTGCTGCCCAGGGCTCGCCGTGTGGCTGGGGAATGGCTCTCCAGCTGGTGAGCTCTTTTAAAAAATTTTAGCCAAAACCAGTGCTGCTCAGTGGTTAGAGCGTCGGCCTGCAGACTGAAGGGTCCCAGGTTCGATTCCGGTCAAGGGCACGTATGCTGGTTGTGGGCTCATCCCCAGTGGGGAGTGTGCAGGAGGCAGCTGATGGATGTTTCTGACTATCTCCCTTCCTCTCCGTAAAAAAACAATAAAATGTATTTAAAAATATTTTTTCTTTTTTATGTTTTATTGATTTTTTCAGAGAGGACGGGAGAGGGATAGAGAGCTAGAAACATCGATGAGAGAGAATCATCGACCAGCTGCCTCCTGCACACCTCCCACCGGGGATGTGCCCGCAACCAATGTACATGCCCTTGACCGGAATCGAACCTGGGACCCTTCAGTCAGCAGACCGACACTCTATCCACTGAGCCAAACCGGTTTCGGCTAAAAGAATTTTTAATAAATTTTAAAAAACAAAGTAGAGTAGAAACATCAATGATGAGAGAGCATCATTGATCGACTGCCTCCTGCACGCCCCCTAGTGGGGAATCAAGCCCACAAACCCAGGCTTATGCCCTGACCGGGAATTGAACCTGGGACCCTTCAGTCCGCAGGAGAGCGCTATCCACTGAGCCATACCAGCCAGAGCCAGCTCGTGAGCACTAGGACAAAAGCCGCCTGTAAGGACACCAGACAGTATTTGGGGTCTGGAGCCCCGGGCCTCGGCCAGGGAGGGGTCCCCCGGCGGGTAGTGCAGCCACAGGACTCCCTCCAGCAGGAGCCATTTCCCAGGCCACAGCCCAGCCAGGTGCCCGCTGGGAAGAGAGGGCAGTTTAGGAAAAGCAAAACCCATGTGCAGCTCTAGCTGGTGTGGCTCAGTGGATAGACTGTTGGCCTGTGGACTGAGTCCCAGGTTCGATTCCAGCCAGTAGCACATACCCGGGTTTCGGGTTCAATCTCCAGTAGGGGGCGTGCAGGAGGCAGCCGATCAATGATTCTCTCTTATCATTGATGTTTCTATCTCTCCCTCTCGCTTCCTCTCTGACATCAATAAAGAAATATATTTAAAAATAACAACAGCAAAAAAAACTCAAGTGCACAGCTGTGTGCCTGCTGCTTTCTCTTCTGAGATGAAAAAGCGTCTCCCAACATCCATAAACACAAGCCAAATGCCAGTGGGAGTCGTACCTGCTCCTGGAAGTGAGGGTGCTGAGGCTGGGGCTTGGGGAGACCCTGCCCCGGGCAGGGGGGCCCCTGACCTGTCCCCACTGCCATTCTCCGGAAGGGCTGAGGCAGGGACAGGGGCAGGATCCCGCAGGGCGACCCCATTCGCTGAGTTCTCATTAGAACACCTGCCAGTGCCCTCCCCGTGTGGCTCTGTGGTTGGCATCGATCTATGAATCAAGAGGTCACAGTTCAATTCCCGGTCAGGGCACATGTGTGTGGGGCGTGCAGGAAGCAGCCGATCAACGGTTCTCTCTCATCGCTGACGTTTCTATTTCCTCTCCTCCTCTCCCTTCCTCTCTGAAGTCAATAAAAATATATTTTAAAACAAAACAAACACAGGGACTCCTGGGAGTTCCTTCTAATGTTCCCGTAAATAGAAGCATAAATAGAATCAGGCAAGTTTTGGCCTTCATAACTGCTTTATGGTATTACAGCTTTGACAAACCCAATGAGAACTCCCTCTGTGCCAAATCCCATCCTTTATGTCGAGATAAAATCTATTCATTTTCTTTTTAAAAGAATAGTTTTATTGATTTCAGAGAAGAAGGGAGAGGGAAAGAGAAAGAGAGAGACATCCAAGATGAGAATCATGGATCAGCTGCCTTCTGCATGCCCCCTCCTGGGGATCAAGCCCATAACCCAGGCATGTTTCCAGACAGGGAATCAAACTGGGACCTCCTGGCTCACAGGTTGGTGCCCAACCATTGAACCACATGGCCCAGGCAAATCTAAGGTAGAGTTTTACACGTCCGTCCTCCTAAATCCACGTCTGAGGAATCATCTCTGGACTGATGTGGGGTTGTGGCCCTTCACCCGGAGCACGAAACTGGATTTAACGTTGGCATTCCACATCTAGCCCACCCCTGCTCACTCTCTGCAGGCGGATTAGATGGGGCTCTTCAACATCTGTGTCAATGAAATGAGGTGTGGCCCTGGCTGGTGTGACTCAGTGGGTTCAACATCCTGTTGTTCGCCAAAAGGTTACCAGTTCTGTTCTAGGTCAGGGCTCAATCTGCTGCCTCCCGTATTCCAGAACGGGAGGCAGCAGATTGTTATCTCTCTCTCTCCCTCCCTCCCTCTCCCTTCCTTTCTTTCTAAAATCAATAAAGACACATTTTTTAAAATGTGTATTTTTATTGATTTCAGAGAGAAAGGGAGAGATAGAAATATCCATGATGAGAGAGAATCATTGATTGGCTGCTTCCTGCATGCCCCATACTGGGGATCGAACCCCACAACCCAGGAATGTGCCCTACGCTGGAATCGAACCCAGGACCTTCCGGTCCACAGGCCGACATTCTATCCACTGGGCCAAACTGGCCAGGACAAAACATTTTTTAAAAGATGTGCAATTACCAAGACCGGTTTGGCTCAGTGGGTAGAGCATCATCCTGTGGACTACAGGGTCCCAGGTTCAATTCTGGTCAAGGGCCTTGGTTGTGGGCACGTCCCCAGTGGGGGGGGGGGTGCAGGAGGCAGCTGGTTGATGTTTCTCTTTCATTGATGTTTTTAGCTCTCTATCCCTCTCCCTTTCTCTCTGTAAAAAAAAAAAAATATATATATATATACATATGTATATATATATATATATATATATATATATATATATATATATTTAAATACACAAGTTTGCCAAATGCAGGCCTGTGAATGGAGCTGGAGCGGGGCCTGGGCCAAGCCTGTGTGGGCAAGAGTTTGGGCCTTTTACCCACTTTCCTCCTTACCCAGCCGAGCGTCGCCAGGCAGCAGGGGAAGGTATGTTTTGTGGCTGGTCCTTTAAAGCCTTGATGATGGCCACCAGGGGGCATCTGGCTAGAAAACTCATTTGGGCTTTTTCTTCATTGGAGAGGGGAGATCACAGATGGTTGTTGAATTGCCCTCTCTCTCTCTCCCTCTCTCTTTCTCTCTCTCTCACGCACGCACACACACACACACACACACACGCACGCACACACACACACCCCTTTTTAAATTCAGGCTTACAGTTGTTCTCAGTCCAGTGGGGGAACTGACTTCACGTACTTCCAGGAACTCACCCAGTTCTATTCGGAAAGGACAGAGGGGCAGCGTGGACCTTGGCCCCAAGGCGAACTTTGCTAACTTTGGACACTGCAGGTCCCAGAGCAGCGCTGGCCTGTGTCCACCCTCCTCTCCCTCGGTCCCAGGAGGGTCCTGCCTGCCCCGCTGTCCATAAGCGGGCACGTGGCCTTTGGAATTCCCCCAGGAAAACCCTCACCAGCCTATGCCGGGAAGCGGGACTCTCTCCTCCTGCAAGGGCGCCTCTGTGGGCTGCTCTGCCTTTGGGGCATATATGGTGGGAGAGCTCTGTCCCTCCCAGATGAGTCACTTCAGAGTGACACAAAGGGTCACTGCTTCCCGGAGACAGTGAGAGGATGGGAGGGCCTGTCTGCAGTCCGGCCCTTCCTCCAGGGAGACGGGCCTGGGACCGTGCATTCGGCATAGCTGTATGCTCCGGGGCCTGCCTGCCACTGCAGGCTCCATCCCCTCTGCCCCAGCTGGCGCTGTGCCAGGGCCAGGAGGCCACAGGCTGTTGGGTCAGTGCCTGCTGCAGTGGGAGGGGCTGCCAGGCCCTTGGAGTTGTCAACATAAGAAATGTCCAAACCTGCGAAGAATTTCTGTGAGTTTGTTTGAGCCAAACTGTCCATGGTCAGAAAGCAGAATCTCAAAGAAATTAAGATAATGACCCAGAGAATGGCAGTTGTTGTTTTTTTTGTGTATGTATTTTGTTTGTTTGTTTTTACCATTTTTATACAATACAATACATTTCGTGAGTTACGTGAAATCCATTGATGATAGATTATGGAGGCGGGAGAAAGCAAATCTGGGAGAAAGGAAACCCCTGGGATTGGATACAAAGTAAAATGAGCCAAAACTGGTTTGGCTCAGTGAATAGGGCTTTGGCCTTTGTACTGAAGGGTCCCAGGTTCGATTCCAGTCAAGGGCGTGTATCCTGGTTGCGGGCATATCCCTAGTAGGGGGTGTGCAAGAGGCAGCTGATCGATGATTCTTTCTCATGGATGTTTCTAACTCTCTATTCCTCTCTCTTCCTCTCTGTAAAAAATCCAATAAAAAAAAAAAATATATATATATATATATATATATATATATATATATATATATTTAAAGTAAGATGATAGACACATGCTTCACAACAATAACAAGGAGGAAATTTGTCATCTCCACTCTGTCGCCATTTGTTGTGCCCCGAGGGATGGGAAAAGGGAAGTGACCAGTCTCTGTGACATTCCACAGGGATGTCATCTTAAGTGCAAAAGACAATAGGTTTCGTAAAGATAGAAGTTGATCTTTGTTAAGGAGGATACTGGCCGAGGACTTGACTACCCACTATAAACTGCTTTTAGTTTAAAGGTTGTAATTTCAGGCCACCCTTTCCGGTTACTTTAGGTCTATGAGTTTGCAAGGCCTCCGTGCAGGCCTGCCCTGAGCTAGCAGGTTAGCAGGTGGCCCCTTTTCCTCCAGTGCCAGGCTCCTCCCCCAACACCCTGGTCAGAGGTCTCCCACAGGGTCCAAATCTCTGCCTCTCTTTTTATTATTTTTATTTTTTTTATATTTCTATTGATTTTTTACAGAGAGGAAGGGAGAGGGATAAAGAGTTAGAAACATCTATCAGCTGCTTCCTGCGCACCCCCTACTGGGGTTGTGCCTTCAACAAAAGTACATGCCCTTGCCGGGACCGGTTTGGCTCAGTGGTAGAGCGTCGGCCTGCGGACTGAAGGGTCCCGGGTTCGATTCCGGGCAAAGGCATGTACCTTGGTTGCGGGCACATCCCTGGTGGGGGGTGTGCAAGAGGCAGCTGATCGATGATTCTCTCTCATCGATGTTTCTAACTCTCTATCTCTCTCTTCCTCTCTGTGAAAAATCAATAAAATATATTTAAAAAAAAAAAAAAAGTACATGCCCTTCATGCCGAGACCGGTTTGGCTCAGTGGATAGAGCATCTGCAGACAGAAGGGGTCGTGGGTTCGATTCCAGCGTGCAGGGGGCAGCCGACCAGTGACCTTTCTCATCATTGATATTTCTCTCTCTCTCACTCTCTCCATTCCGCCTTGAAATAAATAATAATAATAATAATATATATATATATATACATTTTTAAAAAATATTTTTTATTGATTCTTTTACAGAGAGGAAGGGAAAGGGATAGAGAGCTAGAAACATCGATGAGAGAGATACATTGACCAGCTGCCTCCTGCACAGCCCCTACTGGGGATGTGCCCGCAACCAAGGTACATGCCCTTGACCGGAATCGAACCCGGGACCTTTCAGTCCGCAGACCGACGCTCTACCACTGAGCCAAACCGGTTTCGGCAAAAAATATATATATATTTTTAAAAACTGTTCACCACCGCTCCCTCCCCACCTGCCTCTCCGCCTGCCGCCTAGTCAGGAACTCTCCAGGCGCCCATAGCAACGGGACACGCCGTTGCTAACAGCACGGACGCCTTTTCACTCAGCTGTACGCGTTTTCCCAGCCCATTGAGTTATGTCCCTGACCGGACCCCGTAGCCAGGCCCCGCCTCCCGCCCTCAGTCGCCCCGCCCCGGAGCCAGCTCAGGCAATCGCGTAGCCAGCGCCGATGACGTCACGGCCACCACGGCCAATCCAAGGGCCGCGCGGCCCTGGTCCTCACGCGTCCCCGTCGCTCGGGGAGGAGGAGGAGGCGTGCGCCGCGCCTGCGCAGTGGCTCTGGCCGTCGGCGCGTGGAAGCCACTTGGAGCCGCGCGCGCGCGTGTCCAGGTCCCGGCGGCGGCGGCGGCGCTCGCGGGCCATGTCCTGGCTCTTCGGCATCAAGGGCCCCAAGGGCGAGGGCGAGGGGCCGCCGCTGCCCCTGCCGCCCGCGCAGCCCGGGGCCGAGGGAGGCGGGGACCGCGGCGCGGGGGACCGGCCGGCGCCCAAGGACAAATGGAGCAACTTCGACCCGACGGGCCTGGAGCGCGCGGCCAAGGCGGCGCGGGAGCTGGAGCACTCGCGTGAGTGCGGCGGGGCGGGCGGGCCACGGGCCGGGCGGGCTTCTCGGGAGAGCCGCTCCGCCGGGGGCCGCGCCCCTCAGCCGGCGGTGCACGTGGCTGCGGGCCCTGCTGGACGTGGCTGCGGGCTCCTGCCGCCCTCGGCTCCGGCCGGCCCGGCTGCCACGTGCCCTTCAGGCGAGGAGACGGCGCCGAGCGGACGCCCCGAGGTCCCAGGTCCCAGGTCCCAGGCTCCAGGGGGCGGTCCCCGCCCTGCGCGGCGCTCCTTCCCCTTCTCGCTGCCTCCACGTGGGGCGGCGAGGCGCGGTCAGATCGGGGTCCTCCTGTGGCGGTTGCTAGCGGAGAAGCATGGCGGAGGGTCTTTGGTTTTATTTTATTTTATTTTTAAAATGTTTTTGTTGATTTCAGAGGGGAAGGGAGAGGGAGAGAGAGAGAAACATCACTGATGAGAGAGAATCATGGATCGGCTGCCTCCTGCCCGTCCCCTCCTGGGGATGGAGCCCACAACGGGCATGTGCCCTGACGGGGAATCGAACCACAGTGACCTCCCGGTTCCTAGGTCCACGATCAACCGCTGAGCCAGAAGGCTGAGGAAGACATAGCAGGTTATTGGGGTCCTTTAGGGGTCAGGGAGGCGAGGTCTGTAACGCAGCAGGTCAGACAGCGCAGCCCGGGCCCAGCCTGGTGACCTGCTGACCAGGGCCCTCCAGGCACCAGAGCACCAGGAGCTTCCCTGAGCCCCCGTCTCCCCCAACTTCCCTTTGTTCTGCGAATCGGACCGTGTGTGGCGAGGTGTAGTGTGAGTGTTTAAGAGCCTGGGATGTAGAATACGCTGAATAAACGCTGATTGAAAGAACGTAACGGCTCTCCAACGTTTGTGTGAGCAGAGGTGCCCCTTTCTCAGAGGAGACCCGTAGAGAGGCCTCAGGAACAGGTGAAGCGGGACCTCCCGGGCGAAGGCCTGGGGCCTGCCTGGCTCTCCAATCAGAGGCACGTTGTCACCAGGACAGCCGGCCATGCCTGGGACACGCTTTCTCAGGAACCTCAGTCATCGGTGGGGCTGGGAAACTGGCTGGCCTCGGCACATCTGGGATGCCCACAGCCTTCTGTCCAGTGACCTGACTCCTGTGAACGGCTTCGGTGGGGTACACCTTTCTGCCCCACCTCCGGGGGGATTGCACCCACTTACCACGCCCAGGACGTCAACATCTCCCGCTTTCAGAAGCTGAACCCTGACCCCTGGCTCCCCCACGCCACTCAGTGACGTGGACCATGTGAGGGGCCAGCAGGAGGGCCTCCCTCCTGCCTGCTCCTGCCTCTGAGCTGCTCCCATGTCTCCTGCCCCTGAACACCTCCCACCTGGGTCCCCAGGCCTGTCTGCTGACCCTCCTCCATGTGGCGCATGTCCTGCAGTCCTCGGGCCACCATGGGGCGCTGCTGTGCCCCCGTTAGTCTCTCTCCAGCGACTCCCCAATGGGGGATCTGCCCCCTTTTGCTCCTGCCATCCTTTCTGGCCTCTCTGCAGCCCGGTAGGAGGATTCACCCTGGCAGCCCACCCCTTCCTGTCCCTTAGGTCTCCTTCCCTGTGCCCATGCCCGTCTCCCAGGTCCCCTCTGCAGCCCGTCCGCCAGACACCTGGTTCTCACTCAGGCCCCGTGCCCGCAGTGCCCGCCTTCAGCCTCTCTCTCAGCCCCTGGAGCCTCCTCAGTGCCCCTCACAGCCAGGCTGCCCGCCTGTCCTTCAGGCCCCTGGTGCGCCCTGTGCCCCAGCCTCCGCCTCGGCAGCCAGAGCAGCACATTTAGCTGAGGTGCCTGGGAGGCAGCCACCTGCCTGTGCCCGTCGGGAGGGCGGGTGCCTGAGGAGCACCTGCCCGAGTGGCTGCTACTCTGCCTCGGAGTGCCCGCCTCCTGGTGCAGAGAGATGTCAGGTGACGGACTTGCTGATGTACTGAAACCGCAGTCTGGTCAGCAGGCCGCTGGGTGCCAGGCCTGTGCAGGCCTTAACCTGCTTTCTCTTTTCCTCCGAGGGCCGGGTGGCTGACTCTGTGCTCCAGTGTCCGGTGAGGTGCTCAGAGCCTAGCCTGGCCTGCCAGAGGTCACATGAGCAAGCAGGTGGCTGGGGTTCGGGCCGGTGGGTGGGCCGGACATCCACCTTCTGTCCTGTGCTCTTGGCTCCTCGGTCACTCGTTAACGGGCTCCCATGGTCCGTTCAGCCTCTGGCTTTGTGGCTCCCCCTGCTCCCCCTTGCGGCGGGCTGGGGCCTCGTGCCCTCATGCTGCCTCTCGGGGTCCTGGAAGTGGGGTTCCGGAGGCCCTTCCCCGGCTCTGACACTCCACGCCCGACCGCGGGTCCCAGGGGCCACGCAGACACCCAGGCGTCCGCCACGTCTGTCACTGCGTGGGCTGTGCTCACCGTGGCACTTGAACTCCGGGAAAAAATCCCAAACTGTGATCTGATGTTAGCACAGCCGGAGGTCCCTGTACAACCTGCATCGCCTCCATGGCGGCTTCCCACCCGCTCAGAGAGGGAATTATGTCTCCGCCCACGGTGGGCTGTCTGAGGAGGGGCCTGTTTACCCAGAGAAGCTCAAACCCACAGAGTTCCGGGGGCCGGCCACGCCCAGAGCAGCAGGAGGTGGTTTCATTTCCAGACCCCAGACATTGGCAGGTGTGACCTCCACCTGAACAAGGTGGGCGGAGTCCTGGCCCCCGTGCTCCAGTGCCAGCTCTGAAGAGCCGCCTCGGGGCTCCTGGCTCATTCCTCATCTAATCCTCATCCACCTTCTTGCCTGCATGTGCTTGATAGCAGGTCCTCTCCTGTCAGAGGCTTAAGGGAAACGTGTGGCCTGTGGGGAACAGAGGACATTGGCTGTGGGCTTTTTTTTTTAATATATTTTATTGATTTTGTACAGAGAGGAAGGGAAAGAGAGAGAGTTAGAAACATCGATGAGAGAGTCATCGATCAGCTGCCTCTTGCACACCCCCTACTGGGGATGTGCCCGCAACCAAGGTACATGCCCTTGACCAGAATCGAAACCGGGACCCTTCAGTCCCCAAGCCGATGCTCTATCCATTGAGCCAAACCGGTTTCGGCTGGCTGTGGGCTTTTGGTTTCATTGGGGAAGGACTGTGTGTTGGCCTCGGGGCGATGGTCCGCCTCTCTGATGGAACCCTCCGGAATGTGACGGCCCCGGGGGGTGGGGGTAGACAGGCGTAGGTGACAGTCACTGCCAGATGGGGTTGGGCAGGTGTGCGTTGAGGTTGGGCGAGCGGCAGCAGGGCCTCCCTGGCACCCACGGTCCTGAGGCCGGCTCCCGCCCCTCCGCAGGGCACGCCAAGGAGGCGCTGAGCCTGGCGCAGATGCAGGAGCAGACGCTGCAGCTGGAGCAGCAATCCAAGCTCAAAGTGAGTGGGCCGCTGCGCTGGCCGGCCCGTGGCCGAGCGGGGAGGACCTGCCAGGAGAGGGGGTGCTTCCGCCTCCGTTAGCGGGACCCAGAGAGAGGGTCGCGGGGTGAGCTCCCCAGTAGAACGTGTACCCCAGCCTGTCCACTCGGAGCTCTGAGTGTTCGGGTGCGGGAGGGGCTGTCGGGAGTGGGAGCCCGCGCTGCCAGCCCCGAGAGGAGGCCTCGGGCCTGGGCCTCAGCGCCGTGTGTCCGCAGGAGTACGAGGCCGCCGTCGAGCAGCTGAAGAGCGAGCAGATCCGCGTGCAGGCCGAGGAGCGCAGGAAGACGCTGAGCGAGGAGACGCGGCAGCATCAGGCTGTAAGGGCTGCGGGCTCCTGGGCACCGAGGCCGGGGACCAGGAGGGGCTGCGGGCGCCGTGGTCCCACCTCGAGGACTGGGGTGGCCTCGCACATCCCAAGGCCCGCGTCCCTGCGTGCTGAGTGTGTGCGTGCGTGTGTGTGTGTGTGTGTGTGTGTGTGTGTGCGTGTGCGCGTGTTTTTGCTGACAGCACCGTGGGTCCTGGCTGCTGGGAGGCTCCGGTGCCCGGTCGGGTCTGGGCCCCGTGTTGGTTTCGGGTCGCTGTGTTCACGCTGTGTTCACGCTGTTCTCTCCCCGCAGAGGGCCCAGTACCAGGACAAGCTGGCCCGGCAGCGCTATGACGACCAGCTGAGGCAGCAGGTGAGTGGGCACGCCTGCGGGCGGGAGGGCCACGGCCTGCGGCCGGAGGGCCCCGCCAGGGCTGTGGACGCGAGGGTTGTGCTGGGTCCTGACGGAGCTGCAGTTAGACTCCCGCACGGGCCCTCCCCGCCCCAGGCTCCTGCACACTGTGCTCCACGCGTGTTCCACGCACCGCCTCCATGCGTGTTCTGTGGCCTCCACGCAGGCAGGCTCCAGCTGTTCTTAGGGTTCAACCAGGTGGCACGTGACTGGGAACCTGGCTGATGTGATGGGTTCACGGGGGAGATTTCAAATGTCTGTGCCTCTTGTGAGCTTTGTAGCTTCAAATTAAAATGCATACACACACACACACACACACACACACACATATATATGTACATATATATCATTGATTTCAGCGAGTGAGAGAGAGAAACATCAACAATGAGAATCGTTGATGAGCTGCCTCCAGGCCTGCAACCCACCGGGCGTGTGCCCTGACCGGGAATCGAATAGTGAATCTCCTGGTTCCTAGGTTGATGCTCAGCCACTGAGCCATGCCAGCTGGGCGATAGCCTTTAAATTTAACAAGCGAAAACCAGAGTGTTTTATGGACACCCGTGACCCCGTGGCCGAGGTGTGCCGGGGCGGGGGCTCCTGGCCCCGGCCCCTGGGAGCGTGCGGGTCCCAGCCATGTTGAGGCCGGCCTGCTGGGCTGTGGACTGGTGTGAGCAGGAGGGACCACCCTGTGCCCATGGCCAGAGAGAGGGCCAGGGCCGACAGGCCGTCTCTCGAGGTCAGCCCCTAGGAGCGTGTGTGTCCTAACGTTGAAAGCTTTTCCATTTCCTTGTGGCTTCTTCTCAGCAACTTCTCAACGAGGAGAACCTGCGGAAGCAGGAGGAGTCGGTGCAGAAGCAGGAGGCCATGAGGCGAGGTAGCGGGTCAGCTCCCGGGCGGTGGGGCCGGGTCCTCGTGGGCAGGCGGGTGGGTGGGCGCTGCTCTAGGCACTCGGAGCCCCAGCTCGGCTTCCTGAGGTCGCGCTGGGTCCCTGCCTCTGCGCCGGCTCTAAAGCGGAACCCGGCCGCTGGGCGTCCAGAGTCTGGTCGTCTTCTGCCGACCAGTCACCTCCCGTGAGCAGTGCCCGGGCCTCGGGTCTGAATCCCGGGCTCCTCTGTCGAGGCCCCGCCCGCTGGAGGGGCAGGGACGCCAGGACCCGGGCCGAGGGCTGAGCGCGCTCCCTGCCCCCGCAGCCACCGTGGAGCGGGAGATGGAGCTGCGACACAAGAACGAGATGCTGCGGGTGGAGGCCGAGGCGCGGGCCCGGGCCAAGGCCGAGCGGGAGAACGCCGACATCATCCGGGAGCAGATCCGCCTGCGGGCCGCCGAGCGCCGCCAGACCATCCTGGAGTCCATCAGGTGAGGCCGCCTGGGCCCGGAGCCCGGGCGCAGCGCCGACGGGCCCCCTCTGGCCACGTGCCCAGGCCTGGTCCCTCTGCTCACACTGCCTCCCCGACAGGACGGCGGGCACCCTGTTTGGCGAAGGGTTCCGGGGCTTTGTGACCGACTGGGACAAGGTGACGGCCACGGTAAGCACCGCCGCCCCCACCCAGCTGCTGGCACGGTGGCGAGGGGTGAGGGCGTGGTGGCAGGGGGTGGGCCTCACTCCCCTCCGCCCTGCCCCGTGCAGGTGGCCGGGCTGACGCTGCTGGCCGTCGGCATCTACTCTGCCAAGAACGCCACGCTGGTGGCGGGGCGGTACATCGAGGCGCGGCTGGGGAAGCCGTCCCTGGTGCGGGAGACCTCCCGCATCTCACTGCTGGAGGCGCTGCGGCACCCCCTGCAGGTAAGGACCAGTCCTCCCGGCGCTGTGTCCCGCCCACTCCTGGGGCCACAGCCAAACACCCACGTCCTCCTCCCTCCGTTTCCCCACGCCCTTCCTCCGCCTGCACGCTGGCTTTGCTCTGGTTTGTCCCTGAGGCCCGTCCGCACCAGCACAAGGGAAGGGGGCTCTTGGGGGTGGGGGGCCTCATCCAGTCCGCTCTGTCGCCTGGGGTCGCCTCTGGGTGTTTGCACACAGTGGGGCTCCCCGTGCCCTTTTCCTGTAAGAGAAGTCACTGGAGGTCATGGTGTCGCTGCCTTCCACCCCCACCCCGAAGCGTGCCCGGCGTGGATCCGAGGCCTCTTCTCCCCTGGGCTGGGCCTCTATCAGCCGCCATGTGGGTGACGGAGAAAAGGCGAGGTCAGCAGCCACCTGCCTGTCGCCCAGCAGCACCGACGCTGGTCGGTCAGCCTCCGGGAGCGCCAGCCGTGTCCTGAGTGTGGGCCGGAGGCTGCTCCTGTGGCTCTGCTTGGTGGCTGCACGCAGGACTGCCCCCTAACCCTGACCCCGCTCCCCCACAGGTCAGCAGGCGGCTGCTCAGCAAGCCTCAGGACGCGCTGGAGGGTGTGGTCCTCAGTGTGAGTGGCTGGGCGGGCAGGGCGGCGGGGGCACTGCCTGGCGCCCCGCCTGGGAGACGCTGCCTCCTGTGCTGCCCGGGTGCCCGGGAGGGACAGACGGGGCAGAGAGCGGCCCTCTAACAGCTGTCGCCCCCTGGCAGCCCAGCCTGGAGGCCCGGGTGCGGGACATTGCCATAGCGACTCGGAACACCAGGAAGAATCACAGCCTGTACAGGAACGTGCTGATGTACGGGCCGCCTGGGACGGGCAAGACGCTGTTCGCCAAGGTGAGGCGCCCGTCCCCTCACTAGGCGCTCGCCTGGGGCCCGTTGTCATGGGCAGGGCCATGGGTGGTCTGCTCTGCGGGGAGGACAGACTGCTTGCTCAGCCCCTGTTAGCACTGCCTACCTCCCCCCCTTTCCCCTCTCCCCCCTCCACACCCCACCCTCTGCCTCTGTGTCTCCGTCTCCCAGAAATTGGCGCTGCACTCAGGCATGGACTACGCCATCATGACGGGCGGGGACGTGGCCCCCATGGGGCGGGACGGAGTGACCGCGGTGCACAAGGTCTTCGACTGGGCCAGCACCAGCCGGCGAGGGTGAGCGGCCCCTCGGTGGCCCCGCACGCTCCCGCCTGGCTCCCAGTGGCCCTGGCTGTCGGGAAGGAAGGGGTCAGGGACTCCCCGCAGCCGGTCCTGGTGCCCCGGTGCCCGGCAGCACTGAGCGGCGGGACATTCGCCACGTGAGCCACGTGGTGCCGGTGGGTGTTGGTTCAGGCCGGTTCTGGCCGCCGTCTCTGGCGGCGTCACCTGGCTCTCCCCATCCCGGGTTGAGGTCTGGGTCCCAGAGCTGCTGAGGGCGTGTGGGGTGGGGGCTCCTCAGCTCCTGCCGTCCCAGGGGCCACGCAATGGGAGGCCCCTTCCTCAAGCAGCCCCTCCCCCACAGCCTCCTCCTGTTCGTGGACGAAGCGGATGCCTTCCTCAGGAAGCGAGCCACCGTGAGTGTTCTGGAAGCTTCTGTCTGGCGGTGGGCCTGGTGGTGTGTTCAGTGGCGTAGGCCAGACGAGGCGTCCGGCTGCAGCTGTGCTTCCGGGGAGGGTTGTGCCTGAGGGCGGCCAGGCCTGTTCGGCTGCTGAGCTGCTTTTGGAGGTTTTGGTGAAGCAGGAGCATCGTGGCATTTCTTGGAGTCTTTCTGGTCGAGTTCAGGTTCATGGGCGCCACGGGAGGGGCAGACACGCCGCCTCCGTGGGCGGCCGGGCCCTCTGCTCTGCCCTGGTGCTGACTGGCCTCTCTCTGCAGGAGAAGATCAGCGAGGACCTCAGGGCGACCCTGAACGCCTTCCTGCACCGCACGGGCCAGCACAGCAGCAAGTGAGGCCCGCGGCTCAGCTCCGTGCAGAGTGCTCACCGCACCGGCCGCTGGGGGGCGGGCACTGCCTGTCCGCGCTGCTGCGGGGCGGGGTGGGGAGGGCACGCTGCTGACCCAGTGCCCGCGGTGCCCACGTGTCCCGCTCTGGGCCGTCCCGTGTCCATGGTTGTGCAGTGTGTCCAGGCAGCGGCCCCACAGCTGGGTCCCCTGGGGCACAGATGCCCCGAGAGTGGGCTGGCCCCTTCTCAGTCCCCTAGTCACGCTTTTCTGCATTGGCGAGGCCCTCCAGCTCCCCCCACAGCTGGTCACTGGGGCGCCCCGCCCTGGTGGTGGGCATATCCCCCTTTTCCCCCCACAACTGGTCACTGGGGCGCCCCGCCCTGGTGGTGGGCATGTCCCCCCACCTCCCACCACAACTGGTCACGGGCGCCCAGCCCTGGTGGTGGGCGTATCCCTCCACCTCCCACCACAACTGGTCACGGGCGCCCAGCCCTGGTGGTGGGCATATCCCCCCATCTCCCCCCACAACTGATCACTGGGGCGCCCGCCCTGGTGGTGGGCATATCCCCCCATCTCCCCCCACAACTGATCACTGGGGCGCCCCGCCCTGGTGGTGGGCATGTCCCTCCAGCTCCCCCCATAACTGGTCACTGGGGCGTCCCGCCCTGGTGGTGGGCATGTCCCTCCAGCTCCTCCCACAACTGATAACTGGGGCGTCCTGCCCTGGTGTTGGGCATGTCCCCCCATCTCCCCCCACAACTGATCACTGGGGCGCCCAGCCCTGATGGTGGGCATGTCCTCCCTTCTCCCCCCACAACTGGTCACGGGCGCCCGCCCTGGTGGTGGGCATGTTCCCCCACCTCCCCCAACAACTGATCACTAGGGCGCCCAGCCCTGGTGGTGGAAATGTTCCCCTACCTCCCCCCACAAATGGTCATGGGATGCCCAGCTCTGCTGGTGGGCATGTCCCTCAGGCCTCAGCTACGACCTGGAGAGGTGGTTACTCCTGTGAGCTGGCCTCGGCTCAGCTAAACCCTGGCCCTGAGCCCAGGCTTCCTGGCTGGAGGGTGGAGGTCTGACTCAGACCTGGGTCTGTCCCTCCTGTACAGCAAGGCTTATCCGGCCTCCCCATTGGGTCATCGGCCAGATGCATGAGATGGGGCAGGAGCAGATCTGTCAGAGGGAGGGTGGACCACAGGGGCCAGTGCTGGACCTTAAAATGCCCGGCCCAGCCCTGCTAGGAGGGGCAGGTGCATGGGAGGGGCCGGTGGGTAGGGAGCAATGGGTAGATCAAGGTGGAATCTGCTAGGAAACCACCCGGGAGGGCTGGCCTGCGCCCAGCAGCGAGCACTCGGCCCTGGAGCCTCAGCTCCTGCCCCTGCCCTGCCCTGCAGGTTCATGCTGGTCCTGGCCAGCAACCAGCCCGAGCAGTTCGACTGGGCCATCAACGACCGCGTCGACGAGATGGTCAGCTTCGAGCTGCCGCGGCTGGAGGAGCGGGAGCGCCTGGTGAGGATGTATTTTGACAAGTTTGTCCTTAAACCGGCCACGGAAGGAAAGCAGTAAGTGTCCTGGAGCCGCGCGCCCGCCCTCGCTGGGTCCTCCGGCGGGCCTTGGCCCGCTCCCGGCTTTCACTGCCCCGACCCCACCGTGTGCCTTCCTGAGGGCTCAGGGCGGGTACGCGCAGCTTGGTTTCTGGAGGCCCTGCCCCCCCGTCCGCCTGCCCCCCCCCCCCCGTCCGCCTGCCCCTTCCCACCTGCTCCATCCCGTCCACCTGCCCCCCCTGTCCACCTGCCCCTTCCCACCTGCTCCATCCTGTCCACCTGCCCCCCCTGTCCGCCTGCCCCTTCCCACCTGCTCCCCCTCCGTCTGCCTGCCCCCCTGTCCGCCTGCCCCTTCCCACCTGCTCCATCCCGTCCGCCTGCCCCCCTGTCCGCCTGCCCCTTCCCGCCTGCTCCATCCCGTCCACCTGCCCCCTCGCCCCTTCCCACCTGCTCCATCCCGTCCACCTGCCCCCTCCTGTCCGCCTGCCCCTTCCCACCTGCTCCATCCCGTCCACCTGCCCCCTCCTGTCCGCTTGCCCCTTCCCACCTGCTCCATCCCGTCCACATGCCCCCTCCTGTCCGCCTGCCCCTTCCCACCTGCTCCATCCCGTCCACCTGCCCCCTCCTGTCCACCTGGCTCCATCCCGTCCACCTTTCCCCTCGCCCCTTCCCACCTTCTCCATCCTGTCCACCTGCCTCCTCCCACCCGCCTGCCCCCCTGTCCACCTGCCCCCTCTTGTCCGCCTGCCCCCTCCCACCTGCTCCATCCTACCCACCTTCCCCTTCCCGTTCACCTTCCCTCTCCTGTCCACCTGCCCCCTCCCACTCGCCCGCCTGCCCCCTCCCATCCACCTGCTCTATTCCATCCACCTGCCCCCTCCTGTCCGCCTTCCCTGCCCCCTGTCCTGACCCCCGTCCACCTGTCCCCTCCCACCCACCTATTCCACCCTGTCTACCTGTCCTCTCCTGTCCACCTGCCCCCTCCTGTCCACCTGCACCCCCTGTCCACCTGCCCCTTTGTCCACCTGCCCCCTCCTGTCCACCTGTCCTCTCCTGTCTACCTGTTCCTTTCCATCTGCCTGCCCCCTCCTGTCCACCTGCACCCCCCCATCCACCTGCACCCCGTCCACCTGCCCCCTCCCGCCCACCTGCTTCCTCTCATCCACCTGCCCTCTCCCGTCCATCTGTCACTCCTTATCCACATGCTTGGCCCCCGGGTCCCGTCCAGCTCTCCGCTGGTCTTGGAGTTGACAGCCCATCCTTGTCTGTCGCACAAAGTGCCTTGAGGAGGCAGATCCAGGCCAGGTCAGGCCTGGGGGTGAGGGCCGTGCTGGGCTGTTGCAGATCTAGAGCTTTGCTCTGAGACCTCCATCCACTGCACCCCTACTCCTAGGAGCCTGGGCCCTTTGCCAGCATTCAGCAGGCCCCCTCGGCAAAGCCCAGTGGGGGGGCGCCCTCAACACCGTCCAGGCTGCTTCCCTCGCCGCGGTGCCTGCCTGCTCCAGATAAGCAGAGCCGGCTATTTTAACCGTCTCCCGGGGACGGGTCTCGGCAGCCCTGACCCGAATCCCTCGTGCTGGCAGCAGGGAGAGTGGCCGCTGTTCCAGGCGGACTGCCCGCTGCTACCCTGCGTTCCTGCCCCCCGGCTCCCCTGGTCCGCCACCTCCCTCTGCCCCGGCATCCGGCCGCACGGTGTGGGTTTCTGAGGCCTCTGCATGAGTGTCTGAGGGTCTCCTGGCCCTTCAGCCAGCCCCACCTGGGAGGCTCGGCGTTGCTCCCTCCCTGTGACTTCCTGCTGCCCCACTGGTCCCCAGCTCATCCCTGACGCAGCCTCAGGTGCTCTGCAGCCCCGGGCTGGGCAGGGCTGGGCAGGGCTTAGAGGAGGAAGGACATGGCCCCTGGCCCAGCGCACGGTGTGGCCCCTCTCGTTTCTCAGCACAGCCACTGCCCAGGAAGTGTCCCCTAGGCAGGAAGGCCAGCTGTGCCGGCCTGGGGTTCCCTGCATAGCCGCCTGCCCGGCGTCCCTCCCGCCCTCCCTCTGGGGTCGTGGGGCCCTCACAGGCCTCTGTGCCTGCTGGAGGCCGGGGCCCGGGTCATGTGGGAACCCTCCTCCCAGGCGCCTGAAGCTGGCCCAGTTTGACTACGGGAAGAAGTGCTCCGAGATTGCACGCCTGACCGAGGGCATGTCGGGCCGGGAGATCTCCCAGCTGGCCGTGGCCTGGCAGGTGAGTGGGCACACGCCACCCTCTCCCCTAAGGCGTCCCCCAGCCGCTTCCGGGTGCCCCATCCCGGAGGCATCTGCTCCTTGGCTGCCCAGCTCTTGCGTCCGACAGCCTGACCGCCAGCAGTTCAGAAATGCTGGTGAAGGAGTATTTTATCACTAAGCACACATCCTCTTCAGCTTGGAGTGCGGCTCAGAGAGGCAGGGTCTGCGTCGGAACGGGCTGGGTGATGCTGCTGTGACAGCCCCGGATTGCCGGCCAGTGCCTGTGGGCCAGAGGGCCGCGCTGGGCCAAGGCCCGTGCCGGTGGTGGAGGACAGTCTTAGCTCGCGGTGCAGTGAGGTGCTCCTCCGGGGGGCGCCCCGGCCGGCTCTGCCAGGTGAGCAAAGTGCTCTCAGTGCCCCACGCGGGCCAAGGCTGCTCGGGCAGCTGGGAGATACAGCTGGACGGGCTCAGGCCCCTGCTTGGTGGACACCCATCGCTGTCCACTCAGCAGGCTCGGTCAGAGCAACAGCCGGTGACAGGAAGCAGGTGGGGTCCTGTGTCATCTGAAGGGGGGTGCCCACGGTCACCTAAAGGAAGAGTGGGCCACCCTGGGCCTGATTACCAAAGCTTTGGGGACCCACCTGGTGCCTGCCCCAGTTTGGGGCTGGGAGCCCTGGGCACTGGGAGCAGAGCAGCCAGCGGCGGTGGCCTGGGTTCTGGAAGGACGTTAGTAGGTGGTGGGGGTCCTCGGAGGGCAGCCCCGTGCACCCAGCTGCTCAGTGTTGAGGGGCAGTTGGGCTGGGCGGGGCCACGCACCCCCTCGAATTGCTGGGGCTCCCCCGCCCTCCGTGTTGAGTGCCGTTCCCGAATGGCCTGTGGGTCTGTGGTCTGTGCCCTGGCGGAGGGCAGCTCTGCTGTCAGCAAGGCCCTCAGCTCTGAGGCGGTGGGGCGGCTTCCCAGTCTCCCTGGGGCTTTCTGACTTTAGAAAGTCACTGAGCCGCTCGTGGGTGAGACAGGCCCGGGGCCGGGGTGGTGCAGGGCTGGCACCCAGTCTGGGCTGCAGATCGCCTATGAGCAGGCATGAGTGGGCACACGTGTGTCCTGGAGGCACGGTGTGTGCCATCAGCGGTAGGAGTGTGTGTGCTGCCCAGGGAGGGTGTTGGCCAGCCATCCCCTGGCAAACTCGGCTCCCGCCTGCCCCCACCTTGAGGGAGGACATTTCCCAGAAACAGGCTCGTGGTTGGGGAGCAGCATGAAGGGGGGCCTGGCCGGGCTGTCACTGGGGGCCTGGCCCTGCCTGCAGGGTGCGTGGCCCGGTGCCTGGGGGCCTCCGAGCCGGAGGCTGGGACACCGTTCCCCCGTGCGGGCCGCTCCAGCCCCTGCCCCGCCTCATGCTCTCTCTCCCCGCCAGGCCATGGCGTACGCCTCCGAGGATGGGGTCCTCACCGAGGCCATGATGGACGCCAGGGTGCAGGACGCCATCCAGCAGCACCAGCAGAAGATGCAGTGGCTGAAGGCTGAGCGTGCCAGGCCCGAGGGTGGCCAGCCCCCGCTCCCCAGCGCCCAGACGGAGTGAGCTGGCCTGGACCCTGGGGGCCCCGGGGGGCCCCGGCCGGGCGGCGCCGAGAGCAGCACGAGGCCGAGGCGCCGTTTCCCGAGGCTGTGGGCGCTGCATGGCCACCGCGGCCTCGCAGGTTCCGTCTTCCTCTGGTCCGGCCGGGCAGCGTTCCGGGAGGACAGCGCTGCCTGCCTGCTGGGAACCTGCCCTCCAGCTGTGGACATGGCTGGAGAACATCTGCCAGGGCCACGCCTAGGACACCCTGGGAGAGGTGTCTGCCTCCAGGCCCAGGCTGTGACCTGCAGTGGGTGGAGCCTGGCCCTGCCCGGCCCCACCCAGACCAGAAGCCAGGGAGAGCTGAGTGGAGCAGACCCCACGGTGCCTGCCCAGCTCTGACCGCACAGCTTTGTGCCTGGGGTGCGCGGTGGGGCTGCACCGGAGACCGGAGACCCCGGCCCGCTGGGCGCTGCCTCAGCCCCGGTGGCCTGCAGCCCTACCTCTGTGGAGCTGGTGTTTCTGCCCAGAACCTAATAAAAACTGATGCCATACCTGCGCATCTCCGGCCGGTGAGGGGCGGGGCCTGAGGGGTCACGGGGTCATGTGAAAGAAGAGGCGGAGGCTGGAGCTTTCCGGAGAGTTTACTGACCAGCAGGGCGGGGTCACAGTGAGGCGCCGACCAGGGTGCCCTGGGCAGGGTGGCCGCGCTCCCACAGGGGCTGGGGCCTTATTGCTGCCGGGCTGGGCCTCCCTTGGACCCGGCCCCCCACCCCCCTGGGGCCCGCGGCCGCACACGCCCCATGCACATGCTCCCGTGTGCAGACGTGGGTGCGGCCGGGGTCTGGTCCCCTCCCAGCCAGACCCACCGGCCTCCCCTCCGCCGGGCGGAGAGGACACGGCCGGCTCCGAGTAGGGCGCGGTCCGGCCCGGCGCAGGGCGTGGGGCCCGCACCCACCCGGCCCTGGAGGCCCGGGTCCTGCCCCCGGCCGGCCCCGCCCGCCCCGTTATAAAAAGAAGAGACAGCACCTTCCGCTGGACACCCGGCGGCGGGGCGCCTGGTCAGGCGGCCGTCCAGTCCGGTGTTGGCGGGCGCGGCGGCCCGCGGCCCCCAGAGTCCTGCGCGCGGCCTAAAGGTGCCGCGGGCTCGGGTGGCCGTTGTGGTAGAGTTTCTGCTTCACGTGCACCATGTTCCCCGCCGCCTCCTCGAAGGGCCTGTGCGGCCGCCGGCCCAGCTCCCGCAGGTTGCACAGCTTGGGCAGCCACGTCCACGAGCCGTCTGCGGGCGGCGGCGCGTCAGGGCGGGCGGGGCGGGCGGGGCTCCGATGGGGGCGGGGTCTGGCTGAATGGCGGGCGGGGCTTTTCGAGGGGCGCGGTCTGGTTATCCGGGGCGGGGCTTAGCCTGGACCGCTATTTGAGGGTGTGGCCTTTGGGGCGTGGTCTCCGAGGGCGGGGCAGCCTGTGCGCGAGGGGCGGGCTGTGGTGTGGGGCGTGGTCTGGTGTGATAAGGGGCGTGGTCTGGCGGGTGAGTGGGGGGCGGGGCACTCACCGTAGCGCCGGCCGGCCCTCCAGGCGCGCACGGCGCAGTGCAGGACGCCGTCCATCCACACCAGGAACCAGCTGATGCAGAAGCCGAGCAGCAGCCCCAGCATGAGGTCGATCTCCTGCTTGGTGACGTTGTCCGTCACGAAGTAGTTCTCGGAGGCGTCCACCACCGACTGGTCCCCGTCGTACGGGATCACGTAGTGGACGTGGTGCCTGGGGGCGGGCAGAGGGGCTGGCACCTCTCCCGGGGCGCGGGGGCTCCCTGCGGGGTCTCTGAAGCAGCCCCGGTGGGGCCTGAGGTCCGGAGGGGCCGGCGGACTCGCCCAGGGCCCCGGGCCGGGGTGGAGACTGCCCATAGGGAGGGGGTGCGAGACGCCCCTCCCCTGCCCAGCCTGGGCCTGTAGTTCCCGGCTGGAGACCCAGGCGGTGTCCCTCTCTGATGGCAGGTGCAGAGCCCGCCTGTGGGCAGTGCTGACGGCCCCTCTGGGACGCCCCTCTGGCCTCTCCCTCTAAGGCCACACTCACTGCTCACTCCCTTTCCTCAGCTCCTCCCAGCACAGCCCAGTGTGCCCTCCTGCTGCCTTCTGGTCTTCCTTCTCCTCTGTCCAAACCCATCCCTTCGTCCCCTCTCCCGGGTGCCCCTGGCTCACGCCCTGCGCGGATCTGTAAGTCCTTGGGCCCCTCAGCTGCTCCCAATGGCCCGTGGACTGTCCAGAGCTCTCAGCCCGGCCCCTCCTCTGCATCCCAGGGCTCTCAGCCCCTCCTCTGCATCCCTGCACCCACCAGGGCCTGTGCCATGCGCTCAGCCTCCCCGCACCCCTGGCCAGACTCAGGCTCCCGAGCCCTCCAGGCCCTCGCTTGCCTCCGAGGCCACACTGAATGCTCCTCACAAGGTCTCCTCAAGCCTCAGAGCTGCCCAGGTACCTCCTCCTCCAGGGAGTCCTCCGGACCCTGTGGCCCAGGTGGAGTGGCCCTGCCCAGGAGAGTGGACTCTGGCCTTGCCCCGACCCTCACCCCCTCACTGTTAAGAGAGCCTAGGAGCCCTAACCGGTGTGGCTCAGTGGATAGTGCATCGGCCTTCAGGCTCAAGGGTCCCAGGCTTGATTCCGGTCAAGGGCATGTACCTTGGTTGCAGGCACATCCCCAGTGGAAGGTGTTCAGGAGGCAGCTGATCGATGTTTCTCTCATCAATGTTTCTGGCTCTCTATCCCTTTCCCTTCCTCTCTGTAAAAAATCAGTAAGATATATATTTTTTTAAAAGAAGGGAGCAAGCCTGGGCCAAGACACAGTGGGGTCTAGGCACCCTTAGCCCCAGGGGTCTGGCTCCTACAGACCCTCCTCTCGCCGGGCCCATCCTGGGGTCGTCCAGGCCAGGAGGCCCCCTCTCCCGGCCCACCCCTCCCCGAGTCTCTCTGCTGGCCCCGCCGCCTCTCCACCCCCACCCCCTACCGTCCCTGCCGCCCATATGGCTGCTCTGAGCTCCAGCTGCCTGCCTGGCGTCTCCATGTGGGATCCACCGACACCTCAAACTCACACCTAAAAATAGCTCCCCCTCCCCTAACGAACCTGCTTCTCTCTCCAGTGAGATGCTGACTCCTCCGCCTGATCCTCCTGTAAGTTCCTCCTCCCCCATAGTCCCCGCCCCCCGCCCCCAGAGCGACCAGCCCCCAGACGGAAACCCCACGGTTCCACCTGACTGACCTCAGGCCCTGCTGCACCAACACCGGCCACACGGGGCGCCTTCCTCTCCAGGGTCAGGGGAGTCCTGGAGCCCCAAACCCAGCCCTGGGGAGGGCAGCAGGCAGGCCTCTCTCCACACCCTCTCCTGCTCCTCCTGGGGCCCCCGCCCCAGGCCAGCCAGCAGGAACTGGCTGACACCTGGTAGCCATTGCTCCTCTGATCAGCATTATCAATCACCAATGGGTGATGGAGCCTTCCACGGCTTGGCTCAGTGGATGGAGCATCGGCCCTCGGACTGGAGAGTCTCAGGTTTGAGTCCGGTCAAGGGCACCTACCTCGGTTGCAGGCTCAATCCCCAGCTTCAGTTGGGACACGTGCAGGAGAGGAAGGCGCACATCAATGTTTCTCTCTCTGACTCTCCCCCTCCCTCCTGCTCTTTAAAAATCAATGGAAAAAATAGCCTCAGGTGAGGCTGAGCAACCAGAAGTGATGGAAAACCAAGGAATGAGCATCGCCTGGAATGTGCCGCAGCTTCCAGGCCCCCAGGAGAGCCCGCCCTGCGTGAGCCGTTAGCCGGCCCGTCGCCCAGGGCCCCCAGGCCTCATGGGGCTGACACTGCGCACTCCTCCCTCTTCTGCCTCCCTGGCCTCCCAGGCCGAGGACCTCTGGTGGGTCCTCTCGGGACAGCTGCCTCTGACGCCTGGACACACGGCCGGGCAGGGCAGGACAGGTCAACGGCCGGGCCACCTCCGGAGCCAGGTGTGCCCCCCTAGTGCTCTGCGAGGAGGAGGCCAGGCCCAACCACCCGGAGGCTCAGGACCCCCGAGGCTGGAGGCACATCCTGTGTCCCCATCGCTGTCCTGGCACCGGCAACTCTCCCCCGCTCCGCCCACTCCTTTCTCCAATGCAGGCCCCTGGGGACGGGCTCAGGACACCCATGTACACACGTATTTCCACGCTGCATGTGTTTACCTGAGGTCCATGTTCTGTATACACGCCGGCCACATGCAGAGGACGTGGTCTATATACTATGGGCTTGGCCCACGAGGTCCACGTGTGCACCTGTGTATGCTTGCCCAGGCACAAGCATGGTGCGTGTCACACGGAAATGCTCATGCATGTGGCTTTGCCCAGAGCCGCCCTCTCTGTGGGCGCCAGGGCACATGCATGGGTGTGTGCATGCGCAGACACTGCCTGCTGGCACACACACTGTGGAGCATTAATGTACAGACATGTCCTCTGCATAACTTTCCACATAGGCATTAGAAGGCATACATGTACATGCACACTTATTCTTGTATAGTGTGTGTACACACATGGGTAGAGTCCATTGTGGCAAATGCATGTACATGGCATATACACGAATACTCCATGTGCAAAGCTATGCAGGCAGTCACCGGACCCACACGGAGCACACTGGTCGCTGTATATCGTATCATGTACATGTACTGGGTAATCACATGTACGTTGTCCACAAACAAGAATAGTTTGTACACCACATCATGTATGTCGTGATGTGTACAAAGCACACACATGTGGACACAAACATGCAGAAACATTATGTTCATCGGTGGCTTTCCACAGACACGCTAACCTGTGCACACAAGCCCAGCTGTGCATACCCCAAGGACATGTGTTCGTGTGAGTCCACGTGTACTCTGGACACTGCCTATGACTCACACATGCACCCTGTCATGTGCGAACAGACTCTGAAAGCACATCCTGTCCGCCTCCATGTGAGGCCACAATGCAGCAGCCCACACACATGTAAAATGTGTGTTACTAATGCTTGCAGGGCCCATGTTGTGCACATCTCCAGTCCCGGGAGGTCTCCAGGTCACCCCACTTCACCCCACTCACAGCCCTGGCCGCCCCAGGCAGGAACTCGGGGGTCTCTGGGCGAGGGTGGCCCCTGGGAAAGTGCTCAGAGGCTCCTGGCCAGCACAGGTGAGGGCACTGCTGTCTCCACCTGCTCTGGCGCCCAGTTCTGCTCCCACACACTGGTCGGCACCCACAGGCAGGGAGCATGCACCGTGAGGCCTGAAGCCCACTTGCCTCTCGTCCCCACACCCACCACGTGTGCACACGTCTGGAGCAGGCGTCCAGGTCAGGAGTGAAGAACAGGGGTTCTGCGGTTCAAGCCCCCATCTCTCGCTAGCTGTGTGGCCTTGGGCCAGTCTCTAGCCGCTCAAGCCTCTGTCCACGTTCTGACTGATCCCAGCCCGGGGGTGTCCTGTGGGGTGAGGGCGTGCATGCGGACATGCGCGTGTGCTGTGTACCCACATGTATATGCACAGACGGTACACACACTCGCGTCTCATGAGATGTTTATTTCGTACATGGACGTACACACATGCATGGCCCGGAGCACGCGGTCATTACATGTGTACAGGATGCGGGTCCCAGCGGGTGGCGTGGCCTGGGCTCTCCAAGCTGAGTGACCTTGAGCAAGCTCCACCCCTGGCCTCAGTTCCTCCTCTGCACAGGGAGGGGGTGGGCCCGGCCCCTTCCAGCGGCAGCACCTCCCTCACCCGGCTCCCAGGCAAGTTCACGGACACCGAGCAGGGTCCCGGGCAGAGGCCGGTGTGCTCCGTGGGCACAGCCCTGGGCAGGATCCCTCCCGGACACCAGGCTGGGCTGCTGCTTCCTTGGGCCCTGGACCGGGAGGCCAGGGGCCTGCTCTGCCCATCGCCCTGTCTGTGAAGGCGTTCTGGGAGAGGGTTCTCACTGACCCGGCACGCACCCACCTCCAAACTCCACTGGCCAACCTCCGGGTGCCCGCAGGAGGCTGGACGGCCGGATGCAGGGCCTGGCCGGGCCTTCGCAGGCCTGCTCGGGCTCCCGCACCCAGCGGGCCTGCGCCCCATGCATGTGAGATCACGCGTGAGCCCCGCCGGGCACTCACCGGCCACAGTTGCAGTGGCAGACGCGGTCCTCGCCCCGCAGGTGCGGGAGGATGTAGTTGTGGAATCGGTCCAGCAGCGCGTTCATGTCCATCAAGCACGCGATGGCCTGGAAGAGCCCATGACCGGTCAGACCCGGAGCGGCCGCCGGAGTCCGGGTGGGGGTGGGGCGCCGGGGACGCGGGAGCGCAGGCGGAGGAGCGGGGCGCGCAGGCCGGGCAGGGGGAGCGCAGGCCGGGGATGAGGATGCGCGGGGCGGGGATGGATGGGGTGCTCGGGGCGGGGACGGGGTGCTCGGGGCGGCCAGGCTGGGGAGCAGGCCGGGCAGGGGGAGCGCAGGCCGCGCGGCCGGTAAACAAGGCGCGGGCGGGGGAGGCAGGCGGCCGGCGGCGCGCGGGCGGCGGCGGGCGCGGGCGGGGAGCTGCGCGCGGGAAGCCCCTCCGCTCACCATCACGATCGACGCCCCCAGAATCATGAAGATCATGGTGTTCGCGCTCATGGACATCGGGCGGGGCCGGGCCGGGCCGGAGCGCCGCCCCCCGGCCCCGGCGCCCCCCCGGCCCCGGCCCGATGCTGAGCCCCCGGCGCCTCCGCAGAGGTCGGCGCGCCGCGCACCCACCGCCGCGGGCCGGTAAGCGCGGGGCCGGAGCGCGGGGCAGGGACTCGGTCGCTTCGGGGTCGTCCAGCCGCCGGGCCACCGCGCTCGCTGCGCTCCGCTCCGCCCTCGGCCCTGCCTCCCTCCCGTCCTCGCTCCGCGCTCCGGCCCCCTCTCCCTGCGCGCCGCCTCCAGGAGGGACCACGCGGCCGCCCCGCTCCGCCCCGCCCCGCCCCCGCCCCTCCCTGGGGCATCTGGGCAGCAGGGGGCCCTGGTCGCAGGCCCAGCAGCTCTGGAGCCCAACGTCCCGACCCCAGTTGTGATCCAGGCCGCGCTGCAGCTCCCTCCTCCTCCCCATTTGCCAGTGCAAGTTTCTGAGCAGCCCTGGGCCCCCAGTCCCTGATGGGGAGGCGGGAGGGTCGCTGGGGAGCTGCCAGGAATGTCAGTCCAAAGCCATGGCCACAGGGCCTAGGACAGCTGAATGCCCATCTCCCCCCTTCCCGCCGCTGGGGTGGCACCAGCTTTGGCCTGGCGACCGGAGGGTCAGCCCAGGCATCTGGTCTGGGCAGCCTGGGGGCCCCATGATGCTGGGGCCTGGGGAGGCGTCGGAGCCCACCCTCCTCCACAGCCCGGACAGCTCAGGACACGCCTGCACCTTCCCGCAGGACCGGAGCTTTTGCTCAGCTGCCTGAACCCGGAGGGTCACTGGGAAGCCAGGCTCCTTGGGGGAGGGGGGCAGCCGATGGTGGGGGGCAGGTGCAGCCCAGCGGCCACAGAAACTCCTGGGAGCCGGGAAGCCGGGCCCGGGACTGAGGCCACAGAGCCCATCAGAGAACCATAGTGGCCCTCGAGGCACCGGCACCAGCTCTGCCTCCTCAGAGGGACCTGTGCGGGCCAGGGGGACGGCCAAGCTCGGGCCAGAGCAGAGGCGGCAGCTCCGGTCACTGGACACCTGCAGGCTCTTTCTTTCCCAGGTGTCTGTGCACTCCAGCCAGGTAGGAGAGGGAACACAGAATGGCCAGACATTGGGAAGGAAACCACACGTGTTTGCTTTGCTTAAAGAAAAACACTTTAATTCACACTAGTAACTGGGGCGGACACCGAACTTGACAGTTGTGGGGCCAAACTATGTACAGAGCAGGGGGCCGCCCGGGCAGAGCCCGCGGGCCGGACGGGTGGGAAGGAACAGGCATTAACGACAGGAGCAGGGCTGGCGCAGTGTGGCTCAGTAGAAGCAGACCGTGTGCAGGAAGGTGCGGCCGCTCTTCTCCTCGAACTCCTGCAGCAGCTCCTCGATCTCGTTCTCCATGTCCTCCGTGTGTTGGATCTGCGGGCGGACAGCGTCTGAGCGGGAGGGGGGGTGCGGGCCCCGGCCGAGCAGCCCAGCTGGTGCTGGCCACTGCTTCCCCTCCTCAGCCTGGGGGAGCGCAAAGGGCGGGGTTGGGCTGAGACCAGGGCCTGCTACCCAATGTATCCACTGTTCCATGGAGCCCGGCTGGCGGGACTCAGCGGTTGAGCGTCAACCTATGAACCAGGAGGTTAAGGTTCGATTCCCACTCAGGGCACGTGTCCAGGTTGGGGGCTTGATCCCCAGTGTGGGGTGTGCAGGAGGCAGCCAATCAATGGTTCTCTCATCATTGATGTTTCCTCTTTCCCTCTTCCTTCCTCTCTGAAATCAATTTTTAAAAAACGTGGAAAAAAAATCGCATGGATTGCAGCTATGGACCTGCAATGAGTCACCGGGCTCAGAGGGCAGTCCCTGTCCTCCCCGAGGAGGGAGGGGGCACACCGTCCTGTCAGGCTGTACGACAGCTACTGTTGCCTCTCCACTGGCTGCCAGCACGTCTCTCCCGTTGTGAGACCTGCGAGGGTGCACACAGGGCTGGTGCCTAGAAGGAGCAGGTGTTGCCAGGGGCCAGCCCCGGTGGCCAGCTGGACTGCAGCCAAGCCCACTGATGGCTCGTGTCCTGGCCTCTGAAGAGCGCCGCCCCCACCCCACTAACTCCCTTTAGCCAGGGTGACCGTCACACGTGTGACCTCTGGGACGACCTCTGGGGCATCTTCCCCTGCAGCCTTCTCTTGCTCAGCGGCAGCTCATGGACACAAGTGCTGGAGCTTCAGCAGCCACCCCGCACCATGAGGCCCCCCGGGTGGAGGCTGTGCTGGGCCCCTCAGAGCAAACCAGCAGGGCCCACCTCTCTCTAGACTTCTTGGTTAAGCTTTTTAAAAATTTAACCCTAACCCAAGGATATATTTTGCATTGATTTTTTTAAAAACCTATTTTATTGATTTTTTACAGAGAAGAAGCGTGAGAGCTAGAGAGCTAGAAACATCGATGAGAGAGACATCAACCAGCTGCCTCCTGCACACCCCCTACTGGGTATGTGTCCGCAACCAAGGCACATGCCCTTGACCGGAATTGAACCTGGGACCCTTCAGTCCGCAGGCCGACGCTCTATCCACTGAGCCAAACCGGTTTCAGCTTCCATTGATATAAAAAAAAAATATTTATCTTATTTCATAGAAGGAAGAGGGAGAAAGAGATATATCAATGATGAGAGAGAACCATTGATCAGCTGCCTCCTGCACATCCCCCTACTGGGGATCAAGGCTTCAACTTGGGGACATGCCCTTAACTGGAATTGAACCCGGACCCTTCAGTCCCCAGCCTGATGCTCTATCCACTGAGCCATGCTGGCCGGGCTCCAATGACTTATAGATATGGTGGAAGGGTGGGGAGGAGGGGGCAAGTGAGAGCGAGAGAGTGAGAGTGAGAGAGAGAGAGAGAGAGAGAGAGAGCGTGTGCCATTGATGTGAGTGACTCTGATGGGCTGCCTCCTGCAGCTGAGAATCAAACCTGTGACCCTGAGGCGCAGGCCTGTGCTCCAACCATGTTTCTTCCTGTTTCTGTCACTCACGCCAGCTCACCGAGATCTCGGGACCAGGGCAGAGCCAGGGCTGTGGGTGCTCTGTCACACGTAAGGGAAACGCTTTGCTCTGAGCACAGCTGCGCTGGCTGCACACGCCCTGGCTTTCCCACACAGGGAGGTGCCCAGAGCCAAGGGCCAGCCGCCGGGAACGGCGAGTGAAGGGGTGCAGAGCTCTGACACCCAGCAGCTTCATGGCAGCGAGCCCCCAGCACCACTCCTTCTGCCATCCACACACCAGGCCCACTTCCCGGAGCCAGTGCCAGCTCTCACCGTGGGCACCTCGGGGCCGGGCAGAGGCCGAACAGGCGGGCGGCGGATACTCACGCACTGGCACAGCTCGCAGATGAGGAAGGCCCCCAGCGTGGCCTCCTCGTGGTTGTCCTGGATGTCCACGTTGATCACGTGCACGGGCTGGCAGGTCTCCTGCTCCCTGGAGTTCAGATCTGAGGGGCAGGAAATGACAGGTCACCTGCCTGCCGAGGCCGAGCACCAGATGGCTGTGATCCAGCCACCACCAGGCCCCGCTCACCCTCCCGGCCGGCTGTGGCCCCGGGGCAGGGGGAGGGGTGCGAGGGACCAACCGCACACGCCAGCGCTCAAGGCGTGGCTCACCTTCCACCACCTGGTCGTACACTCTCTCCTCGCAGGTGAGGATGAGGTCGAACAGGTCTTTGCAGTTCTGGAACCTCTCTGGCCGGGGCTTGATCCGCTTATTCCTGTCCAACATGTGCAGGATGCCATTCTGGGTGTAGCTGGGCGCGGGTTAAGGAACTTTGACTTTACTTTTTAAAAAAATATATTTTACTGATTTTTCACAGAGAGGAAAGGAGAAGGGGAGAGAGCCAGGAACATCGATGAGAGAGAAACATCGACCAGCTGCCCCCTGCACACCCCCCACTGGGGATGTGCCTGCAACCGAGGTACATGCCCCTGACCGGGATCGAACCAGTGGACGCTCTATCCACTGAGCCAGAGAGGTTAGGGCTGAACTTTACTTTCGGTTCCTCCTCACCAGATGGTACTTCCATCGGTTTTCAGAGTGGAAAGGCAGGGGAGACAAGAAGGTCCAGGTGAGAGACTGGGTCCTGGGATCAAGCCTGCAACAAACGTTTGTGCCCTTGACCAGCATCAAACCCGGATCCTTTAGTCTGAGGCCAGTATCCTACCCACTGAGCAACACAGTCAGGACTTTAGCGGAGCCGTCGTGAAGTCAGCTGAGCCAGCGCCTGCAGGCAGAGCCGCCACACGCCAAGGACAGGAGCACCCAGGCCTTGCAGACAACAAGGCAAGCGGCGGCTGCCCTGATCAGTGTCGGGACCTGCCCACCTCGGCCGGCCAGGCCACAGCTTCCAGACCACTCGGTCCCGAAGCAGAGACCGAGGCCTGCCACCTCAGCCACCGTCTCCCCGGCCAGCTGCCTGACTGGCTCCACAGAGCCTGTGCTCAGCCAATGGTCAGGACGACAGCGCTCACCCTAACGCCACCCAGCCTGGCTCAGCAACAGCAACGCGATTCCAGAAACCCAGCAGCAAAAGGGAAGGTGCCGGGTCACTAAGACAGTGGGAGGGGCCCGGGAGCTCAGAGCGAACACACAGGTCCCGCAGTGAGATCCCCCCAAGGAGGTGACCCCCGAGCTGGAGGCACCTCCTTGGGGTCCCAGGAGAGGGTGAGGGCTGTCATGGTCATTCTGGACCTTCAATTCCATTTGAAACAGACTGGCTGATGCAGGAACTGTGGGTACTACGTTCAATGTCTCCCAGACATTGAACTTAACTCAGATTACTCACAATGTACTACCCAGCTTCCTTCCACAATGTATTAAAGCGTCTTATCGGTTTCTTTACAAAAATATATTTTATTGATTTTTTACAAAGAGGAAGAGAGAGTTAGAAACATCGATGAGAGAGAATCATCGACCAGCTGCCTCCTGCACCCCCTATTGCCTGCAACCAAGATACATGCCCTTGACCGGAACCGAACCTGGACCTTTCAGTCCACAGGCCGACGCTCTATCCACTGAGCCACACCGATTTCTGCTTATCTAACAGCTTTAATTTTTTTTTTTAATCGAATCTGGGATCTTTCAGTCCGCAGGCCGACGCTCTATCCACTGAGCCAAACCAGCCAGGGCTAACAGCTTTAACTTAAACCTGTTAAGTTAAACGGGCTATGCTAGACCGTTAGCCCAGGTGGTTTGGTTCCTGGCACTTCCTAGCCACGTTAGTAAACCTGGTACCCAATCATGCTGACGCCCTGCGCTCTGCCACCCCATAGGCTCAGCAACAAAGCCCAGGAGAGGGTATGAGGCTGAGGCTCAGCCTCTGGTCATTCCTCACCTGCCACCCAACCAGCCTGGCTCTCGGGAGAGGACCACGGCGCTCAGGTCAGGGCTGAGTCCTGCAGAGAACTGGCACACCTCCTTCCTCCTGGGGCGGCCCTGTCACTCAGGTGAAGCCATGAGGAGGGCAAGGCTCACTGGCCGGCCTTCAGCAGAAAAGCCTTGTTGGGGACCAGACCCCGACCCTCATTCATGAGACATGGCCTTTCGGGTCTATTTTCTGGCAAATTCCAGGGAGGTATGGCCTGTTCCAAGCCAAGTAGGACCAAAGGCAGGAGGTGCCGCGTGCGCGAGCCCTTGAGCAAGAAAACCACAACCCACCGGTTCAATCCCCAGAGACCCAGAGCCTCCTGAACCCGCACTTCAAACCACAGGGACAGGAGGGGGTGCAGAATAGCCAGAGCCTGCCACCAGGACAAAGCCCCAATCAGAGCCAAGCTGGGCCAGAGGGAGGGGCCGAGGGCGGTACTGCTGGGTGGAGCAGACCAGGCACCAGGCAGAGGGGTCTGTTCCAGCCGGGGATGCCTCCTGGCAGCGCAGGGCCCACGTGCCAAGGCAGCGGCTGGACCTGCATCCTGTACTCCTTTATCCCTCACACAGCCCTGACCCCAGGACACTCCCAGGAGCAGCAGACACAGGGAGCCCAGGGCGGCCCGGAACCGGGAGGACAGGGCTGACCACCCCTCCCCCAGCAAGCACTTAGGTTTCTAGTCACAACCCCACCCCCTCAGCACAGGCGCTCCTGGGGCTGGGCCAGGCTGGGCTGGCCGGGCCTCCCCTGCAGACTCCAGTGAAACAGGAGCTGCAGGGCCCAGAGGAGCACAGCCTGGGGGACACCTCGGCCCCCCAGGCCCCCAATGCTTCTCCAGCCACGGAGGATGGAGCAGGCAGAGCACTGGCTCTGATGGACCTGGACACCTGCTGGGGGCCCGGAGGGGGCAGTGTTCCCTGACACGGGGCCTCGCGCTTGTACCCATAGCCCTGAGGGCCCCTCTCCTGCCTCCATGGCCGTCCCGGGAAGCTTGCTGAAGCCCACGGTGCAGGTGGGTGGGAGCAGGAGGGCATGGGCAGCGGGAGTTGGGGGCTGGGCCAGACGCCCCCGTGGGCACTCAGCTCAAAGCAGAGGTCCCACGGGGATTGGGGGGCTGGAGGGGCTGCGGTTGGAGATGGGTGAGCATTTCCAGAGCAAGGGAATGTGTGCAGGAACCAGAGAAGAACCAGGCCCTAGCAGCAGGCTCCCCGCCCCCCACCTTCACTGAGCCCCCTCCCCCGCACCCCAAGGGCAGGAAGACTCCCTCCACCCTCAGCAAGTGGGGAGGCCGTGGCAGGGACAGCCCAGCCCAAGCCAGGTGGCACCTGGTCACAAAGGAGTTTCGGGGCCAGCAGGCAGGCAGCGCCTTGGACGGGGCAGTTACACACCCCCCCCCCTCAGCATGGCGCTCCTGTGGCTGGGCTGGGCCTGGCTGAGCCTCCCCTGCAGACTAGAGTGAAACAGCGCCCCACCCCCCATGCTCCCTCCTAACCACCAGGGGCCAGAACCTTCACCCCCATCGCCGCCCCCATGCCCCTGTGGGGTCACCTGCTCAGGTCCTGGCTGGACGGGTCGTGTTCGGGCTCTGGAGACAGGATGGCTGAGCCGCTTCGCAGATGCTCGCCCAATGAGCCAGGGCACCCCGGCGACACAGACTTCTTTGGTCCCCAGATGCTCCCGCACCAGCTCAGGTGCGCCCACTTTGTGCTCAGCCTCGGAGGTGACCCCAGTCCTCTGTGGTCGACACTCCCTAAGGGTGGGCCATGCCAGGGAGCCAGCTCTGCCCTGGGATCCTGTCACCCAATTACCTTCTAATCTTAAACCTGATCAAACAAACGTCAGGCACAGGCACAAGCTCTCAAGTGGGGCCCAAGTCCTGGGGGGGGCGGGGGGAGGGAAGGCAGGGGTTTCTCAGAGATGCCCCGGAACACCCTCCCCAGGGCTCAGGCACTGGACGGGGCTGATCCTGAAGGGGAGGCTGTGCCTGCCCAGAGCCAGGTTCCGCCGCCCCCCTCCCCCAGCCCTGCCGCTGTTTCGAGGGCAGCAGGGCCTGAGCCGGGGGAGAAGCCCAATTCCAGGCACCGGAGCAGCAGCCCCAGCCAGGAGGGCAGACTCCTGGCCAGTGATCCCCTCCCTCTTCTCTGGTGTCTTTGCAGCCCCTCTGGCTGCTGCCCGGTGTGCCCTCCAGAGGCCCCTCCCCTGCAGCTGGAGCTACTTGGGCCCAGGGGACGGGTGCTCCTCAGCAGGGAGGCTGCCCAGCGTCTCAGGAACAGCTCCCGGAGTCAGATTTTATGAGGCAACCTCCCCGTCTCTACCTGTGAGCAGCCCCACCTGAACGGGCCGTGGCCAACGAGCTCTGGCCTAGAGGGCCAGGTCAGCTGGCACCCCAGTTGCACGGCCTGGCATCTCCCTCAGGCCCCCCTTCTCTGAAGCCCACCCCCAGGAAGTTTTCCCTGCCCTGGGGGGAAGGCCACACCCCTGGAACCCCACACCCAGCCCCCCAAGCTGGTTAGAAGCCACAGGCCATGGCCACGGCCACCTGGAGCTCAGATCCAGACCATGTGTGAATCATGGAAAAGCACACCAGTGGGACCAGGGGAGCCCACCCAGGCCCATGGTGAGGAGTGCAGCCACCCTCTCCTTCCCAATTCTCCCATGACCGAGAGAAGCAGCCCACCTGTCTCCCGTCACGGATACAGGTGACACCCAGAGGGCCTGTCCCACCTACACTGTCCTGGCAAGGCATGGACCAGCTGGATACAAGATGTTTCCCGCAGGCCAGGCCCAGCGGCTCCCGGCCAGGTAGCTGCATCCCGGAGTCCATCGCCCTCTGGAGGGCTGGCACCAGGGCGGAGCCTGTGGGGTGCCCTTGGCACACGGGGAGAGTAAGAAGGGCCAAGAGCACGTTAAGCTGGGGAACCTCCCAAAGGGCTGGGGGGCAGCTGGGAGCCTCAAACCACACTCGGATCTGCTCAGCAAAGCTTTTGAGCCAGCACGTTTAATATGAGGAAATAAACTCAAACTCATTCAGAAATCGACGGAACTTTTGCAAAGCACGCAGGGTGCACAAGCGAGAACGTGGGAACCCAAGTGCGCTCGAAGAGGCGCTGTCCCGCTGCCCCCGGACAAGAGGGGCGGCCAGCTCTGCGGGGTCTGCAATGGCCCCACACCACCCTGGCTTTAGGTCAAGCGGCCCACTCTGCACACACCTGGTGTCAGGAGGGGGTGGGGGTGCAGGTCCACCCCGTAGGCCTGGGCAAGCATGCACAGCAGTAAGGATGGCAGGGCACTGCTTATGTGCAGACCCACATGGCCCAGCTCAGCTTGTTAAACTAACACCAGCTGCTGCCAGGGTGCGATGCAATGGAGAGCAAGGAGCCCAA